CTTCGTGATTTGACGCTTCCCTGTCATTCTTTCGGCTAGTTTCCAGAGTTGGTTTTATGTATACTAGGATGCCCGGAATATCCGAAATACGATATCCGAAACACGAAACCCAGACAGTTTCCGATCTGAAATGCAAAACTTGAGCAAATTCTTTGTTCCGAAATCAAAACCTCGGACAATTTTCAATTCGAAATCAGATACCAGATCCGAAAAATTTTTGAAAATTCTATCCTAAATCTAGCCTTCTTTTTTCTTTGCCCGTGCCATCCATGGTTTATAGACGTTTTTAATTCGGGTTGGGGCCAGGTCAGGTCCGAAAGATTGAGTCGAGCATCGAATTTTGGCCCGAAAAAGACTCGGTCCGGCCCGCTAAAATTGAGGCCCGATAAAAATGACTCGGACGTCGGCCCAGCTCAAAAACCCCAACCCTATTTTTAATTCCTCATCTTGTTTTTATTTTATCTTTTTTTGCAACCCCTCATTTTTGTTTATTAGATTAATTTTTTCCTCTTTTTCCTCACCCCTTAAGGAGTCAAAGTTCAATAGATAGGAAAGGTCAGTCAATACATAAACATTAGAAGAGAAAAAATATCAACAAAACGCCTCCGCTGTTAAATTAGTGCAAATAAAAAGTGTGATTCACCCCTCATTAGGAAAGCATTTTTCTCTCTCTTTGCCTACGTTCACATAGTTTACCGCAATTTATCTATTGAACTTGTGCGAACACTCTTTCCATTTAATTTTTATCATTTGTGTCATTTCCATATGATTTATTATGTAATAAAAAATATTTTTTACACCATTTTTTGCAAATGTAAACAAATTTAGCTTGAAAATGTGTTCGATAATTTAGCAAGCCTTTTTTTGATCGTTTCATAAATTTTTTGAAAATTTTTTTTATTAACCTATTAGTATGGCCTTCATTTTAGTCTTCCGTTTCCTTTCCCCTACCTTCCTTTTTCCCAAAAAATTTATTAGACCAAGGAGTCTATTTTCTGTTTGTTCCTAGAATTTAAGTGTTCAGGCCTGGCCTAATGTTGGCGGATCCAGATCCAAAAAAATGACCGGATACTTGAAAATTTCCCAGGATCCGCCAATATTTTTCCAAAAATTCATGTTCAGGACTAGAGACCGGACCTATACAAGATCACTAAAATAAGATCGAGATTTTTCTTCTTACCCCTCCCCCTCCACCCTGTTGAGAGCGGGAATTTCAGTGTGCCATCTTGAAAGTTCAGTGTGCTCTGTTTAAGGATGGAGGTTCAATGCGGCCCTTCCAGTCTGCTATTCATACCCATGGTCCAAAGTCGATAAATGCCTATTCCGTTTCCCTTCCCGGCCTCTCCTTTTTGAATTCGTCCACTTCATTGCCTCGATAAAATAAATTCTCATTTGAAATTTTTTCATTTTTGATCTTCAAAAAATTTCTGTTCCTCCACATTTTTTATTTCAATTATTATATTTTATCTTTTAATCTTTTTTAATCTTTTAGACATAACAAATATTACACAATATATTTTCAACTAATTTAAATTTTTTGTTCATCAGACTACGTTAAACAACAAAATTTGTGCGTCACATGGTCGAGAACTGGAAATGAGCATTTGGGGACTTTGACAGGATTTGTTGGCATTGTTGGTTTTTTATTTTTTTAAATTTTTTTATTTTTGTTTTTTCTGTTTTTTCTGATTTTTTTGTTTTTTAATGAGCTTTTACTCTTGGGGAAGGGAATTTTTTAATTATTTTATAGTACAGCAAAAATGTGAAAAATAAGTATCTGGGGGATAAATTGTAGAGCTGTCCGAGACCAAAATTTTTCCAAGACTCAAGACCCAAGACAAAATTTTTTCCAAGACCAAGACTCAAGACCAAGACCAAAACTCCAAGACTCAAGACCAAAAATCAAGACCAAATTTTTAAATCCCATAGGTCAAATTTTTGGTTTATTTTTTGTTATTTTGATACGATCAGTCAACTTCAGCACAATTATCTATAATTTCGAAAAATTTATGCGAAATTCAAAGAATTTATTCGTGTGGAAAATCAATAAAATAGGTTATTATTTCAGAGGATTTGGGTGGATTAACGGGATATTAGTGATATCAAAGGATTAAGAGGGATTGCCGTGGGATTTAGTGAATTATGAGGGATGTCGTGGGATTTTAACGTCTGGAACGCCAAGGTAAAGCCAAAATTTTGGCGATACCCAACGTTAGCCCCCCCCCCTCCCCCCCCCCTATTCGAAATCGACCCCCTGGCTACGCCCTTGAATTAAGGAGGATATCGAGGTTTAAAGGGGAATTTAAGTGGATTATGAGGGATCAAAAGGAATAGTACGAATTTGGGGGGCCTGGGTGATTAGGTGACGGTGGCTGCTGATATCCATCCTCTATTTTATCACTATCTTTTTGCGCGCATGCGAAAATTTGTACAATTTTGGAAGGCCAAAAAGCCAGAATTCTTCATTTTCCAGCGCCGCAGGCGAAAATTTTGGGAATTATGAAGGCCGAGAAGCCAAAAATCTTCCTTTTCCTGCACCGCAGGCAAAAAGTTGAGAATTTTGGAAGGCCGTATGCCACAAAAATTCACTTTTTCAGCGCCGCAGGCGAAAATTTTTTTAATTTTGGGACTCAAGAAGCCAGATTTCTTCCATTTTCTGCGCCGCAGGCGAAAATTTTGAGGATTTTGGATGGCCAAGCACTAGGCCAAAAGGCCAAAAAACCAAGACCAAAAAATAAAACCAAGACAAGACCAAGACAAACACCCCAAGACCAAGACCAAGACCGAAAAAAAAACCAAGAAAAGTCTTGGTTCCAAGACCAAGACCAAGAGTCTCGGACAGCTCTAATAAATTGTCTATATAAATAGGTGCGAAACGGGGCGTTGAATTTTCACTAAGCTTTGTACTATTTTCATTTTGTTTATTTTCTTTAATGTTCGAACAGACTTTCCATAAGAGATTTGGGGACCTGAAACCCCATGATTTGTGACACTTTTTGAAGTATTTAACTTTTGTTCTCCATTCAGTTTCTTCCATTCATTGTCTTTTGTCTCCAAGTCCGGTTAATTTAGTGCGGGAAGCGGCTCGTTTCACTCACTGCCTTCTTATAATGCACTTACCGTACTTCTAATAGTGCGACTCTCTATTAGATCGACCCCTTCTAATAAACCGACCCCTAAAGCAGATGTGGGTTGGAATTCCGACTTCCGAAAGAAATTTTGATTTCCGAGTTCCGACTTTTTAGCCAGTTCCGATTTCCGACACCTCTGACTGTTCCGACCTACTTCTGCCCTAAAGGAAGGTTGAAAAATAACCCGACCGGTCACACTATTAAAAGAAATACGGTATCTGTTCCATATTACTAGTTTACTTTTATTCGATTACCTTTTATTTTTATCGTTCTTGATTTGATTGTCTTTTAATTTATTTTATTATTTTTCTAAATTCATTTCCAAAAATATTTTTTTATTTTTTTATTCCCACTTTTCTAATTTAATCAATCATTTAAAACCTTCTCTAAACAATTTACCGCAACCTCTACCTATTTAATTCATTTTTACAACCTAAACATTCCTTTTTAATCTAAACAAAACACACAAAAACATGTTTTTAAATGTCCTTGAGGTTTTCTAAAACTATAAAAAATCATTTTCTTGATGAACATTTTAAAAAAAATTTTGGTAAAGACCCTTGGAAATTTTTTAATAACTTTAAGTTTAACAATATCGTCTTTAACAGGCCTGTTGCGAGCGGCAATTTCGGTGCGCCTCTTTGAGGGTGGAATTTAAATGTGGACATTTGAGAATAAAAAATTACGTGAGGCCTGTGAATTCAAGAATTTCAGTGTGTCCTGTTGATGAGGGATTTTAAGTTCGCCCATTTGAGTGTTAGACTCTCAGTGCGCTCTATTGTAAATGAAAATTTCAGTGCGGCATTTGATGGCGTGAATTTAAGAGCATCTAGTTGAGTGTGGGATTTCAGTATTTTACTTATGGACTTACTGACCATTTTGTACATTTTACACAAAGAATACTGAGGGTAAATGAAAGCATTACCGCTATTTGTTTATGGGATTTTGAGGGCGCCAATTTAAGAGTTTTTGTGAAAAAATTTTTTATTCTGGTTTCATCTTTGTTTTTATTTTTAACTAAAAATTGATTCTTTTGATAAATCACTAACCAATTTTTTGACACATTTTTAGCCAACTTTTAGGCTATTATAAAACACAAATCTTTTCCCTCTAAAATTTATTTCTCGAGATTCTCTCAATATTTATTTTTTTGTTTATGTGTACAGAATTGCTTTAAAAATTTTATTTTTAGTTAGTGAGGGAAAAGCGGGTACAGCCCAAAACGGCGCGCAGCCATAAAGGCGCAAAGCCATAACTTGGTTGAAAATGTCTGGCCATTATCAATTTTGCTACCAATCTCCTTTAGCTCGATGAGAGGAATCTTTTAATACTAAATTTGGTAGGATTGGGAAATCTTGAAGCAAGTTATGGCTTTGCGCCGTTATGGCCGCGCGCCGTTTTGGGGTGTCCCAGGGAAAAGCGACTGCTGCTTTTTTTGTTTATTTCTTAACTTTGCCTGCTTTTTTTCTTCTCTTTTTGCAACACACTTAAAGCTTTTAGTTTATTCTTTCTTTAATTTTTGCTTTTTCTTGTCCCTTCTCGACCGAAATTTTTTTTGTTTTGGTCACGCCAAAATTATATAGGGAGAGGGTCATCAAGTATAGAATTAAATTTAGTTAGTCGATGGTCTTTATATTTTTTGTGATTCTTTGGCCTTTTTACCTTTAATTTTCTTTTTTCTTATAGGAAATTAGCTATAATTAATTGTTGGTTGAATATCGTGAGAGGATAAATGCCCCTTTTAATGCTTAAATATAGTCGAGGTTGTTTATAGCGCTTTTAGGATATGGTGCCCCTTTGGATATAGGGATGATCGAAATTTCGTTTTGCTCTTTCATGCCTTTTTTTCTATTTTGTTTCGTACCGAAACAAAAAAAATTTTAATTCGATCACTCCTGACTTTTGCTAAATTTGCGCTTTTTTTTGGAGTTTTTTATTTTGTGTTTTGTTTTTTTAAATTTTCGCATTTTTTCTTTTTGTGTTATTCATTTTGAAATCAGTTTCGGCAAATCTCTGTTGGATATATTCCAACCAGTGCCCTTCTCTCTTCACTGTAATCGAGTTGACTTTTATTAATTTACTGTCAGTTAAATTTTTAAATTTTCGACTTTAATTGTTTAACGTTTAAATACGGTATTTCTTCTAATAGTACGACAGGAATGTTTATTTTTCAACCTACCTCTAGAGGCTCAGTTTATTAGAAGAGTATGGTCTAATAGAAAGAGTCGCACTATTAGAAGAAATACGGTATATTTTTTGTTTTTTTAACAATTTTTTAAAATACTTATCAATGTTACCCAGCCAATCCTTAATTTTAAACGGACCTTTTTCATTAAAAATGTCTAACTACACAATTAATTTAATTTCTAAATTGGGTTCTTCAAGATCAATCAGAAAAATCTCTTTATTCTTTTTATTTATTCATCCCCATTCAGCCGACCAATTTCTCCCTTCATCCAAAAAGCAGAGGTCATTTTTTGCTTCTCGTGTTCTCAATCTTTTTTTAAAGATCTTGTCAATTTTTAACGACCGGCTTCAACAAAAAAATCCTTCGCTTTTTATTTACACTAAAATCTTTTTTAAAAGCTTTTGGTATTCGCCAGCTTCTCCCCCCCCCCTTCCCCATTAATTTTGGATTGCTCTCGGCGACGTTTTTTCTACTTAAATCTTTACTGATTTTTTTGTGCTCAACAACAACGATGGCGGCGTTGACACTAATCCTTTACCCTCGGTTGTCCATCACTTTGGCGATTCACAAAAAAATTTTTCTTTGCACTGTCAAAAATATCCTAACATTAGGGGGATATTTGTACTATTTTTTAATGCCCTCATTAACAAAAATAAAATTTTTTTGTTTCTATTTATATCCAAAAATATCGTGTCTTTATCCTGCTCTTGGTTTTCATCGAATAACTTTGGCGCTTTTAAGGGCTACTTTACGGATCAAGTTGTGGATGGGATATAGGCTTTGATTAATGGGAGATTATTTGCTCCTAGTACTTTCTATCCTGAGATAGGCCAGAATAACGTATTACTCGTAATAGAATGCCCTATCCTACCACTGAATGCCCCCTCTAGCTGAATACCCCTTTGGAATACAATCGGAAACTAGAATCTTTGAGCATTCTATTAGAAGTAATACGGTAGCCTCTATTCAATTAACTCAAAGATATTACTACCTTCACTATTTTATACTGGGACTGGACCTAGATGAATCCCGAACAAAAATCTTGGTTATCGAGATCGAGATTTTTCTACATATTTATCTATTTCGATTCTCGTTCGACCCCTTCGGACAACTCTACTTTATACTAATGCAATTAGGTAGTTTTTTATAACTCTTCTCTTCGTTAAATGTTAAATGTTTCGTTAAATGTTAAATTCTTTTAAATACATTCTGTTTATGGTTTATTTTTATTTGCACAAATCCTCTTATTTTTTTGTACAAAATGCTTTTAAGCTTTCATTTGCTAAATTTGCGCAAGCTTTAAAAGCATTAAATTTTGGATCTGTAATATATATTTTTGCAAAAATCTGTTTTTATTTAGTTTTTTTATTGCTTATTTTGTTATTAAGATTTTAAGTCTACATTACTGTATCAAAAGATTAGCCTAGAAGTGTATACAAGGGTTGGAGATTCCTGGGAATCTTTAGGTATCCGAAGCTGGCATGCACAAAATTTTCGTTAGTTTTTTTTTCGTTTGGTCGCGTTTCGTCACACTACATTTTGGAATTTCGTGCGTATCTGATTCTATCTGAAACCGATGGCCGGACCTAATATTTCGGATATTCGGTTTTTTAAGTTCCGGATGTTCGGAACTTAAAACTTTATTGTATCAGGGATTTGCTGTTTTGCGTGTTTCATTTTTTGCTTTTTGCATACTAGAGAGCGAGCTGGATCTGGATCCAGACGTTTATTTTTCCTGGATCCGGAGTTATTTTTCAAAGTTTCTTGAGTTTTCCTTGTCTCAAGGCAAGATTAATTTTTGCATTTTTTTCACCTTACTATTACGAATTTGAAAATATTATTTCAATTGTTGTTATTTTTTTAGTACTATTAATTACTTTATTTGTACAACAACTCTTCATATTAAAACCTACCTCTATATTTTTTATTATCTTTTGTTTAGTACATACAGTGGCGGAAAATTACTTAGGGAAAAATTGTCTTCCCTAACAATGTGATGAAGAATCGCAAAAAAATCTGATTTTTAACTCACCCCCATCATCTTGATTTTGATATCCAAAATCAACCTAAATGGGGTGATTTAGGGGTGATCTGATTTTAAGAAAATATTTCAGTCCGCCTGGTCCAGGTAAAATTTTTCTTTTATGTTAAGATTAAAGCCCATTAAATTTGCTACAAAAAAGGCTCAATGCCATCTCTTTAAAAATTTTTGTCATCGAGATACACGGTGAAACCTTTTAATTTGGCGAAAAATGTGAAAAATCAGGCGTAAATTTGCATCTTAGAATTCTTCGGTATTTATCTCAACAAAGAATTTTTTTAAAGAAATGACATAAAGACTATCTTGTAGCAAATTTTATGAGCTTTAATCTAGAAATGGAATAAAATTTTTATCTAGCTCAGTTGGGACAAAATATTTTTTTAAATCGAATCACCTCTAAATCACCCCATTTTCGGTTGATTTTTGATCTCAGAATCACGATGATGGGGTGAGTTGGAAATCAGATTTTTTTGTGATTCTTCATCACATTGTTAGGGAAGATCTCAGGAATTTTTTCACATTTTTCCTACATCGATTTCATATAAAAAATTAAATTTCACTTTTTTCCCTAAGTAAATTTCCGCGCAGTTTTAAAGTCGGCTATATTTTATAAATTTTGTTGGTCAAATAGAAAGTTTTCTCGGGACAAGTATATAACCATTTAATAGGTAATTAACAGGGCTACAAAAATACATAAAAATAAAGAAGGCCAAAGAAAAATTTTTTGAGTAAAACTTTAAAAAACATCAAAAAAATTTTTTCCCTAAGTAAATTTCCGCCAGTGTAAATATTTTTTACAAAAATTTTTTTAAATTTTCTTTGTTTACTTCATTCTTCAAAAAACGTTTTTTTTATTATTTTACTTAATATTTATTTTTCCTTTTTTATAAAATAATATTTAACAAAGAAAAAATATGGCGAGAATTCGCGCATTGAAGAATGAATAAAAAAATTTTGTACGGCGTCGTCAAACTACTATAGCGTTATACCTTTTCCTTTGCTGAATTGTACATATTTTTACTACTTCCTCCATCATGAAAATTTATTTATGCAATAAAAATAAATGCTTTTTTGGAGATTTTTTGTGTTTAATAAATAATATTGAACTAGGGAATTTTTATAAATAAAAATAAAATTGTTATTGTTGATAAGAGACATGACTGGGAATCATTGATGGGTATTTGGCATTTGTTGGCTCTGGCTCCGCAGTTTTCAAATTCTTAGCTCCGGGACCGGCGATTTTCAAAGCCGCTCCATGCCCTCCATGCTAGCTCCGTGTTGAAAGTTAATGAATTATTTTTCATTGGGAGATTTGGGTAGATTATGGGGGATATCGAGTGATATCAGCTGATTATGAGAGATTAATGGATAAAGCGGGATTTGGGTAGGATTAAGAGTGATATCGTGGGATTTGATTGACTAAGAGGCAAGATCCCTGTTCTATCTGTCTGTTCAAAATTCTTAAGGCTATTTTTTCGATTATTTTTCAAATTTTTAAATTAATAATTTCACAATTGTTTTAAATTGTCTATTTTAAAATTAATTTTTTTTCTAATTTTTTTATATTCTTTGGTTATTTTGTAATTTTTAAATTTTATCAGACATTAGACTTGTTAATTATTGCGTATTTCTGAGAAATTTTGTTTCCTTTCAAAAAAAATATTTCCTCTAAAAATTTTCTCCTTATAAAGCTCTCACGCTTTCTCTCATTTTCCATTCTTTTTATTGGCAGGTTGGAAACAAAAATTTGGAATAAATTTTATCCTTTCTCTTTTTTATGTCGAGACTTTACCACGTGTCACGTGTTTATTGCTTAATCAGACTTTCCTATCTTTCTAGAAAATTTTTAAAAAAATTTTTGAGCTTTTAAAAGACTAAAATTTGTTTTTTAATTTTTATTCAAATTTAAAGTCTTAATGTAATTTATTAAAATAGCTGTACAGCCACTGAATTATAGCCCCTGACAAATGAGAGATAAGTACAACCCCAACAGGTATGGACTCTATTTCGCTCCCCCTTACACAGATTTCCACTTTTTTGACCATTCCAATTCCTCGTTCTGTCTGTCACATTTCATTTTTCTCCGTTTGCCATCTTCCGATTTTTAAATACATCAGGATGACATGAACTCCTCCACACTCCAAAATCCGACTACAGTCTCTGAACCAGTGGCCAACCAAATTTTAAAAGACTTATGATTTAACTTGTTGAGCTGTATTTAGTCTCGGGTTATTTTATTATAATGAGTTAGTTGACTGTATTTCAAAATTAATATTGGCTTATTAAGTGTTGTTAGGCAACAATGTCTAATGACAGCTGCCATCTCAACTTATTTTTAACTAACGCCTGTTTGTTTTTACTTCCTTTTAAGGCTCTATTTAATAAATTAATTTTTGGAATTTACACAGATTTTTTTAATTTTTATTTTTTCTTATTTTTTGTTTTAATTTTTTTCCATTTCCGCCAGCCACCACAAGTAGTAATTTTTGTTTGTTAGCGCAGCGGCACATCTGTGGCTTTCATTTTTTTCTTGTGTTTTATTCTCGACATTTTTTTTGTTTTATATTCTTTTTTATTTATTTTATAGTTCTTTTTTCATTATAAAGGGCAAGCTTTGAAGCTAATTCAAAGGGCAAAAGCTTTCTATTTTATATAAAAAAATTTTTGTTTATATCAACTAGAAGGCACGGAACATGTGCATGTTTTTGTGGCTTTAATGCCATTTCTTTTTTTTTGTGTCAGGGCAACACACCGTCCTACCAAAATTCCGTAATGTGTATTAGAGTAAAAAACACAGTTCATTTCACTTGGGATTTTAACAAATTTTAAAATAAAATTTTTATTCAAAAGCATATAGTATTAACTGGGTTCACCCCCAAGGTACCACAGAGCTATAACTTCCTGAATTGTCGAATCAAGTATGCTCTGCTATGGCGTATCGAGCCCGTTCCAATTCGAGAATTCTGAACGAGGTAATAGCTCCGTGGTTAAGGTCTCAAGATATTAAGGGAGCCCACTATCGACGCAAATCTAATTTATTAACTGTACAGTTGCACGGTCTTGTTTTTTCCAAAGTCCGAATGGTGTTCTGGTCGGACGATGGTTTGCTCCCCTTTTTTCTTTTAATTTTTTTTGACTTTTTGCCATGTTTACTACTTTTTAACTTTACATATGTTGACTTTATAATATAGAAGCTGGAAGTAAAAAAAACGTGTTGTTGTGAGCTAGAGACAAAATGCCATATTTTTTGAGTGGGAGCTGGTTGAAGTAAATAAAAACGGACACTGAAATGGGGGAACTAAAAAGTGTCTAGAGAAATAAAAAATTAGTATTTAAGATAAAGGGTGGTAGTAACATGAAACAAGAAACCTTTCAACCTGTTGCTTGCATTTTTTCCATATGCTGCTTCGTTTTTCTAGTAAAAATTTATTTACATTTTTATTATTAGTTTCATTAATTATTAAAATTATTGCCAAGTTTTAAGTATGTACATATAATACAGTCAGATCTCATAGTAAGCAGAGATTGAGATTTTTGAAAAGCCTGGGCATGTTCCTGGGTTTTGGGTTTGATTTAATGGCTTGGGCCGGATCCAGGGCCTTTAGTTCAGGAAAACCCAGGAAAGTCAAAGAATGCCTGGGCCTGATAAGGAGTCAGTGTCTAGACAGCCTTCTAAAATGCCTAGGCCTTATAAGGTGTCAGTGTGACGTGTATATTAAAATGGGATTATCGTTTAGACTGGCTCTCACCCCCATCACCTTCATGGCCCTATAACGAGGGAATATTTGGTTATCGCCCTCCTCCTTTTCCTCGCCCCCCTCACATAGCCATACACACACTTAAATTTCAAAAATCATTTCTTAAATGTAGATGTTTTACAGTAAGGTCCGACTGTAAATATAATTCAGCTTGAAGCATGCTTATAATCAAATTAAAAAATACTTTTAATAAAATTCCCCCATCTTTATATTTTTTACTCCCTTCTACACATACTAATTTTTTTATAATTTATTTAAAATTTATTCTCTGCCTTCTTTTAAACCTCTCTATATTTTTTAAAATAAAAATATGTATTTTATAATATATGCCAGCCGTTGCCTTTGAAAAATTCCATTAGCGTGTATTTCAGCGTGTGGAAAAATTCAATTTTAAAAATGCGCCTAGATATCATTTACATTTTTTTCAAAAATGGAGAAACGGCTTTTCTTTTTTTAATGGATTAGGCTCATTTTTAAAGCTAACATAGGATTAAATTTTTTTATTTTTTCACAAACCTTTTTTTCATTTTTAAAAAATTTTGAACATTGAATTATTTAAATTTTATGTTTTTTATATATTTGTTTGAATTTTAAAATTAAATATATTATTTAGATATTTACTACCTAAAATTAGGGGTTGGGTTTTCGAGTCTAGCCACTAGTCACCGACCGAGTCTTTTTCGGGCAAAAATTGTTTTCTTTCGGACGGACCGGGCCCCCAACCCTACCTAAAATGTATTTAGCAAGTAAGATTTTAAGTTTAGCCTCGAGCAGCATTGACTATGCGACTTCCATGGCAGTTATTGCTAGGCGCTTCACGTGCAGGCTAGAGGGTACGTGTTACCCGAAACCCGAGACTCGAAACCAGACCTGACTTTTTTCTTAATCTGTGGCATCCCTGATAAAAATCTTCTTGCTGCTTTACCCTCTCCTCTAATAGATCTTAAGGCTTTTTATAAGCGTTTTCTTTGTTAGCCAGCTTTATCTTCCTTCTTCTTTCTTTCGAAGTTAATTATCTAACTGGACTAAAATTTTAATTTTCTAATTTTCATTTTTCTTAAACTTTTTTCGAACACCTAACTTTTGATATTTTTAACATTTTTCTTTCATTTAAAAATTTTGACTTTTTACCTTTTATTTTTTAATAATATTCAAATAAACGTCATTTTCACCAGATTTATCGCCTACTAAAATTATTATTATTATTAAATTATTTTTATTATTTATGGCAATTTTTTCTTTGTAAAATTCCCCATTTTTACGTAAAAATTTTCTCATTCCTATTTTTTAGCCCACAGTTTATTTTTTAAATTTTTTAATACCTTTAACGTCATTTTATCAATTATTCTTTTTTTGAACTTGACAAAGTATTCCCCCTTTAACGCCCACTTTTCAAAATTTTTTAATTGAATTTTTTGTTTGTTTATACTCTGTTTATTACTCATCATTTATTTTTCCCTCATTTTTAGTTCTATTTACTCAGAAAGTTTATTTAAACTTGAAATAAGTAAGTTTATTTTTCAGGTTTGATAGATTAATTTAAATACTAGTGGAATTATTTATGTTTAAGTTCAAACTTAATTAAAAATATTAAGCTTAAATTAAACTTGAATGTTATTTTTATGAACTTTAATTTAAAAATCAGAATATCCAAGTTCAAACTTAAACTTGAACATTATTTCCATAAGCAATTTAAAATCAGAATATTTAAGTTTGAACTTGAAAATTATTTTCACAAACATATTTAATGATCAGAATATTTGAGTACAAGTTTAAACTTAACATTATATTCGGAAACAATTTTAAGTCAGAATATTTAAGTTTGAACTTGAAGATTATTTTCAGAAACTCTAATTTTAAAATCACAATATTTAAATTTGAACTTGAAGATTATTTTCAGAAACATATTCAAAATCAGAATATTTAAGTTTAAACTTAAACTTGTTTACTTATACATATAAACAAATTTTAAAATCAGAATATTTACGTTTTAAACCTAAGAATGTTTTCAGAACTTAAACTTAAAGATCAGAATATTCAAGTTTAAACTTAAACTTGGAAATTATTTTTGTAAACTTAACTTAAAAAATCAGAATTTTTCTTTTTACAATATTTAAAATCAGAAAAATAAATTTATATTTTCATTAATTTGTTTATTTCGCATTTGCTTTGAAATCATATTAATATGTACTGTTAGTTTTGCTTCATTTATTCTGGATCAAATTGCAAAAAAAATTCTATTTATTTTGTGTCTGTTGTTTGATTTTAGGGGGGTGGCTTTTTTTAATTTTATTGGTTTGTAACTGACATTTTTGAGCATTAATTACTCATTTTTTATCAGTTTTTTTGCAGAATTTTGGGTGTTCTTTGTTTAATTTTGAAATTAATTTGGCTCACTTTTTTGATTTTTATATGTTTTGTTTCTGTTTTTGCTGCTTTACTTGATATTGCTTCATTTGCTTCACTTTTTTTGCTTTGGTTTTATTAATCTGTTTCCTCTTAAATTACCGTATTTTTTTAATAAAGCCCCACTTAGAGCTCTCACTTTAATACAGTCCCCGTATGGAGGAAAGTTGAAAAATAAATAAAGCCCCCGGGGCTGTATTATAGTAGATAATACGATAATTCCTTTATCTCTCCTTTAAAAAATATTTTTCCTTCATTTTTAAACCTAATAAACTTCCATTATCATTATTCATTTTATTTATTTAAAATAGATTTTTACACATTTATTTATTAAAAGATAGCATGCACATAAACACATGAATTTTTTACCGCGCAGCTTCCTTTTCCAAACATTCCTCTGATCTATTCATACACATTCATTCACATCCCCTTCTATCCATTCGCGGGTCTTTCACCCGAACCGGATCCATTTTTCTCTCTTATTTTTCTTTTATTTATCCTATATAAATTGATGGACTAATCGGCGGTAATGCACTATATGTGGAGTTTAGAAGAGATATAGCTGTTTGGATATTTGAGTCTCTTGGCCCGTTTAGATTGTTGATAGAGGACCGCTCTTGGCCGCTATCGTTGATTTTTTATTTATGCTTTTAATTAGAGACTGAACCAAGACAAGATCTCGAAGGAAAATTGAGGTTATCGGGGTCAAGATTCTTTGAGATATCCTTCTACTCTTTTCTAGCACAATTCTCGTACGAGGCTCCCAGTCCGATTTCTAATAGATTATCGGGATATCAATTTGGATCAATTTGGATCAATCCCATTCCGATTTTTAAGAGAAATCAGTCCGGTCACTAAGAGACTCCCGGTCCGATCTCTAAGAGACTCCCAGTCCATTTTCTAATCTTTAGTTTGGAGTTTTTTTTGCTTTCAAAGATCTTTAAGCTCTTTTAGCTCCATAATTTCAATTATTCTTCCGACTAACTGCCTTAGACTCTTTTAACCTCTTCCATGACTAACCCTTCCTTTACTCCCTTCTAGCAGCACTACTTACGTAGTCCGTCCATTTTCTGCCCTAATTCCTGCCCCCAACATACACAAAATGTGTAGTATTTGTGTGCTCAATATATTTATCCATCCATCCCCTTTTTGCTTGCAAAGCACAAATCCCTTTTTCACATTCAACGTCCACCAGAAGCAGCAGCATAAAGTAACACACCAACAGTTTATACTTTTTGTTTCTCTTTTTCGATCACTCTGCTAAAATACACACAAAAATTTTATTTTATATATTTATTTAATCCTGTTGGTTTATCCTTTTATTCATTTTTTAATAAAAAAGATCAGAGCTTTTTCTCATACATAAATCAGATTTTTTATATTTTTGGGAATCCTTTAAAAATTTAAAATTAAATTTGCTATTTCAAATTTGCTACTTGATACAAGGGAATATGTTTCTTTTTATTTTTGCTTCAATTTTTTATTTTTGCTTCTAATTTTGAAATTTGCTTCAACTTTTAATTTATTAAATTTTTAAGCTTATTCTTTCCTTAAAATTTTGCTTGAGTTTATAATTTTTGCTTCTACTTTTTTTTGTTGTTTCTGGTCTTAATTTTTTGCTTCAACTTTTACTTCTTGCTTTAATTTTTTTATTTTATTATTTTTTTGCTTCGTTTATTAATTTTGCTTCATATTTTAATTTTTGCCTTATATTTTAATTTTTCGCTTCAACTTTTAATTTTTGCTTCAACTTTTTTATTTTTTGCTTTATATTTTATTTTTGCTTCATTTTTGAATATTTGCTTCATATTTTAATTTTTTGCTTTTGTTTTAATTTTTTGCTTGATTTTTTTAATTTTTGCTTCATATTTTTATTTTTTGCTTCATATTTTAATATTTTTAATAATATTTTAAATTCTCCAAATTTATTTATTTCATTATTTATTGAATACCCTTTAAAACCAACTTTTCACCTTTTCATTCTCTCAATTAGTCTTTAGCACATTCCTTTAAATTCCATTCCCACACACACAAACTAACAACTAATCATCAAAAATTAAATATCAAGAAATTTAAAGAAATTCTTTTATTTTAATATGTTTAATGCTGTAAAAAGGCTCTTGGGCTTCTCTTTTTTTCTCTTTATTTTATTTATTAAACTGCCCATTTTTTTAATTTTCTTGTCTTGATTAATTTTGTTTACTTTATTTTTAATTTTGCTTCAATTTTTCTTCAGTCTTTATTTTGTTTCTGCTTCAGTTTTTGCTTCAATTTTTTACTTTTTGTTTCAAATTTCCTGCTTCTTTTTTTAATTTTTCTGCTTCCAGTTTGAATTTTTATTTGCTTCAGGCTTGAATTTTTCTGTTTCAGTTTTGTATTTTTTGCTTCAATTTAAAATTTTTCTGCTTCTGCTTTAATTTTTAACTTTTTTTGCTTCTGCTTCAGTTTTGCGTTTTTGCTTCAATTTAAAAAATTTTTTGCTTCTGCTTCAACTTTTAACTTTTTGCTTCTGCTTCAGTTTTGAATTTTTTGCTTCAATTTTTAATTTTTTTTCTTCAGTTTTAAAATTTCTTTTTAAATTTTTCAATCATGCATGAGTTAAATTTGTTTTATTTTTTGCTTCATTTTCCCTCGAGTTTCTTTAGAATTTAAATACCACTTGATGCTAATAAAATCTTAAATAATTTAATTTTTCTCGATGTTATCATACGCGTGAAGCAAAAAACAAAAATAAAATAAATAAATTTATCATCTTTTATATGATTTTTGCTCTATTTTCTTCTTTTGATGATGATAATAATTTTCTATTGAAACTTGTTATTTTATTTAAAAAAAACTTTTTTCCACGTATTTTTAATTGTAAAAAAATAATAAATAAAAGACATTCAAGCGTATATAAAATAAATCTTTTATGAAAGAAAATAAATATATAACGTTAAAAAATAAGCACATTTTATTTTCTTTTATTTATTTGTCTTGATGTCTCCATGTGTTATTTATTTATTTTATTAAATAATAAAAATAAATATTATATCCTTCTAACAACAACATTTATTAAAGCAAAAATATGTTAAGGTTAAGGGTCCGGATATCCGGAAAATTTTGGTTCGGATATCTGACTCGGATATCTGCTAGTTTCTCAGGAAATATAGTGATTATGTCAAGCGGATCCTGATAGCGTATTCGAAAAAGGCCGGATATCTGGAAATTTTGGATTAGGATATCTGATCCGGATATCTGAAGGTTTCTAGAGTCCTTAACTGGAATTTATAAAAATAAACTGTAATGTCGAAAATTTCTTCAAATTTTCGTCGAAGGAGGAAATTAATTAAATTATTAATTTTTCCTTTTTATTTTTTATGACATCACTTTTTAGTGATCGTTATCGCCTACTTTGCTCTTTCTCTCTTTTTTCCATAAAATGGATAAATTTATCCATTTTATCTTAAATTCCAATCTAAAATTATTAATAATTTCTATCCAAAAGGGAAAAAAGGGAGAAAGTGTGCATTTCCGCCAACATTATTAAAAACATATAATTTTTTATGTTTTCCATTTTTGCCATTGCCCCACATTCTTTACCACACACATTAATTATGGCCTATTTAAGCCAATTTTTTCCCCTTACACCAACATTCTTACATTCATACATACATTCTTTTTAACCTTTTCCTATCCATTCCTACCAGCCTTTTAATAACCACACACATACAATTATAATTTTCTTTAATTAAATAAATATTTTTTAATATTCTTTTGTTTTAATATTCTTTGGTAATATTCTGTGAATATTCTTTGGGAATATTCAGTTGTTCGTCTATCGTCTAGACTTGGCCATCCATCTCAAACTTTCGCCTATTCGCCTAACACTCTTTTGGTTTGCCACGTTTTAATCTTTGGGATTAAGACGCTCATCGACTTCAACACACTTTCGACTATTGTTTTTAGCGGCGAACTCCTAGTTCCCTCTTGGGAATCCCGACCTAGGTAGTTCCCGTTAAAATTGGTGCCACGACCCGGGAGAGCCGTCGACATTCATCAGTCAACACAACATTCAAAACAATCCGACCTTTGCAGTCGGCACATTTTCGACTAATTGTTCGTCTGCGCCAAAAGGATCAGCCGTCGACAAAGACCCACATTCCCAGCAGAACAAACGACTATTAGTTGAGCAAGTACAGCGACCACAAGCCGTCTAACTGTACAACATTAATTTTATTTGGCAAACCGCGTCTAACCAACCATCAATGGCACGAATTATCCGTCAAGAGCTTTATGGAACGACAAGAGCACTCGTCGAACACCTTAAAATCGCCGAATCTTGTATCGTCCAGCTCAAATCTAAACCATCAATTGAGAAAGAAGATGAACTGGCAGCATCAGTGGAAATGGAACTCGTCCATCTCACAGAACGAACCAACCAACTTCAAGCAATTATCAACAAATACAATCAATTTATGGATGGCCTCGACGAACAACAGCAAAACGAACATGCAGATTACCTCGCCAATTTCTTAACTTACGACAAATTATCCGACCAGAACCTTGAAAATACAGAGCAATGGCCAGTCTCCAAATTGGTCGACAGAGCAAATGAAGTGATCAACCGGATCAAAGCGTACAGAGTTATTCGGCAAATGACTACAGACAGCAATAGCAATAATTCGCCAAGAGCGCCTAGTCTACAAGGATCAACATCAGGGAAATTGGCCGACAATCAAACTCCTCTACGTCAAGAAAGGCGTCAATTCTTTTCCGACGACGAAGAAGAAAGCGATTGGAGGCAGAACCGTCGAATGCGTCAACCCAGCGCGCCAGATTTTGAAGAACCAAGCGCAGAAAACCCACATGAGACATCACGCCAAACTTACGACTATCAGCATACCACCTCTTTTCAGCAACAACAATATGGGCTTCCTAATGCTCTGAAGGTCGACAGCGTCCGTCTTCCAACATTTGGTGGCGACATACGTGATTGGCGCACCTTTTGGGCTGCTTTTGAACATGCCGTCGACAAGCAACATTATCCGTCTTTCCAGAAGCATCTCCTGCTTCTGCAATATCTCAAAGAAGGATCAGCAGCCAGAGAAGCGATTAGTGGTTATCCACCATCCGACGACAACTACAAAATCGTCAAAGAAATTCTTAAGAAGAAGTATGGTAACGACGACCAACTTAGCAACCAACTTCAGGCACAACTTCTCAAACTACCGCCCATCAGGAACAACCTTCGCGAACTCACGCAATTCCAGAAGGACATTGAAAGAATTTGTCTTCAACTGGAATATTTGGACAATCAATCGCCTATGTTCTTATGCAACATCATCAAGTCCAAACTTCCACATGGCATTCTTCAGGAACTCATCGCAAAAGAACTTGACTCGCCTAAGAAGTGGACACACAAAGAACTGCGACGAGCTTTGGAAAACATTGTCAACATTCGTCAAGCCACCGACGAATGCATGAATTCATTTCACGACGAACCACCACGTCGACTAGAAGTGCAAAGAAATAATCAGCAACAAGTGCGCCAAGATGTTCGTCAATTGCCACGCCAAATGGAACATACCAGGGCATTTCCTGTATTCGCCAACGCCAATTACGTCAACCGTGAAGAACAAAATCTTCCTCAATCATGCTCCTTATGCGCAGTGGTTGGACATAGACCAAGCAGATGCCCCTCATATTCGACACCTCAACAACGCAAACTTCGTCTAGTGGAACAGGGAAGATGTTTGAAATGCCTTCAGCAAAGTCATACGACAGATCAATGCCAGCGATCTTTTATTTGTCGACAGTGTGGAGGCGACGACCATCACTTCCTCATATGCATACCACCACAGGCGAAGATTGGCTATTCAACACCTCAAGCGGTCTCATATGCACCACGTCTAGCTTTGCAATCTTCTGTTCAATCGTCTACACCATCGGCAAGATCAGTGCAACAGACAGTTTCAAGGATGCCTCAACGCCAAACACCTCCGCGCCGAAATGATCGACCAATGCCAAAAGTAACTGGTGGAAATGCGACAGCACTCAACAATCAACGTGCTACGACGACAATGAGTTCACTCCAAGAAGCAACAGACTCTGTTAAAGAAGTTAAGGAAGAGACTACACCACCAGTCAGTGAAATTCAAAAAGAAGCAAATGAACCGGAAGAAGTCAAAGAGGAAATAAAAGAAGCACCTGACTCGTCAACTTACTTGACAGCACGACAGAACGACAATAAAACTCATTTAATGACAATTATCATCAACGTCTCGTGCCCGGGAGGTCCAAGAGAAGGAATTCCAGCAATGGTCTTCTTCGACTCAGGAAGCCAAACAAGCTACATCGCCAAAGAACTTGTCAATCGCCTTCAGCCGCCAAAACTTTCTGAAGAAGTACTTCGCATACACACCTTTGCGAATCAAAACCCGAAGACAGTTCACTCACCACTTGTCTCAATTCGTCTAAAACGTCAAGACGGCGAATGGGAGCCGATGCAGCTTAACACCATCGACGAAATTTCTACTTCAATGGAAACCTTCCAATTCATTGGACAAAACGACTGCGTCGAGCCAGTTAAAGGAACACCATCAATATTAATTGGGATTCGTGAATTCTGGAAATTCGTCACCGGCTTTCAACAACTTGGCCCCAAGCTCTACAAAATTCAAACCGTCTTTGGAGACGTCTTAGGAGGTGAATCTTGCTTCAAGACGACTAACTCGCCTAAAACATTTATGGCACTTACCGACGACGACAAAGAAGACATTCTTAAACCGAATGACGTCGAGAATTTTTGGGCACTCGAGTCTATTGGAATTAAGGAGAACCCAGCTGAGAAAGACGACGACACCGCCATGCGACTATTTGAACAATCAATACGTCAAAAACCCAATGGCACCTACACAGTTCGTCTACCTTGGAGGGAACCTCGACCTACCATCAACTCAAATTGGACAATGGCCTATAGCCGCCTTCAAGCTAACATCAAACGCCTAATACAATCGCCTGAACTTCTCGCCAAATACGACAAAAACCTGCGCGACCAAGAAGAGAAAGGAATAATTGAAGAAACCGGCCGCGACAAAGAAGAATTCTTCATGCCTCATCACGCCGTCATTAATCCAAAGAAGCTAAGAATTGTCTTGGATGCAAGTGCTCATCCCAACGGAGCAGCAAGTCTTAATCAAGCGTTGTATAGAGGACCTGTTCTACTACCAACACTCGTCGGAATGCTCATACGTTGGAGAACATGCCTTATTCCAATTTTGTCTGACGTCCAAGCTGCCTTTCACACCATCGAAATGCTACCTGAGGATCGACAATTTTGCAAAATTCTTTGGCTGCGCGATGTGAATAAACCAATCACCACAGACAACTTGGTCGTCAAACGGTACACTAAGATGGTCTTTGGGGTCATCTCATCACCTTTCGTCCTAGCAGCAGTTTTATTACATCACTACGCCAAATTCAACACAGCATTATCAAAAGAAATGGCAAAGAACACGTACGTCGACAACATCCTCTTTCAATGCTCAACAGAAGAAGAGGCCCTCGACAAAATGAAGACCGCCAAAGAAATATTTAAGAAGGCAGCAATGAATTTAAGAGAATTCCTCAGCCATCGACAAACAATTATGGAACAAATACCAGAAGAAGACCGACTCGATAAAGCCAAAGCGCAAGTCTTGGGCATCAAATGGGACACCGACAATGATTCAATCACACACAAATTTCCTAAAGAAGACGTCAACATCGTCACTCGGCGAACAGTACTCAGCGCATTGGCCAGCATATACGACCCGTTGGGACTTATCAACCCATGTCTGCTTCACGTCAAACTTTTCTTCCAACGACTATGGGACAACGAAAGAACATGGGATACACCAATAAATGCAGAAGAGGCGACAGAATGGCAAAGCATCAAGCAATGCTGGAACGACCAAACCATCACGCTTCCTCGACAAGCAATTTTAGATAACCCAACTGAGTGGCAACTACATGTGTTCAGTGATGCATCTGAAAATGCCTATGCCGCCTGCGTCTATCTGAGAACGTCAAATGGTCCAAATGTCAAATCAACACTCATTTTTGCAAGAAATCGTCTGCGCCCAAAGAAGGCAAAGTCAAGCCTCACCATCCCAAGAATGGAACTACTTGGTGCGCTCATAGCCGTCCGAGCGAAAATACACGTCGAAAAGGAACTACATCGACCAATAAGTGGCGTCCATTTCTGGTTGGACTCACGCATTGTTCTGGCTTGGATTCAATCCGTCGAACCAAAACCTCAATTTGAGCAACGACGACTAACAGAAATTCGTGATTGCGCCAGAGGAACCTTTCATTTCGTCAGAACCGACCAAAATTCCGCCGACATCGCGACACGTGGTTCAACACCTATGGAACTACAACAGTCGACTCTTTGGTGGAATGGCCCCGAATGGATTGTTCAACCATCCGACGATTGGCCTGACGAGTTATCTTTCAACATCGACAAGCAAACAGACGACAATGTCACCACCGACAAATCCGACACAATAACATTCTCGACTAAAGAACCAGAGCCGCCGACAATAGACCCTGGAAGGTTTAGCTCCATCTTCACTCTTCTTCGAGTGGTGATCTGGATTATCCGCTTCATGGGACGACATCGACCGAATGTTCTCAACATTGGAACTTCTAAAGTCTCACGCCAGGGACCTATGACTGTCGACGATTACCGAGCAGCACGAATCTTCATCATACGGCAAGAACAGAAACGTCTATTGGAAAGCTATACAACACACCCCACGGCAATTAACAGCGATGGACTTTTATGTTTGAAAACCCGCGTCAACTTCTGCAATGGCCCCGAAACAATGGCACTGCCAATCCTCCTCGATCGACATTCGCCATTAACTCGACTATTGGTAGAAGAAATACATGTGGACCTCAAACATGCTGGCGTCGATTGGACAATGACAGAATTCCTCAGCCGATACTGGATGCCTCAATCTCGTCGAACCATCAGAGGAATTCTTCATAAATGCCTTCAGTGCCGTCGACAACATGCACCACCATTTGTCCGTCCATTAATGCCTCAATTGCCGCCTATGCGTGTTCGACCAGCAAAGCCTTTTGAATTTGTAGGCATCGACTTCCTTGGACCGACTACCACCAACTACGCCAGCCAAAACGTCAAAACATGGATTATCATTATTTGTTGTATGGTTACCCGCGGCATCTACCTGGAACCAACTCGAGATATGTCATCAATCTCCGTCGTCAACGTTTTACGTCGATTCATCAGTCGTCGAGGCAAACCACGTCGAATATTGAGCGACAATGCGCCAACCTTCATTCAAGTACACAAAGCTTTGGACCTGCTTACTGGACCGCCCCCTGAAAATCCGCCTTGGGACTACACGACTAAGAATGGCATACGCTGGGACTTCATACCTTCTTATGCACCGTGGATGGGAGCAACATATGAACGACTCATTGGACTCGTCAAAAGAGCAATCCAACGAACCATCGGCAAAAGAATTCTCGACTACGACGACTTAGGTGCATTCTTGGCTGAAGTGGAAGCAAGCGTCAACAGTCGACCAATCACTTGGGTGTCAGACCAACCTGGGGCACCATTACCACTAACGCCTAAAGACCTTATCCAAAACAGTGGACCAAACGACCTTGGACCAACCGATTGTGATCTCGACTACGACGACGAGAAATTAACTGGACCTGAGAAATTGGCAGCACTTTGGACAGCATACAGAGAAGCAGCAGACGTCTTTTGGTCCCGATGGAGCAACGAATACATCTTGGCCATCAGAGAACGTGCTGGATGGACACACAAGGGACCACGTTCTCAAACAACATCACCACCGAAAATTGGTCAAATTGTACTCGTCGAGATGGATCTTCGACCACGCAATCTATGGCCTTTGGCAAAAATCGTCGAACTTAATGGCTCGGCTAATGAAATTCGCAGCGTCAATCTTTTAACTGGAGATGGGAAGATCATCACTCGACCAGTCAGCCGACTATGTCCATTGGAAACTGAAATCGACGATCATATAGCGACAAACACCATAGCAATTCAAGAAGAAACGCCTAAAGAACCATCAAAGACAATCCGTCAACATCAAATGACTCTTAGACCACGCAAATCAGTCGTCAATACAACAACACTGGTGGCTATTATCGTCTTACTCGCCAACATCCTAGCATTTGTAACCACAACACCTTGGTATCGATGCGGCCAATACGACTATTCTTGCCTTCTCAGCTTATCGACCATTGCGTCAGCACTCGCGCTCTATGAGTTCAAGTGCGACAATTGCCAACTCCAATGCTCGGCTAAAGGAGTTATCGTCAAAGCACCGCCTGATGTTCAAAAAACAGCAGTTTGTTGTATGAAGAATTGCATCGACCACACCGACATGAAAGAATACACATACGAACTCGCCGCCGAAATCCTTATTAGCGACTATGAATGCGAAGCCTGGTTCTGGCAGAACTCACACAACAGCATAACAAAGAAGATCAATTGCCCGGCCGTAAATGAATGTGACCTATTCGACTGCTACTTTTGCTTCGAACAACTGGCTAATCCGACTTGCAACCCGAAATGGTCAACATTCCTATTTCTGTTAGGAATTTTCGCCTTCAGCAGTTTGGTTGGATGTTTCATCACAATCTTCAGTTCTATCCGTGTTATCGTCAATCTATTCGTCAACGGCTCAACGACAATACTAAAAGCTTTAACGTTTCCCTTCCGTTGGATGTTCGACAAAATCTACTATAAGAACAGCGACAGTTGGAAACGACAAATCAATTACGCCGAAAAGAAGATGTACACGAGACTCAGAAATATTCATCACACAAGCCATCAATTCAGAAGAAGAGTGTCAAACATCATTTTAATTTTGACAATCATCACATCACTTATTATTCCGACTATTGCAGTTATCTCAATCACAACGCAAACTGAAAGTTGCGTGAGAGGAACAACTGGTTTAACTTGCACCGTCAATAGCGCCAACACACTTACGTTATTACCTGCCGGCCAAGTCAACACATTGCTTCTTCGCGACTAACATGGACTAACTCTTGGCACGTTGTCAATGCGTCTAACATCTTTGAAAATGGCCTGCCATCAACAATCAATCGCCTGGTTACGTTCATATCGCGTCGAACCAACAGCCGTCAAAAGATGTCCCCGAGCTGGCTCATGTTTCAACGACCATTGTGAAAATGTGCGACCAAATAGTTACGTCAAAGAACTACAAGTTGGACGGGAACTACCTGGCAACACTTTCTGCATTCCATCGACTAGTTTTTGGGGCAACAATTGTGGACTACCAACATCAGCTTGTCTATACTACCGATATTTTGCTCGACCAACCAGTTCAAACGTCTTCGAAGTCTTCACCTGCCCAAGTTGGAGCCCACAAATAGACGTCGAACTAAAACTAGAAACCAATGGTGGCAAACGACGAACCAAATCTATCATTTTACATCCCGGCATCACATCATCATGGGGGAACATCACCATCACACCCTTGGCAATCTCTCTTCCGCCTATGCCAGTACTTGGATCAACATTCGTCACTAATGGACAAACCGTCTCAATCGTCAGTCGACTACCTGTTGATCTACACTGTGCGACAGAAGAAGCAGCTCGATCATTAAACTGTTCACTCGACCAAGAAGCCTGCAAAGAATGCTTCCCAAACCACAACGACGGAACCGTGGAATGCAACTGCCGAGATGTGGACCTCGATGCAATGATGGAGAATCCAGAAACACGACTACCAATCACCAGAGCAAAAGTATGGCTGGAAAACAACGGACCATCAATTTCAGCAACATACGTCTATGCGCCTATTCAAATACATCTTCAAATGAAAAGCCTTGCACTCCATCTTCAACTTCGTGATTCAAAATGCTTCATGGATGAAGCTCGACTAAATGGATGTTACAGATGTGGAGCTGGAGCGCAAATAACATACAAATGCCGATCAGACAACGCCAACGTCTTAGCCATCGTCAAATGTGAATATGGGATTTTATTCGTCGCCCATTGCTCGACAAATGGAACCCTCGGCAAAGAAGTGATCCCAATCGACTATCCAGATGTCGACACTATTTGTACCGTCGACTGTCCGGCTGGAGAGACCAACTTCAACCTCAATGGCAGCCTTTATTACATCCCTCTTCGACGACAATGGGGACATCAGCAACATCGATCAAAACAACTTATTTTGGACCCAGAAACATTCAGTTTTTGGCCCGATCTTGGATTCGACTTATGGATACTCGGCAAACTTCTTCAAGGAGGACCAATTTTCCTTGGCATCATAATGTCAATTGGACTTGCTCTTCTCGCCGTATACCTATTCATGCGACTATCGCCAATATTTCGAATTTATCGGCAAATGGCCAGAACAATTACCATCTTTGCAATTTTGGCACAAGTGCAAGCAGTCAATATAACAACAATCGACAAACTCGAACGAATTTCGTCTGCGCCTATATCGTCAAAATACACATTTGGATGGAATCTCTTTGGAATTGCCGTCGTTTCGACTAGTATAATATGCCTAATGATTCGAACCGTCTATCTACATACGCCAAAACCCTTTCGTCCATTTTTCCGACAAAAACGCCAAAAACGATTTGCGCCGATTTTACCCTTCAACTCAACATTTTACATTCCAATCATAATTATTGCACTTTCTGTGTGGCCGGCCGGATGTTCCCTTCAGAAAAAGGAAAACAATTTACAGCGACTAACTGGACCACCCACATTCAATCTAGCTGAGCGGCAAAATGACATCATACTTATTGCAGCAAAGAGAACTAATAAAATTCCAATCGACTATCAACACGCTCAATCATCATGGGAAAATAAAATTATCGTCAATACGCCTAGTATTATAAATATACAATTTCAATCAACAATAATTCATTCATTCAACAACTCAGTTCTGTTCGTCTACGCCAAATTCAAAATGTCTTCTCGTCCATTATCGCCATTCAACAACGGAGGTTTTGGAACACCTCGTAACAGTCGTCAAATGGAACCGCAATTCCCACGAACACCTTCCCCACCTCGCAATCGTCATGCATCAAATCCACCTCCGTTTAATCGTCAAATATCTCCAACACACTTACATTCTCGTCGAACCGGAAATCGTCAACGTCCAGAAGTTACAGAACGCCTAGATGAATATATAGCAGCACGATTTGGGAACAATTGGTGGAAAACCGTTGCGACTATCGACAAAATCAACCGGCAGCTTAGAGGATTAATGATACGCGACCACACCAACGGCAACAACATAACAGACTGGGACTGCATCACCTACAAGCCAGCACAGAAGCTACTGGTTCAACCCGGCGAAACAGTGGCACAACATTGGCAACTGAAAGGACTACCGATTAGGGAACCACATCTCCCTGTACTACGACAATTTGGTGGCATCCGTGGAACATCGCGTCAATCTCGCCAACGTCAACGTCGAGGATTTATCCCTTGGCAAATGGGATACGACCACAAGAGCTACTTCCCTTTACAAAATTTGGAAGTTATTATTTCAACAACACAAGCAACGCCTGTTAATCGTCAAGAAGAGCAACAACCTCGTCAAATTCATGTAATCACCGAAGCAACGCGTCAACAAATCATCACCAAACTTGACAAGACAAGAGACGAAATCAACGACGTAATCAAACTTGTTCAACAACTTGCACCTTCTGAGCAACCTTCAACCTCATGGAGTTGGAATGGAGGAAAGCAGTAAAGAAATTTTTTTTTTCATTTTTATCCTTTTATTTTCTTTCCCCTTTTCATTTCTGTGTATTGTCTCCCCAATTCCTTAATCTCTTTTTTTGTAATTTTTTTCAAATGTTTGGAATGGATGCATCATCAACTCAAATGTCATCAAAATGGGTCCTCGTCCAATGTTCAACACATATCGTCTAAACGCCTAAACTTTAACGTCTAAACTTTAACGTCTAAACCAACAACTCTAAACTTCACAACAAAAATTCATCAAATTAAAAAATTAAAATGCATCTTCATAAATTAATTTTATTGGCGAAGCCAATCAGTTTAAATGATTTAAATTAAAGAACGTGGTGAAACATCATAAATTTAAAATACATCTTCCAACAATAAGCAAATCTTAAAACTAAATCTTAACAACAAACTTACAAAACTTACAAAAACCTAAAATCGACAAATGGAATATCGACTAACACTTTAAATCGACTAATCAACTTAACCATTAACAACTAAGGACCCACTGAAGTGCCTGCCCGCGGCAATGTCGAAAATTTCTTCAAATTTTCGTCGAAGGAGGAAATTAATTAAATTATTAATTTTTCCTTTTTATTTTTTATGACATCACTTTTTAGTGATCGTTATCGCCTACTTTGCTCTTTCTCTCTTTTTTCCATAAAATGGATAAATTTATCCATTTTATCTTAAATTCCAATCTAAAATTATTAATAATTTCTATCCAAAAGGGAAAAAAGGGAGAAAGTGTGCATTTCCGCCAACATTATTAAAAACATATAATTTTTTATGTTTTCCATTTTTGCCATTGCCCCACATTCTTTACCACACACATTAATTATGGCCTATTTAAGCCAATTTTTTCCCCTTACACCAACATTCTTACATTCATACATACATTCTTTTTAACCTTTTCCTATCCATTCCTACCAGCCTTTTAATAACCACACACATACAATTATAATTTTCTTTAATTAAATAAATATTTTTTAATATTCTTTTGTTTTAATATTCTTTGGTAATATTCTGTGAATATTCTTTGGGAATATTCAGTTGTTCGTCTATCGTCTAGACTTGGCCATCCATCTCAAACTTTCGCCTATTCGCCTAACACTCTTTTGGTTTGCCACGTTTTAATCTTTGGGATTAAGACGCTCATCGACTTCAACACACTTTCGACTATTGTTTTTAGCGGCGAACTCCTAGTTCCCTCTTGGGAATCCCGACCTAGGTAGTTCCCGTTATGTAATTCACCATGAACTTTCCTTTCGGGCGCATCTTGAACTTTTTCTTTTGCGAATCTTAGAGGCGATGAACTAGGATATGGTAGATGTTTTCAAGCCTAGTACCTAGTAATTAAAGAATTCAAGGATGGGCTGGGTTATCCAGAAACCCGAGATTCAAACGCCCACTTTCGAAATCTGCTCTCGAAACCCGGCCAAAAGCAAATTTTGAAATCCGGTCCGAAATCCGACCCTACTTTTTTCTCAATTCGGCTATATGCCCCTAATGCGTACATATCTTTTGATTTTTGGATGATAATCTGATAAGGAATGACAGATTTTATTGTTGTATTTTTTGTTTGTTGTCCATTGATTTTTTGTTTAAAGAAAAGCAGCTTTACGCCATTGCCTAATTGTGTACTATGCTTGCTCTCGCTGAAAAAAGCGGGGAAAAAAGCTAAATGGCAAAAAAGCCACCACCAAATTGCATGAAGAAAAAATGGTTGGCAGAAGTATATTATATATATTTACTCTTTTTATGCTTTTTCTATATTGACGTTTGCACTTAGGCTCATTTTTTTATTCTCCTACTATTTTTTTATTTTTTTACAATTTATTCCTTATTTATTTGCGAAGGCTTTAAGCTGAGTAAATATTTTGATTAATTGACAAAATATTTCAAACCAGTTCAAAATACCGAAAAAAATTTCTCCATGGGATTATTACTTGAACGCTTTGCTTTAGTGTTTTGTAAGCATCTTGCTTCCAATTTTCTGCTTCGGATTTCCTGCTTAAGCTTTTTTGCTTCAGATTGCTTTTGGTTTTTAGCTTCAGATTTCCTTGCTTCCATTTTCTGCTTAGGATTTTTTCTCTCTGATTTTCTGCTTTCTATACCTATTTTCTGTTTCCGATTCCAACACTTCCGATATTTTCTCTTCCATTTCCTTGCTTCCGACTTCTTATTTCTGTTCTTCTGATTTTAGCTTCAGAGTTCCTACTTTCGGTATTTTCTGCTTCCATTTCCTTGCTTTCGATTTTCTGCTTCTGATTTTTCTTTTGTTTTTCTGCCTCCGATTTCCAGTGCTTCCGACTGTTCCAACTCCCACCTTTGCTAAGTTTCCTCTCTTTTCTCCTGCTTACTTATTTGTACTTCCGGTGTCCTTTTTCCCCTCGCTCTATTTTTATACTAATAAAAAAAAGTTTATATTTAATTATATTACATTAAGCTAGATAAATTTCATTTATAAAATTTATGGTTAACGCATATATAATTATTTTTAATATTAGTATATTATTTTTATTTATTTTTATTCAAGATAGGAAATAAATGCTTTTAGACAAGAGTTGTCGGCGACAAGTTTTAGCCCCGAAAGTTTTGAAATTTCATCCAACAAACCCCTAAAAACGGAAATTTTTGAGAATGAGTATATTTTTTGCTTCCGATTTCTGCTTCCGATTTCATGTTTCCGATTGCTGCTTCCGGTTTCTGCTTTTTATTTTCTGAAAGTTTTTACTTAAATTAAACTTGAAGCATTAATTAAGTTTAAACTTGGAATAATTTAATGAACTTGGAAAAATAATTAAACTTTATTTAAGTTTAAACTTAAAACTTTAAGTTTACTTTCAAGTTCAAGCTTGAAACTAAAATAAATAACACTTTAAATATTTAAAACTTGAAGCAAACTTACATATTTTTGCTTCAATTTAATTTAAAGCTCAATTCTTTTCAAACATTTTATCTCTTTATTATTTTTTATCACTTTTTTATTAACGTTTCCGTTATTTTTTGCTGATATCTTTTCTTTTCTCCCTTCTCGGGTAGACTTTTTTACGACAAAACCAAAAACTTCCTTTTCTCAATTTAATTGTGTTTGCGTGCATTTTATTTTTTCCCCTTTTATTTTCTCGGCCATATTTTTTCAATCAATTTTTCTTCTTTTCATTCCCATAGTGGTCGTCATTTAAAGGCGACGACGACACAATTGGCCGCTAGTAGGACCTCTACCACCAACAAAAACCCCCTTTCACAAAATCAAATGAAAGCCTTCACCGCATAAATATGGGCGCCTTGAAGAGGAACAGGTCACACAAGCCTGGGGATTTGAGTCTTGAAGAGTTACTAGACACCGAACTGAGGGTCTGCGAGAATCGTGCGAGATATCTCGAAAAAATCTTGATTCTCTAAAAAATCTCGTCTCGAAAAAACCGTCTCGAACTGATACAATTAAGGCCTACATCCAGTCTGTGAAAATCTCGATTTAAATCTTCTGAAATTAATAAAAAAAATCTTCTGAAACGTCCGTAACATGGGTTGCCCTTCGTTTTTTGGTGTTTCGCCTTGCATCTTTCGCTTTTTAAAATCACTTTCGACACCCGCGGCCCATTACCTCCATGAAACATTTAATTTTATAACTTCCATATCTCAGACTCTAATGTCCATTCTCGCCTCATTGTCCCTCTCTCTCTTTTTATTCTTCACAAATCACGCCGACAAAGCTTGGGTGTTGTAATGTAAATACGAATAAAAAAATATATATTAAGCAAACGAGAGAAGAAATGCGACGACGGCCAGTAACGACGACGACAAGAAGAAGGACAGTCACTGCTGTTTGTTGGGGGATAGTTGGTTGGTTGGTGTTGTTGTTGAAGATATTGTGCGACCTTGGCCTACTGCCCCTTTACCACAAACCCCCAAGGCGTCGCTGCGAGCAAAGTTGGGGAGAGTAAAAATACTTTTAGTATTTTATTACTACTAAAATGTTTGTGCTGTTTTCTAAACACAAATTTTTCTATTAAAAAATCTTTAAATAAATTATAGCAGATTTATTTTTGATTAAAAAACTTTTTTATTTTTCTTTTATTCTCCTTTTTAATCCATTTTTTAACCTATTTTGCAATTTTTCATTATCCCACGTTAACTTTATTTCTTTGTTTCACCATTTTTATCTCTTAATTTGGGCGTAAATGTTCATTTTAATTATCTGAAGTTTAGACTCAAGTGTCCATAGACAGAAATGTACTTGGACCCAAATGTCCTTGGACCCAAATGTCCATGAACTCAAATGTCCATAGACGCGAATGCCCTTGGACTCAAATGTCCATGAACTCAAATGTCCACATACTCTAATGTCCATGGATTCAATGTCATAAACTCAAATGCCCTTCGACTCAAATGTCCTTGGACCCAAATGTCTGTGAACTCAAATGTCCATAGACTCGAATGTCCTTGGACCCAAATGTCCAAGACTCAAATGTCCATAGACTCACATGTCCATAGATTCAATGACCATAGACTCAAATGCCCTTCGACTCAAATGTCCATAAACTCAAATGTCCATAGACGCGAATGTCCTTGGACCCAAATGTCCCTGGACTCACATGTCCAGCGATTCAGCTACATACTCAAATGTCCTATATTAGTCTTATAAACCCAGGACACAAATTTGTTTTTTCATTCCTTTTGAGTATAGGCTTAAACGTCCGTTGATGACAGCTTATCAGTTTTTATCTCTTTATTGACAGCTTATCTTTACCCGACTATAGCAGCCTTTAATGCCTTTAGGGGATACTACATAATGACATTTTTTATGAGTAAAAAACTTGTGTAAATACATGCCCAGATTTGCACTTAATTTACACATAGAAACAAGAGATTTTTATTTTTTTTATCCTCTAGTTAACGGAAGGAGACAGCGGATTGCCCCGAATAAAGCCGATATCGAAGTCAAGGGGCAAATTTAGACTCGAGACCAAAACCGAGATTCTAAGACCGATTCGATGAGACTGAGACCGAGGTTCCTAGACTGAGACCGGGTCGATTCGGGACTGAGACTGGATAATGAGCAAGGGTCACTGCTTCAGCAAGACCTCGACATTTACATAAACTGGAATTTACTCCTTATATATTTATTCAAAAATTAGAATAGATAAATATTCTATACCCTACCGTATTTTATACTTTTCTGAATAAAATTCCCTCATTAATAAAACAGGGAAATGATGTGAAAGAAACGAAAATTAATGAATAAATTAACACTAAATAAATATAAATGTGCGAACGCAGCAGCAGCTTAACGTCAAAAAAACTTTTTATACGAATATTATATATTCTGTTTCACATGAAAAAGCATTCTTTTTTTATTTCGCACGTTCATTTGGCAAAATAATTTCTAACAAAATTCAATTTTTTGCTATATGTTTGCTTAGTCGATTTTTAGTTGACGGGACCTGATATCCGAATATTTCCCGGGATATGCCCTGCAGGCGTTAAGGGGTTGGCAAAGCTGACAAGGGCTGGCAAATCTGTCACCTATGGCAGGACGGGAGCGATTGAGAAAGAGGATGGATGGGTCGGGTTTTAAAATTTTTCTTGGATCGAGTTTAGCGGCTAAAATAGACCAGACTTCGGTTATTGGGTAATCCGTCCAATCCCAATCGCCTACGCTGGTTTTTAATCCCAGGGGCATCATAGCGTATTTTCTTATCATCTCATGAATTAAAATTTGCTTTATTAATCTCACTTAAAGTTGATCTTTTTGATTTTAAAAATTGCTAGGGAACACAGTATTTAGAGAAAAAGAACGCTTTCACTATCTCTATCGTCTTTTACTTCCCATTAACTATTTTATTTTATATTTTTAATTTATTTTTGTGAGAATAGGCTGGGAATAACGACCAGGGACGGTCTTACCACTTATGTGGTATTAAATTTTTGGGATGGGGAGAGTCCGGAATCTCCCTTAAAGTTTGATAATTTAGTCTTGAGATGTTTACCGGCTTTATTTTTATCGGAAAATGGATTTTTTGCATTACTGATACTGGTAGTGTACCGAACAGTCCCAGTACTGCTCAGAGTCGGTCGGAATTCTGATTTATAATTTCTGATCTATTTCTAGTTTCCTGCACATTCGTCTATTTATTCTAACCGACTCTCGGTACCATCTGCTACCAAAGTTTCTAAAATCTCATCGGTCCGTTCTGATACCTGAACTACCGACCAGCCGTTCCAATCCCGGTACTTTAACGCTAAGAATTTGTTGATTTTCTGGGTTTTCCTGGATATATTTAAAGAAACGAAAAAACGAGTAACTATATCTTTTGCTATGTTTTCTCTGCATTTGTTTGCTTCCCTTCTAATTTTTTATATTAACATTCGCATATAATTTTTCAACAGAACAGTTTCATCTGCGACAAAAGTGGTCTCACTAACTACTGATCAGAATTTTTGGGACGGGGAGAGTCCGGAATCTCCCTAAACGAGATGGTGAAGTTAGTATTGGGGGTTATACGTTTAGTGTAGTAGTAGTAGTATTTTTCTGTACCAGTGTTGGTTAGTACTGTAAACTCCATAATCTCCAGTACGGGTCCGTTACCTTTCTACCGTTATCTACCGCAGTACCGAACTTTATGGCATTAAATAATTTTTGTTGATTTTCTGGGTTTTCTAGGTATACATAGAGAAGCGAGAAAACTAGTAAGTATGTGTACCTTGTATGTTTCTCTGCATCTTTTTGCTTCCCTTCTAATTTTTAACATTACCATTCACATATAATTTTTCACAGAACGACTTAAAATGTAAAAAGTTGTAGGACCCACCTACTTAAGAATTTTTGGGACGGGGAGAGTCCGGAATCTCCCTCAATTTTATGTACCTATTGAAATTGGATTTGTCAGGAAAATGCTATATTAGCCCGAATAAGGCCCCATGTGCCTTATTATCAGGGATACCCTTCATCATGGTCGGGTTTTATCATAGAACTTTCTCTATTGAGACCACCCTTCTATCACCCCTCTGCCGCTCCTCAACCTCCACCCCTCTATATGTACCACTCCTCTATACTACCCTACCACCCCTATATGGTACGGGGGAAGGAGGGGTCTTTATTACAAGACTCTCTATTAGAGCCCTTTTCTATTACAGGACTGGGGACTCCTTTATAGGAAATACGGTATGTTATCATTTCAAAAATCATAACGTCATTTTACGCAAAAATATTTGCTTCTTTTTTTAATGAAGTAAAATTACATATTAGGTAATAATTTATCCGGCGGAAATTGTATTTTAAAAATGGGTATTATTTATTTATCAGCAAACCACAGGTATTTTAAAATACATTAAAGTGGTGCATAAAAAAATATACAAATTGAAAAAATATGTGAAAAAACAGCAAACAAAAACATGAATAAATTTAAAAAAAAAATTAAAAAAATATGTATAAGAAAATAGTAAAAAAACACTCTAAAAAACACACACGCTAGGGTTTTATGTCTTTAGTATTTTACTTTATCATTAAAATACTGTTTAATAAAACTTCTAAATTTTTTCGGATCAGTTAATTTAAATGACTCATTTGGAAGATTATTCCAGTTATTTACTACTCTGTGAAAAAAATTATTTTTTGTTCTATTTATATATTTTTTTGTCCTAAGAAGTAGAGGCCTGCGAAGAGATCTATTTGATAAATTAAAATATTTTTGGGAATTAAGAGATGTAAAGCCTTTTATAATTTTAAAGGCGGTGGATAGATCGGCAACCTTTCTTCTATCTATTAACTTTTCGAGTTTACAGGTAATTAATCTTTCTTCATATGGGACCTTAACTAAGCCGCATTTTTTGTAAATATTTTTAGTGAATAGTTTTTGGATTTTTTCGATTTTATCTATTTGATATTTCATTTGTGGATTCCATACTTCAGTTGCATATTCTAGTTGGGATCTTATATATGTTTTATATATATTAACGAGGAGATTTAAATCTCTAGATTTAATTATTCTTATTATTTGGAAGCTCTTTAGATATGCGTTTTTTATAATCATATTTATATGGTTATTAAATGATATTTTTGAATCAATTAATACTCCAAGATCACGAATACATTCTGTTTCTTGTACTTTTAATCCATGAATGCTATACTCTTTTTTCATGTTATTTTTACCTAAATATAAAACATAGCATTTATTTGGGGATATTTCTAAACCATTATCTTCTGTCCATTTTTCAAGTTTAAATAAAGCTTTATTAAGTTGATCTCTTTCTATGCCGTTTTTATGAGCTATATATAATTTTACATCGTCTGCATATAGTTTTACTCCAACATTTTCAGGGATTTCATTAGGAAGATCATTTATAAAAATAAGGAATAAAAGTGGCCCTAAGACACTTCCTTGAGGTACACCCGATAATGTTTCATAGTTTTGGGATAATTGGTCACCTATCTTAATCTTGAAATTCCTATCCGATATGAAGTTTTTAAGAAAAGTATAAACTTTTCCACTTATGCCTGCCTTTTCTAATTTATCTAAAAGAATATTTATTGGTACAGTGTCAAATGCCTTAGCAAAGTCTATATAAATAATATCTATGCTATATCCATCTTGTATTGCATTATAGAAATCATCCATGGTAGATAATAACTGTGTGGTTGTGGATCTTGATTTAAGAAATCCAAATTGATTTTTATTAAAGAACTTATTATCTTCTAAGAATTTTGTTAATTGCTGTGCAATAATTCTTTCAAGAACCCTACATAAGGTGCATGTTAGCGATATTGGACGATAATTTTTTGGATCTGATTTTTCTCCCTTTTTATACAATGGAATAATAAATGATGATTTCCAAATTGATGGAATTTGCCCATTATCAATAATACATCTAAAGATATCTGTGATTAGCTTTGTAAGTGTGTCAGCGCAATATTTTAATAATATATAAGGAATGTTATCTGGAGAAGTTGAATTACGATTAGGAAGTGATCTGAGGACATCCCACACAGTGCTAGTACTTAAATCTATGTCTAAAAATTTTGTTTTCGGAATTATATTTCTGTTATAATTCGATAGATTAATATTTTTATTTTGGAAGTTTTTTTGAAATTCTTTTCCTAAAACATTACATTTTTCTTCATTACTAAAGTAAAATTTATTTTCTTTATCAATTAAACAGGGTATGTTATTATCTTGGGTAAGTCTGTTTCTAATAAACTTATGTATCGAATTTCCACCTTTATTTATTATTTTTTCTTCCTTAGTATTATGGTGAATTTTTAATTGTTTTTTCAAGTTTCTTGAAACGATTTTATACTCAAGTTTCAACTCGTGATCATGTTTTCTTTCTTTAAGGACTCTGAATAATCTAAGTTTTTCTTTGTGTAATTCCTTAATCCGTTTAGGGTATGTTTTCCTTATTATCTTATTCAAAGTTCTCATTGGTATATATTTGTTATAAAGATATAACAATTCTTTCGTCAGAAAATCATATTTATCTTCTACAGTGAACTTAGTTAATATACCTAGATCTAAATTATTCTTAAAAATAACTTGATTCAATTTATTAAAATTGGATTTACTTATATCTCTGACATAAATTTTTGGTTTTCTAAAGACTTTGATCTGATCATATAACTCAAACTCTATCATTTTGTGATCGGAAGTTGAAAAATTCTCCCTAACATAAACATTTCTGACTAAATTGGAAGCAGGTGTGAGTACCAGGTCCAGGATTGAATTTTCTCTAGTAGGTTCAGTAACAAGTTGATTTAATTGATTTTGACCTATAAACTCTAAAAACATATTCGCGATCTTGTCATAGTTGTCGGTTAATTCTTTAGAATCCCAATTTATGTGTCTAATATTAAAATCTCCGCATAATATTGTTTTTTGATCAGTTAGATTTAAAAGAAACTTAAATAATTTTTTTGTATTAATAATTGAACTATTTGGTGGGCGGTAAATGTTTATAATGTTAATTTCTTTTTTGAGAAATAATTTTATATGTATTATCTCTGATTGGAATTTAGAGCCATTAAAAATTATTTTAAATGGTATGTCATTTTTTAATAAAATTGCCGATCCTCCACCTCTTTTTCCTATTCTATTAGCTAATATAATCTCATAATTGCCCCTATGTGATAGTTCGGAGTTTATTGTATTTTCTGTTGTGAGCCATGTTTCATTGATTAATATAATTTGTGGATTAGAATTTTCGATTAATTGATTTAAATCCGGTATTTTATTAGCTAGGGATCTAGAATTAAATAACAAACATTTATATGATTGAAAATTTCCGTTATTTACTTTTGTCTGCGGTTTGCCTGCGTGTCCCTATTTATTTTTGGTTGCCCTGAGCGGTTGTGGATTTTTGAGTGTAATTATTGACAGGTCGACAACTATGTACTTAAACATGTTCTCGGCCTGATTCATAGAAAATGCTTGCTTTCGCAAGTTATACAATATATTTAGTTCATTACGAGTCATATCACGTCTTGCAGTTATGAACTGCGGAAAAGCTGGATTTTTCTTAAGACATTTACGAAAATTGTATAAAAAGTTATCCCTAGATTTTTTGTTGGTGAATGGAATTTTAACGATTCTTGGTTTTTTATTTATAACATCTTTAGACTCACGTGGATGACGATGAATTTCGTTTTCCAACAAATCTTCTGCCACTCCACAATCAGCTGCAATTTTTTTAGCTATATTAATGATGTCTGTGTTGTCTGGAGCACGTTCAATAACCACTCTTTTAGATTTAGATTTAATTTCGTCAGCATCAAGAATAGCGTTGTTTAATATGTTGGCAAAATATGATTGATCATTAAAAGAGGAATTTTGATGTTTTTTGCTAGCAGAGAAAGGGTCTCCAAATAAAGATTTAGGATTCGTTTCTGATTGTTGTTATTTTTATACACAAATTATTTTTATATGCTTTTTTTTGACGAGTGAGAAATGAAAAGAAAAATTAATAAGATTAGCGGGTAGCTGCTATAAATTATGTATTGTTGTCATTCTTTAGTCATTTTTATTTTTGTTTACTATTTTTAATTTAAAAAATTTTTTTTTAAATTTTTTTGCACTTTTTTTAAATTAAATTTAAATTTTATATGTATATTTTTTTATTTTTCCTATTAACAGAAATTTCTAAAAAAATTTTTTTTTCAAATTTTGTTGTTTGAAACGAGTCTTTAAACAAACTACTTTGCATTTTTAATCTTTTTGTTATGATTTTTGAATAATATTTTTGATTTGTGATTATTTAAATGTTTGTTAGAGCATTAACTAAATATCAAAACATGGCCCATATTTTTTAGAAGGCACAGAATTTTTGCGAATTATTTAAAAATCATCCGTTTGATGTGGGGATATTTTGGTCAATAACTTTTTTTACCCTTAACTGATTTAAATATTTCTTATAGCAATCGAAAGCTCTCAATGTGAGGATTATTCTAGCTAACAGGATTTATTTGACCAGATCATTCTACTATAAGTTATATCTCGATAAGTGTGCGCAATCGAAATTTTTGATTTTTATTTGACTATAACTTTTGGTAGGATGATCTGATCAAATCAATCCTGCTTGTTAAAACAATCCTCAAATCAAGAGCTTTCGATTAATATAATATTTATTTAAATTGGTTAAGAATCAAAAAAGTTATAGCCCAAAATATGGTCGCGAGACGAAATTTGTCCGCAAAACTGAATTTTTTCCGCAAAACTAAATTTGTCCGCAAAAATAATTTGTCCGCTTTTCACTAGTTCCACGACTTGTTGATTTTTTTTATTTGAATTTTTATTTTCTTTCTTTTTCATTTTGTTAATTGCTTCGTATCAACCTTAACAACAACAAAAAAAGGTTTTTGTTTGAACGTTCCTTATTTGTTGTTATTATTTTTTTGCTCTTAAATGGACGAATGACGTGATGTTGTAATGGAGGCTTTTTGTGTTGCTGGCCTTCCCCTTATTTTTTTTACTCCCTATATATTTTTCTATTTATTTTCTCGAATTCCCTTTACACCCAATTTTTTTTTATTTTTTCCTCTCCTATTTAAAGCTTGTGGCATTACTCTCCCCGCCCGCGCCTTTTTTTAAGGCCTTAAGCTTATTTTTTGCTCATTCCTTTTATATTTAACACATACTTGTAATGTCGTCATTACAACCTTTATACACGGCAGAATAAGCTTCCTTTAATATCGTCAGTTTTTTTGAAAAGGGAAATTTTAGTCTTTGAACCTACTATGACACACACCTTTTTTTAATCATTTTTGGCAACCTTTGTCTAAAAAATAATTTTTAAAAATTTTAATTTTGAGTTGCGGATCCTTTTAGAGATTTTTCAGTTTGTAAGCTGTTGAAGCACAAATTGTATCAAAACTGCGTAAACCGCCGCAAAGTCTATGGAGGGGGCACTAATGCCGTTTCTCTCTCTTTAAAGCTCTATTTCATCAGGTCTTCTATATTCCCACCAAATTTTTTTAACACAATAAAAGACCATACCGGACCATTGGTTCTATGGTGAGCTGGGTACGTACCTATGGTTTTATAACTACCGATGGGGGGAAACTGCACTAATACTCATATCGAGCTAGTTAATCGCCAGACTACAACTGTAGTTTTTTTTTTAATTTTTAAGCCTTCGACCCCTTTCCTTCCTTCCGATTTGCCGCTAAAAATAACTATGACCTTTAATATTTTTTTCTATTTTTTGTACTTTATATTTTTAATTCTTTCTATTTTTAATTTTATTTTTAGCATATTACTTTTTCTCATGCTTAAATCCGTTTTTAACTATTCTTCTATTTTAGGGATGAATTAAATAAGAGGGTTTTTCTCATTTCCTTTTTTAATAGGAAAAGATTTTAAGTGCTCACGCTGAGAGCTAAATTTTGACATTTGCGGACTATATTTGCGGATAAACCTGAAGCCTATTGGATAAGCGGCCATGGAGTCATGCTTAGCAGAGGTGTGCCGTAACTGATTTTGAAAGGCGAAAGACGGAAGACAAAAGTCAATTTAAAAAATGAAAGACAAAATGCGAAAACGCGAAAATCAATTTATAAAGCGAAAGATGAAATGCGAAATAGCGAAACGCCAAAAAAGGCGAAACGGCATCCATAATTAAGGTGGGTGGATCCGCAGGATCTGAAAAAGAGGCCGGATATCCGGAAATCTCCGGTTCGGATACCGGAAACGGATATCCGAGGATTTCGGGTTAGATAGCGTATCCGGATCTCCGGAAATCTTCGGCTCGGCTATCGGATCCGGATATCCACGATTTCCAACTATCCGCCAACCTTAATGCCTAATGCCTATTAACTTACCATATTTTTTATTTTTCTGGCTTATTTTACGTCTAAACCGCAAATTTTAGTCCGCAAGAGTTTTCAACCTTATATAAAAAAAGTAATATCTTTTTTCTCTCAAAAAAGGAAATTTAACCATAATAGGAAATTGGTGTGTTTCTAAATTGAATTGCAAAAATAGAATTGAAAAAAAAAGTAAAACATTTTTAAAAAAATTTAATTTATTCTGTGTATACATTTTTTTGAATAATTTTGTTTAAAAAATTATTAAAAAATATTTTTTTATATTTTTAACTGGGAACATATTTAAAAAAAATTTTATCGAAATTCGCGTTATTTTTAACTCATTTTTGCTTTATTTTTTTCTAATTAAAAATTTCACTCCATTCGTTTTCTCAATTTTTTTGTTCCTCCTCCGTTGACACGTTCCTTTTTAATTGGAACAAGATTAATAGTTTTTGGAATAGGTTGAGGGGTGATTCTCCTTAAATTTTTCACTCGTGCCAAAACGACAGAAAAATCACGTCCTTTTTAGCCGTGCCATTATGGACATTCAAAAATGACTTTGGTTTTTTTTGACCTTTTGGGTTTTTTCAATAAATAATTTAATCACTAGAGTTCGGCACGGGATAAACCCAGTACGGGATCTGACAGGATCCCATCTCGGAATTCCTAGAGTTAAGCAACGAACGGGATTATCGAGCTTAATCCTTGTGATCCCTCCCCTCCCCCTTCCATTCGATCTTTTTAAACCCTATGTATTTTAATTTTAAAATTGAACTCAATTAATTTTAAACCCAATAAACCTAAATTTTTTAAATCCAATGGAAATGCAATTTTGCCTATCTCTTATATAATTTTCCCTATTTCCATTCAACCCACCATCTGATTTTATATTTTTTTCAATCTAGGTACATATTTTTGTTCCGGTTTAATTTTTAATCATTGACCGCGTTTTTATTCCTTTTTCTATTTTCATTTTTAATTTTCCCCGTTATAATTAAATCTGTTTAAAAAAATTAATTTTTTTTTCCAATTTTTTAGATTAAAATCACTTTTTGTGTTAGCGCAAAAAGTTTGGCGAACAACTACAAAATAACTACACACACTAATTTTTTTAAAAAACTCTCTACCCGGCGTTCGCCAATTGCGCTAGAAAAAAATAAATAAATTTAATTAAAAATTAATCTAAATCTACCTATTGTATGTTTTCTGTAAAAATTTATTTAAATTTAACTTCTTTTGCCAACAACCACAAAAACAACAGAACGCCAAAACAACGCTAAAATAATTTTTAAATTAAAATTTTAACTAATTTTGGTTGTCGTCTATTTTTGTTAAATAAAAGACAATTTGCTTTCCTATTTTGGTATTTGAATTGAATTGAAAAAAAGAAATCTTAAAACTTGGACAGGTGTTTTTTAAATTGAATTGGTTCTTTCATTGTTAAATGTACATGTGTGGTTTTATTTAAATTTACCCCTCGGTATTTTTTAAATGACAGTCTAGCAGTCAGGGTTTCTTTATCTAATGTCCTATCGTTTGAAAGATCTTTATTTTCGAGATTGTAAATTTATGGAGCAGAGCTGTTTCGAAGAAGAAGCTTCAAAAATTGAAAAAATTACTAGGATTGTGTGCCCGATCCGAAAGATCGAGTCGGGCATTGAATTTTGGCCCATAAAGACTCGATGCCAGACTCGATAAAAATGAGGCCCGAAAAATGGCTCGAACGTCGGCCAGTCTCGCAAACCCCAACCCTAATTATTACCAAAAGTAATATTAATAACCTCAAATCATATAAATTTCGGACCTCAAAAATATATGTAAATTTCGGAACAATTTTGACGGGGGATTCCAAAGTTTCTCAAAAATTGCCTGAGAATTCTTGGTAGAATTCTTGGTATTCCTGCTGTTTAAAAAAATTTTTTACCTCAAATTTTGTTTTTTTCAGAATGATATCTACCGCTTCTCCTTCCCCCTCTTCTGTCGCTATCACTAATTCTTCTGGGGATTTGTCAAATAAAACAACAAATATTGCAACTCCAAACAGCAATTGTAATATTAAAAATAGAAAAAAGCTGTTGCCTACAAACCAAGCAACAAATGACATAAATGTTTTGAGTCAGTCAAGAACTGTTGAGGTAGTTTGTTTGTTCCTTGGGAGCGCCCAAAACGGCGCGCAGCCATAACGGCGCAAAGCCATAACTTGCTTCAAGATTTCTGAATCTTAACAAATTTGGTATTAAACGACTCTACTCATCGAGCTAAATAGACTAATTCCAAATTTGATAAGGACCAAAAATTTTACAGCTAGTTTTAGCTTTGCGCCGTTATGGCCGCGCGCCGTTCTGGGCTGTACCCCTTATTCCTTTCTAAACCTCCAAACTTAACGCCATTTTTTAGTTTGATCGTTCACATTCGGTAGAATCTAGCATTGCAGCGTCTGTCCCTTTGAGAAGAGCCTCGTGCGCTTTTGATCATAGACAACAACATCATAAGCCAGGGACGCCTCCATATGCAAACAATCATAATCATCATCAACAGTATATTCAACAAAATGGTAATATTTCGGAGCGGGCCCTAATACTTTCTAAAAGTCGTCGAAATGTCGAACCGTGGTTTATTCTAGGGATTTGTATTACTACGGTATTGTATTATGGCCGTTAGGCTTTGCGTCATTTGGCATTATGTCGTTTGCCATTATGTCTGTCTGGCATTACGTCGTGTGCCATTACATCGTTTTAGTATTAAGACAGCATACCTAATTTACATTTCACGAATAAGCTTCATTGTTTTTTAGGAGTCCCTCAACACAATCACCAACATGATTCTTCTGATTGTGGTTCAAGTTCTGGATTGGGCGGTATGGGGACTCCTGTTAAGGGTAAAGATTTTGTTAATTTTTCAAATTTAATTTTTGATAATTTTTCTAGGCTTATCCGGTTCTTGTTCAGCCTCCTCCAACAATTCCATGGCTGCTGATAGTAACTCGCACGAATCGCAAGACAGTTGCGTCCCAATTTCTAGTCCTGGTGCTGCTATGGCTGTAGTTCATGAATTGAAAGGTAACCCAAATTCTGGCCAAAACAACGCTGCTGTGGCTACTACTCACCGTTCTTTGGTAGCCTCTGCAACATTGACCCAGTCAATGATATCTTCGCAACAGTCAACCACTACAATTTCTCCGGTTTCTTCAATCCCTACATTGGTGCAACAACAACAACACCAGCAGCACCATTATAATTCGCATCAAACACCTATACATCCATATCATCATCAACAATCCCAACAACAAATTATTTTCCCCTCTCCTGCTGCTGCTGGTCCTACAAATGCTTTTGCTATAAATGGAAATTTTCATCCTCACCATCAGCAATCTCCCCATCAACAACAATTTGGTGCCTTCATTCCGACAGTAACAGCTCCTCCTTCAAATGGCCAACAACCTCCGCCACCTCCACCCCTTCATCTTGTTCAGCAACATATCCCGCAGGCGAATCAAAATTCGCACCATCCTTCGCATAATGCTATTACACAAATGAGTTTGTCTTTGAATTTAAAGAAATTTTGATTTCCCCAAATTCTAGATGCAATGCAAGCTGCTGCTGCTGCTGCCGTCGTTGCAATGCAAAGTGGAAATTTGGGCCCAAACCCTGCTATCGGACAACCGCTTGGTGCTCCGCCTCTCTACTGTGCTAATGCGCCCCCTCCTCTTGGTGATGTTCTTCAACGAAGAACCCCTGCTGCAGAACAGCAACATCTTCAATACAATTCGCCTCATGGCATTGGATGCGCCTTCTACACTATGACATGTTTGTTTTTTATAAGTATCGGGTGTGCCGTTTCGGATTTCGTCTTTCGCCAAATTTTCACCTTTCTTCGTGTTTCGCCTTTCTCGTTTCGCTTTTTCAAATTAGTTTCGGCACACCCCTGATATATGCAGATTTTTATCAAATTTTTATTTTAAAGGTGAAAATGCTGCATTAGCCTCTGTCGGTGCAGCAGCTGTAACTGCGGGTTATCATGTGACTCTTGAACCGTCCGCTTCTGCTCCGCCTGTTGTACAGCAACAAAATAACAACGAACCTTCATCAACAATTGGACAGCACGTTTCCTCTTCCCCTGCTGCTTCTTTAGTATCTTCTGTATCGTTACCTGTTTCTTGTGCTGCTACTACTGAAGGAGAAGGAAGAGGAGGATCACAGCAAGAAGGGGAACAACAAAAATCTCAGCAGCAAAGATGCTCTCCTCCTCCAGGTTTCGGTAATGAGACCTTTCTAAGACTTATGTTTTGGGTTGTCGGTTCAGAACAGAACCTATGATTTATTGGTTCGGTTCAGTTTTGGACAAGGGCGTGGCCAAGTTCTTCAGGAGGGGCTGAAATGAGGTGCCAAGATCTTGGTGTTTTTACCCCCTGTTTGCTCTATGCCTTTCGTTTCGGATATCCGCAAATTTCAGTTCCGTTCTTCGGTTCGGTTTCGGGACCGACGTTTTTCTAAGAACTGACAACCCTATCGATATTAGTCTTTCATTTTTTTTTTCAGGGGTTGAAGCTGAAAATCAATGTAAAGTTGATGAAGCTGATAGTATACAGAAAAACAAGCAAAATGAAATGGGAACTGATAACTCTAATGGAGAACGTCTTCAAAATGATGCGCAGGACGTAGGTTCAGGAGGAAGTGCTAGTGGTGTCGGAGGAGTTACAAACCATCAAGAACAACAAAACAACAATAACCATAATTCCCAAGAGCATATAACCAATGGACCATTATCATCTCACCCGGCAGAAAATAATAATAACAACAACAGCGTTCTTTTGCCTGGAATTCCACCAGAAATTGCTGCAGCAATAAATGGAGGACACGATCTTTTCGTTTGTTTTTTAGTTTTTTTTCTATGAATTTTTGTGGGTTCCCTAGATTTAAGCATTATTTTGCCTGAAATCTTCCCACAAAATTATTTTATTTCTCTTCCTTAAAGGTACACATTCATCCGGGCGATTCTATCTCTCTTGCTGTTGGAAACGAAATTCAGCTTATTCATGGACCTGCCACAATTAGAATGGTCTCCAATTCAATGCCACCAACAGCGATTCCAATGAACGTTCCTCATGGTCACGTTGTTCAACAATTGCTGGATAGTCAAGGAAATCTTGCACATATCATCATGTCGCAAGAAATGCCGCCACCTCAAGGAATGGGACCAGCACAGCCGCAAATCCATCAGCGACATTCACAGGTTTTTTTGATTTTGAATGATGGGATTTTTTAATTTTTTTAAAGAATTCGCTTCAACCCCAGCAACAACATTTGCAACATCAACAACAGAGGCAGCGCTCAAGTCCAAGTCCTCAAAAATGCGTTACTCCCTCTTTACGATATAGGTCTTCTCCATCTTCGTCTAATTCACCGCCAGATATGCAACAGGTTTGTTAGCTTCTATTTTTCAACCACTGTTCAAGGTTCTTTTCGATTAGGTTTTAAAAGTTTCTCATCCTTTTATCCACATCACGGGTTACCCGAAATTCAACTTTTCACAACCTGTGATATTTCTGATCAGCAATAGTTTTTCCTCAAAAATGTGTTCAAAAATGAGTCTTCAAAAATGTGTTACTCTTAATATACCTCCAAAAATTGAGTTTTTACCCCTCCAAAATAATTTTCTACTAAAAATAAAATTGTAACTTGCGGATAAAGAGTTCAGAACTTTAGAAACATTACTCGGCTAGGGTTCACCTTAGCAACACACTGAAAGTGATGTTTTTCTAGTGTAAAAAGAAGCGCTGAGTTCAAAAAACACTATAAAAGTACTCAAAACGGTGCTCGAAGGCATTTTTTCCCGGATTTTCAGACCCCTGAAAATCGAAAACCAAAGGTGGGACCAAGCTTATTTTTGGGGTCAAAAATTCGAATAGACGAATTAAACCTCATTCGAAAGAGCTCGACGAGCTGAGTTGAATGACACCAAAATCAACGAAATCTGACATGATTTGACAAAGTTATGACCGTTTGTTTTTACCCCTTCCACAAGGTTTTCGCGGAAAAAAGTTTTTGCCGCTGCGGAGGAAGCCGGGCATGTCGAGCGGAACGACGGCCGCCGCTTCGCTACGGTCGCCGCGAGCGCAGCGAGCACGACCGCAGCGAAGCACGGCCATCGTGTAGCGAAGACCATGCCCGGCCTACCCTCCGTAGCAGCACAAAAACAGTTTTTCCAGCGCAGATTCTGCTGGTCATAACTTTGTTAAAAATCATCCAATCGAGTTGATTTTGGTGTCATTCGACTCAGCTCGTCGAGCCCTTTCGAATGAGCTATTATTTGTATATTCGAATTTTTGACCCCAAAAACAGCTTACTCCCCCTGACCATTTCGAGCCCGATGAATTTTTTTAATCTTCAAAAAAATGCCTTGGAGCACCGTTTTGAGACCTTTTATAGTGTTTTTTGAACTCAGCGCATTTTATTACCCTAGAAAAACGTGGTTTTTGTTGTGTTGCTAAGGTGAACCCTTACCACATACTCAAAAAGACCCTGATTCAACAGTGGAATTTTAAATTAAAATTTTATTTTCTTAAATAATAGCATGTTCAACAACAACATTCTCATCATAATAGACATAATCATCCATCTCACCAACAGCATTATGCTGCTCTTTCTTATGACCATTCACAGCAACAGCAACATTCCGCCAATCTCTCACAACAACAACAACAACAATTTTCTCATTCCAATATAGAAGGTGCTGGAACTCCAACTGGAGGAGGCAGTGGAATTGGTGGTGGTAATTATGGAGGAGGACATCATCATCAACATCCAAACCCTCTTAGCAAATGGAGTCCTCGTGGAAGTGGAGGTTTCCAATCTCACCAACAATTTGGACGGCGTGCAAATCATAATATGGTATTTTTGGGGTTCAAATTTTTAAACCGACGCGGGCTGGTATCCGGGCTTTTTCAGACAGACTCGGGCCGGGTTTTCTTGGTTAAATTCCGAAACTCCCGATTTTATTAAGATACCATGTTTCCGAACTGTCGGGCCTGGAAAACCCGGTGCTGGACTCGGCTCCGAAGCCCGGTCCAGGTTCAACGACAGGAGCTCGCCCGGTGTCGACCCCTATTATTTTTACTGGTGTTTATATAAAATTAAATATCCTTGATGAAAAAATTTTTTTCAGCCTCCTACTTATTATATGGATCCAATAATTGCTGCAGCACATAATCAACCTCCCCCTCCTCAACTTTTAAGTGCAGCACATTCTCCTTCAACAGCTCCGTTAGGAATTGCCACAAACGTACCACAATATGGACAGATACAGCAGCCAATGCTTTTGGAGCAACATTTTGAGCATATTCAACCACAGGCTCAGCCACTTCCACAACAATTTGTCACTCCAATTGTACCTATACCCATTGGAGAAGTAGCAGAAGGGGGGCAATTTATTCAACGTCCAACCCCAACTGCTCCGGGTATGGCTCCGTCTACCTTTGAAGATGAAGAAAAGGAGCGTTTGCGTGATTCGATGAGCTCCCTACAACCGCCAATTGTGACAAGAGGTTTTTTAAGAATTTTTTCTCTTTATTTTAGTTAAATAGAGGGCCGTCCTATTTAAGAATGATGAGTGGATGTGGGTTCCCATAGGTGCTGGATGCGATAGGGATTAGGGAAAATCGGTCGACCGCTTGAGCAAGTACTAGGTTGATCGAACTTAGAGACTCAAACTCTCCTAAGGATTGAGACTTTGATCAGGTATAACTTGGGTCAAATGCATTTTTCAAGAAAACGGACACCCTCTTGTCAGTCACGACTGCCTAGAGCGACTTCCCCTATTTCCTTTTTGATTTTATAATCAGCACCCTATGGGCGTGAGCTCATTTTTTGCTTGTTTTCCATGGATTTCACTTTAGAGTCTAGCATTATTTTTTTTAAAAAATTTAAGTTGGTGATCGTGATGCTGATGTAGTGTGGCAAGAATTGGATACTTCAGAAGCTGCTGCCTCTCTACCCGGCTTTCCTGAAATTAATCAATCAGAATTTGCATATCGTCTAATTTTGTATGAACAAAATGCTTCTACTAGTATTTGTTACAAAACTGATGCTAACAGTGGTAATGTGTTACATTTACAAAGACTTCGACCTGCAACTGATTACATGGTTTAAAAATTTTTTTTTGAATTTTTTTTATTTTTTTAACCTTCAGATTTGTATACGTGCTGATTTGCCTGGCCATTGTATTGTTGGTCATCCTTCAGCGTATACTACTTTCCGTACCCTTTGTTCACGTCCTGATGCCCCTCCACTTCCAAGGTTGATGGGGCGTCAACAAAATTCTGTTTCGTTGCATTGGAGAACTCCAAATTGTAATGGGAGTCCAATAATTGCTTATTGTCTTCAAATGACCAAGGTTTCTTTTTATTCTTTTAATTTCTAAAAATTCCTTTTAAGGGAAAATCTGCTTCCTTCGACACAGTTTATGAAGGCCCTCATGATCAAGCGCTTGTTGGAGGTTTGGAACAAGGTTCTTTTTATCGTTTCCGCGTTGGTTGTCGCAATGAAATTGGCCATTCTGATTGGTCTCCACAATTAAATGTTTATCCTGAAAGAGAACATCGTCCCAATGTTAGTGGTGTTGGAGGCCTTGGAAATACTTCATTACATCACAATCAGCATCAAAATCCTCAACATTTGTTTGGAAGCAAAGGTTCTTTAGCTAGCTCCCCTTGTTCGTCTGTTCAACAACAGCAGCAGCAACCACAACATTTAACTTTACCAAAACCACCAGCCCCAACAATTCTTTCTGTAACGTCTAAAGATGTTAAGCTTTCTTGGAATGAATTACAGCCATGCCTTGACTACTTGAATATAACGGTTAATATTTTTATTAAAATTAGAGTAGGATCCGGGGTTTCCTGGCCAGGGGTAGCTGGAAACCAGGTATTTTTGATAAAATCCGGTTTTTCGGGGTTTAGCCTGGATATCGGACCAGGCAATTTAAAAATATCAAACTCTAAAAAATTCCTTTCCCCTTTTCAGTTGGAAGTGTCTGATTTTTCTGGACGCGGTCCACATCATTTTACACCAATCCCAGTTGAATTTTATGCAAATTCTGGAACATTTGCTAATGTTACTGGACTTCAAAGGTTTTCTAAAAAATATTTTTTTAAGTTAAAATTTTTTTCTTTTTTAGTAATCGAGAGTATCGGTTCCGTTTATCGGTTAGTACAGCAAACGGAGAACAACACATGTATTCAGATTTGGTTGCTGTAAGAACTCGCTTGCATAATGAACCACAACAACCACCACAACAATTAAAAGAAACTCGTCATCATGAACAACAACAGTTTGAAAGGACAGAAAGAGTAACTCAACCAACAACAACTCAACCTCCTCAACAGCAACAACAAAGGACTAGCATTGGTTCTTTTGACAATGAAAATCAACAGCAAAAATCACAGGGATCAATGGAGTCTCAAAAATCAACGTCTCAACAGCAACAATATCGACAAAAAGGAGGAGGAAATGTTGTTCAACAGCAACAACAACAACCACAAAAACGATCAAGTGGTGGTACTACTTACTCTAAAAAACAGCAACAACAGCAAAAGAATGGATCAGTATCACAACAACAGCAACCACAAAAGGAGCAGCAACAGGTTTTTTTAAATATTTTTCGGGACGCCAAACATTGGGAGGTACATATCGTGATATTTCAATGTTCGGACCGTTATCTGCTTATTTTGGTACCTACGGCTACGGGTTTTGATTGTATGTACTTGCCCTATTGAAAAAAGTCTTATAACCAACATAAACACAAGGGGACCGTATGTTTCCCGTATTGCTCCCTACCTATTTTTGTCTATTTTTTCCAATTTTTAAAATTTTAGCAACACTCACTTGATCAAATTGAAGCTCCTATTCAACAAAAACTAGCAAAGACTCAACAGCAACAACCTGAACTCAAACCGCCATCTTGTTCTGCGCCGAAATTTTTAGCAATTACTAGTGAAACTGCCAAAATTACTTGGGGAATAAATGTGAGATATTTTGAAGTTTTTCCTTTATTCTTCAATTTTTAGCAAACTCCAAACAGTCCAAAAACTGGCGGCGCAACCTCTGTTGCAGCACCAATGTTTGAATTACAACGTGTTGACCGCCAACATCCAAAAATTTATTATGCTGGTTCTGACACTGAATACAAGTTGGAAGGACTCCGGCCTGTTGAACACTTACAATTTAGAGTTCGAGCAGTACTTCTTGATACTGAGGGGCGAAGATTTGAGGTTAAAATTTGATTTTTTGCACGTAAATTAATTTTTTTGTAGGGCGAATGGTCTCAAGTTGGTTCGGCCTGTACTCTCTGCGGTCCACCAACTGCTCCTCGTGGATTGCGAGTTGAACAGATTTCTCAATCAACCCCACAAACAGAAAATGATGACGATGTGACTTTTGAAAAAATGTCTAAAAAGGCTTCCACTGCCTCTTCTTCTGCTGCTAGTAATAGTTTTGGACATTCCACACAAGCTGGTCAATCAATCAGTCTTTGTTGGGAATCACCAGCTCATTTGAATGGAGCACCTGTTGTTGAATATACTATACATGCACACAAGTTTGTTTTTTATAATTTTTTGGATAAAATATGAGGCCTCCCTGAAGACCGTCAGCCCAGAGACCTATAATTTTTGACAGGGAATATCAGGGGATTTGGAGGGGATAACGTTAGATTTGAAATGATTGAATGGGATAGAAAACACAGCCGGAGCTATCACTACCCCTGAGCTATACACCGGAGGTTCTAAAATACAGAACTGGATACTTATCCCCCTTAATCCCTCGATGTTCCCTTTCAAAGGTTGTAGGTCTTTAGGGACCTATGTACAACTTTTGAAACTGGCGTTGAGGGTCGAATTTGACCCCAAAAAAATCTGAATTTATATTTTTAATAGATCTTTTGCTTCGGATGATAAACAAGATTTAAATGAGGCAGAATTGAAGGAGATTATTAATGAAAGTGAAGAATATTTGCTTGGTTCAACATCAGATACCAAATTTATAACACCAAAACTTCAATTTGCTCATCGCTTTATTTTCTTGGTTTGTGCTCACAATGAGGCTGGTGCATCACCAAAATCGGAACCGATTGTTTACTTTAGTCCGCCAGGAGTTCCCGATCCTCCTAGAGATATTATGGCTGAGGTTTAATTTTTTAATTTTAAAAAATCAAAATTTTGAAATTTTTAGGCGTTGAGCACATCAGAATTACAAATAAGCTGGACTGACCCGGCAAACAATAATGGAATGCCAGTCACTTATTACCATTTGAATTGCTACAAAATTTTCCGAACATTGGAACACTCTTCTGGAAAGCATCGACAGTTAGTTAGTCAACAGGTATATTATTCTAAAATTTGGGTATAAACTAATGTAAGAGGTCGACTATCTAGTGATCAAATGACCCTGGAGGTCAACTTCAAATATTTGGACGGATTAAGAAGGATTTGTTGGATTAAAACGGATTTGGGGGATTAAGAGAGGTTTCTATGGGGGGAGGGGGATTAAGAGGATTTGTTGGGATTGAGGTGATTAAGGGACACTAGGCGGAAATTTTCTTGAACAATGTCAGATAAGTCAAAAGGTGGCATGCAAATGCCCCGCGTCGTTGCCCTTTATCCGCCAAGATATGTGGAGTTGACTTAACAGGGTCATGTGACCATTGTGAAGTTGACCGCTACACTGTGGAGTCTAAAATTTGTTTAAAAAATATATTTTATTTTTTAAAACAGATTGTTCCTGGCTCTCAACGCCTTTTAATAATTCAATCACTTGAAACTCAAACTGAATACGAAATTTGTTTGCAAGCAGAAAATTCAATAGGAAAGAGTTGCCGCGAATCAGTTAGATGTTCAACAATGGCAAAACCTCCTGAGCCACCAGAATTATTTTTGTCTCAAGCAACTGCAAATACTTTAAAATTGAAATGGAATGTTCCTGGTGGTTAGTTTTTGGATTAAAAATTTTTTTGAAATTTTTTTCTCATTTTCAGATGCTTCTTTAATTAATTATTATTATTATTTGGAAAGAGAAAATGAAAATGGGACTTATTCACCTGTATATGAGGTTTGAATAAAAAAATTTTGGGAGGAATTTTGAACTTTGTATGGCCCCTTGTTTTATTTTCTCCTTAAATCATTGGCGATAATTACCTACCTCTAGTTAGGACATCTAGGCGTGTGTATCTGGGATGTCATGGGTTGAAAAAAAGTCGTGTTTCGGGTCGGTTTTTCAAAATTTTCTTAAGATCGTGTTTCTGGTCAAAAAGAGCATGAGTTTCTGGTCGTGACATCCTTGGTACAACACCCAACGCTGGATTAGGTTCTATTTACAGAAGCAGGTGATTTACGTCATAGTTTGTGGTACACACGCACAATACCTAGTCATAAATCCTGACACACAGAGCTGGGTACCTATTGATTTAGGGAGAAAATAAAAGGAGGGTTATACAAGTTCAAAAATCCCAAGTCTTTGTATTTTTCTAAATTTTCTTCTTATTTTCAGGGTGATTTGAGAACTGCCAAAGTTAAAGGATTAAGAGAACTTACAATGCATCATTTCCGAATTCGTGCAGCCCTTTCAAAAGGGACAATGCTTGGCACATGGTCTACCCGTTATTCATTTCAAACAACTAGACAACCTCCTGCTCCACCTAAACAAGTTTAAAATTTTTTAAATTTATTTTTGGAATTAATTTTCCTTCTTTTAAAGGCTCCAACAGTTTATGAACTCTCTAATGACCTTTTCAATTTTGAATGGATCGCGGCTCGAAGCAAGGATTCCTCTTCTGCAGATATTCAACGGTTAGATGCAGGAGGATCTTCTTCAGCCAATGATTACCAAAATTCACAGATTATTTATCGACTTCAGGTTTGAAATGTTTTAAAAAGGAACCACGTTTAGCCTGAGATTAGGGTTGCCGTTTTCGAGTCTGACCGACGTTCGAGTCATTTTTTCGGGCCAAAATTCGATGACCGACTCGATCTTTCGGACTGGACCGGGCCGGCAACTCTACAAGAGATGGGCAAAAACCGCTTTCCCGGGATCCCGTAAATTCATTGAATTTTAAAAACTCGAACGGGAGAGAGTTACTCCCGTTCGTCGCTTAAACCCCGTGATTCCGGAACGGGATTCTGTAAACTCGCATACGGGCTACTCTCGTGCCGACTTCTAATTTAAAAAATTTTTTTGTGAATCGAAATTCGAAAAATTTTTTTACTATTTTTGAATAATTTTCTTCAAAAAAATTTTTAGATTGCCCCCAAAGTTGCTTCATCAGCAAAAGAAAAATCGGTTGTTGAAATATGGAAGACTGTTTATGAGGGGGTAAATTAACAACAAAAAAATTTTTTAATAAAATTATTTTTAGGCCAATACTTGTTTTACCCTTTCAATCCCAAATACAAACCAACAACCACGTCAAGCACGTCTTTTTATTGTTCAACAATTTTTTGATAATAATGATGGACATTTGTTAGATGAATGTGTTTCTGCCCCGTCATCTATTGTTGTTTTTTCTTCACAAAAGTCGCCTAATGAATCTCCCAAGAAACGAGCTATTCATGGAGGGAAAAATTCTTCAGGTTTTGATTCTGAAATTTTTTATAAGGCTCCAAACAGTTAATCCCATTTAATGGTTAAGACGGATCTCGAAGGGATATCAGTGGATTTAAAGGAATTGGGGGGATTTGGAGGAATAAAGTTGATATTAGGGGGATTAAGTGTATATTATAGGATTAACTGGACTAAAGAGATATCAGTGGATAGGAGGGAGGTATATCTCTGGATTTAGAGGGATAAATGGGAACCATGGGATTTACTGGTTAAAGGGATATCAGTGGATAGAGAGGGATATCTGTGCATTTGACGGGATAAAGCGGAAATTGGGGGATTGGATGGGTTAGTTGAGTTCGGGGAATTTCCTCAGTATCCCCTTTATATCCCCTTGCAAAATATTTTTTTCAAGGTCCATCAACTAGCAGTGGTGGTGGACGTGGACGGCAACAACAGGCAGCCGTTCATTATCCAAATCCAAAGGAAACTAAAGTTACAATGTACAAAAGATTAAAACGATTTGGTAGTTGGATAAGAAAGACGGCATCAGAGAAGGATTGTGCCTTAATTGTTTTGGTATTTTTATTTTTAAAAATCTTTGGGGTTTGATTTTGGGACTATCCGTATTTGAACTTTGTAAACATTGATGGAAATTGGCAGTTTTAAAAATCATTAACCGGCTGTCATAAAATTTAAGAACCAATAATTTTGGAAGATTGATTTTTAAATTTTGCAAGATAAAATTGGTAAAAAACCGAAAAAACGAAAACCACTGAAACGGGGAGGGTTAGGTTCTCATAATAACCGCTCGTGGACAGCGATCTACTTCAGGGATTTCTTGGGGCGAGAAAAAAGTTTGATCGGGTTTTTAAAATTTTCTACGGGTTGGGTTTCGAGTAATCCGTGGCATCCCTGTCTGCTTAACGAGCTTTTAAGTTTTTTTACGTAAATTTTATTCTTTTTTTAAGACACTCTTTGTGATCCTAGCTTTTGGAATAGCTATTCTATTAAACAACTACTATTTGAATTGAATTAAAATTTTATGTGCTTCCTACAAAAATCCCAATCTTTTTTTAAATTAAAAAATTATTCAGTGTTTGTATAAATCGTGCTGCAAACTCTGTGCTTTCTACGTCTCTAATATTTTTTTCCTTTTAATTTTTCTATTCAAAAATTATTTATTTTTTAAAAAAATTGGTCGTATCTGCATTTATTTTTATAATTATAGACTATAAATTAAATTAATTAAATATATTTATTTTTTCCCTAGTTTTTCTTGTTTATGTACCACCAAATTTTATTGTTTTTTTAGAACATATCCTTTTATTTTAATCTTAATTTTTCTTCTTTTCCGTAATTTTGTGTCTTAAATTCTTTCATAAAATTATATTTCCCATTGAATTTAAATTTAATTAAAAATTTAATTAAATATTTGGCGCTAATAAGGAAGGAAAATAATGTAAGATGTCCCCTTTATTCGTCCAAGTATTTGGACTTAGGCTTTAGGATTGACCTTTTGGGTCTTCTGGAGTAGGCCCTTACTAATAACCTGCAAAATCTATTTTCCATAGTCGGATCCGGGTTTCTAGCAGAACCAGACCAGAAATCGGGTAACCCTTTCTGTTTCGATTCGGAACTAATCAGGAGACCGCAAAAAACTCCGGATTCGGGACCTTGACACTGTAAAAGTCTGACCGGATCCGATCGGCGCCTGTCACTATTAAATACACATTTTCCTTCCTTAACTAAAAATTTTGGTAAAAAATTTCTTTTTTTCCCAGTTGGTTTTTATTTTCTTTTTCTTTTAATTATATTTCCCCTTAATTGTATTCCCGTAATTTTTTTCATGTTTGGTGCTTAAATTTACTTAAAATGTTTTTTTTCTTATTTTTCACAATTTTTATTTTTCTTATTTAATTTTTAATCCAACCATTCATTTTAATTTTAAAATTTCCATTTTTTTAATTTAACTAAAAAATAAATTTCTGAGACGTTTTTTAAAGAAAAGAATATATGTATTGAGATGAGATTATTGTGATATATTCGATAATTTTATACATATAAAAATTTAATTTTAATGTATTTTTTTATTTTATTACATTTTTTTGTTTTTACCACAAATATAATATTTTTTTAAAAATTGCGGATAGAAATTTGCAAAAAAAATTTTTTTGGTTTTTAGAAAAATTAAATTTTGATGAATTTCTGTTCTGTCGCTCCGATGAATTTTTGGCTGGTTCTAAAAATGTTTTTAGTGCGCGACTTTCAAGGACCCGACTTTTGTGAATAGGTAATTGACATTAAATTATGCATAAATGTGTTGGTTCCTATTTTTCTGATCATGATTGTTTTCTTTTGTTGGCCGATTTGCTGTATTGGATAAATTGATTAATCCTATTTCTGTTGGATAGAAATCATGGTACTTATGAAGATGGAGGTGCCCTTTCTGCGGACTTTTTTTGCGGACTTTTCTTCCCTTCTTTTAAATGTTTTACTTGTAGCAACTAACTGTCAACGCCACTCCCCCATTATTCTTCTTACCTAAGATTGTACATAAAGGTCAGATTTTCTTCTTCCTCTCCTTCCTCTATTTGCCCTGTGGCAAATTCAAACGAGACATTGATGAAGAGAAGATTAGTTTTTATAGTCATACACTTATTTTTTTGCCTTTGGAAGACACGCCAATCAAAAAAGAATTCAATAAAATTGATTTGGTGTATAACATTATGAATTTGTGTGTAAAAACATTACATTCTTACTTCTATTTTAAAATATTGAACAACTGAGAAAATAAATTGAACTCAGTATTGAACAACTCAATTAATTTTAATCTTCTCTTTATCAACAATATCTCTTATTTGAATATGCCAAGCTCAATCAGAGGAAAGGAAATCTGACCATTTTGTACAATCTTAGGTAATAAAAATAATGGGGGGGGGGGGGGGCAAGGTTTGAAATTACCCGCATTTCTGTTCCACAATAACATATTCTTTTTTTTATGAAGTATTCCGAGATCAGTGATCCATTGTCTAAATTCATCATCGGGTAATTGAAAATTTAGTTAAAGTCAAATTTTTTATTGATTGTAACATTTTTACGCTTATATATTCAAATTAATCGTGAACACATATTTTTCAAATTGGCATAAAAAATAATCCTTTGACAGTTAATTGCTACGAGCAAAACTTGCTGAAAGCAAAACAACCAAAACATTTAGAAAGAAAGGAAGAAAAGTCCGCAAAAAAAAGTCCGCAGAAAGGGCACCTCCATCTTCATAAGTACCGAAATCATCAATCTCATTTTTAGCCTCAGCATATAGTCATTTTATTTGGGGAGCTTTATAAGTTCGTTCGTGGTGTACTGGTTAGTGCTGTTGACTACAGCTGTTTCTGATGAGGGTTCGAGCCCCTTGCGGGGAAAATGTTTTTTGTACCCATTTTTTAGTTTAAAAATTTTTTTTCAACATAAAGGATGAACGTGGGCCCCCTCTAATAATTTTATAATATACAGGGGATCTTTACAATCCCCCTTTCCAAAAATTATAACTACTATATTATCCACTATTAAATTATTGATTGATGGGTAGTATAGGAGACTGAATTTATTTAGCAATATAATTTTAAAATTATTAGATGGGGAGCGCATGGGAATCTTTTTAAGCATTATTTCTTGCTTTCCTTTTCTTTTATCTAACTCTTTATTTTTCTCTTTCTTTTATTTTTCTATGTTTATGAAAAGACAAAAGAGAACCCCATATTTCGCCGATAAGGCTAAAAATTGACGTTTTGCCTATAAGTCTGTTGGCAAAACGTCTATTTTTACCCTCATTGGCAAAATATGGTTTTGGCAAATGATTTGCTTCGAGTTTAACTTCTCTTTGCTATAGAAAATTTTTTTGCAAATTTTTTTTAATCTTTCTATTTTTTATTTAAGAGATTAATGGAACAATGACTAAATTATGAATGAAATAAATTACGAAAAGGCACACTTGCATTGGAGTTCAGTAACCAGCAATGTGGATGGAATGCTTGGTGGTTTTGAACAGTTGCATTCAACAGATATAAACACTTCAAAGCAATTATTGGATTATTTGATCAAAAAGGTTTTTTAATTAAAATTGAATTTGAAGGAATTTTTGGGTACTATGGAATAAGGGAGGGCCATTTCTGCAGTATTTTTGCGAGGTTTGCTGACTCACTTGATTCTTTGACGGCTGGTAATCAACTGACAATTAGTGTATGTCGATAAGAAAAAGGCTCCCTACCCTCGAAAATTTTTCTGTCAGGAATGACCCTTTGACAATCCAATTTCTGTTGTAAGGAGTGTCCGCGAGACTTCCCACCATATATTCAATCCCAACACATTCAGTTTTTAAAATCCTACGTGACTCTTAAGGAACGACCGTTATTATTCGAGGTTATTTTTTCGATGCTAGTTTCATTTTTGGTTTCAAAAATTATTTGCGGACAAGACTTGCGGATTTTCAGAAAAAATTTTAGTTGGGAAAATTTTATTTCTACATCTATCATTTTAATTCAATTTTATATTTTCTCGATTTTACAGCAACTTTTAACCAAATTTCAACACGCATTAGACTGTGGAAGTGGAATTGGACGTATAACAAAACATTTGCTTCTTCCAAAATTTAATTATGTTGATATGGTTGATTTTGCTGAAACGGTTTTGTTTTAATTTTTTTGTTTTTCAAATGCTTCTTTTTTAGTTTATTGAACAGTCAGAGAAATATATTGGTTCTGAAGGAAATTCTCGTGTTCAAAACAAATTTGTCGAATCTCTTCATACCTTCAAGCCAACCCCTAAATATTATGATTTGATTTGGATACAATGGGTGACTGGACAATTGTCGGATGATGATTTGACTAATTTTCTGAGGAGATGTAAGGTTTGTTTATTTTATGGTTTTTGAGAATTTTGGGAGGATTTGTGGTTGTCTTTTCTTGAGGCTAAAGTGGATGTGAGGTAACATTCCTTTTCTGCTTATAGCTGTTATTTTAGAAATTCTGTTAACTTCTTCGATGGTGTATTGGTTAAGACTTCCACCTACATTTATTTTCGATGAGGGTTCGAGTCCTTCTGGCTGCTATATATTTTATTTCCTTTTTATTTTACTCTGGATATTTTCTTCAAACCTTCCTTTCAATTTCTCATTAAATTTTATTTTTTTTAGAAAGGATTAACTAAAAATGGCTGTATTATTATAAAAGACAATATAACAAGTCGAGATGAAGAAAGAATTTTTGATGAATGCGACAATTCTTGGACAAGGCCCTTAAATGAATTACGACCATTAATTGAAGCTGCTAATTTAAATATTGTTTTGGAGAGAAAGCAACTTTTCTTTCCTAAAAATAATTTTCCGGTATTTTTTACTTTCTTTTATTAAATTTTTTTTGTATTTTTCAGGTTTTCATGTTCGTCTTAAAACCTTCAGATATTATTTGATTTTCTTTTGCAGAAGAATTTAAGTTTATTTTTCGTTAATTTTGTTTAAATCCTCCTCAATTTCCTTTAGAATTTCTGAGATATCCTTGCCGTTTAGAATTCTCAAAAATCACAAAAAATTTTGCGCACATAAAAAAATCCGCAAAAATTTTTCGCAGAAATTTTTTTGAAAAAATCTTTTTTTGTTCCTTTTAGAACACTGGCCAACTATTTGTAGATTTTTTGAAAGAATACTAAACGAAAATTTTTTCCTTTTGAGACTAATAAATTGATTTTTTTTCTATTTGTCCATGCTCTGAGCTTTCTTGTTTGTTTTCAACTCAGTTTTTTGCCTTATATGGTTATTGTTGATAAAAAATTTTTCTTTTTCTTTTAATTCCAATTTTTATCAGTTTTTATCTGTTAATATTTATTTTTTATAATTTTTTTTAGATTTTTAAGGCTTTTTTGCTTAATTCTCTTCCAGTTTCCACAAAATCAAACAAAGAAAATATGACGATGAGCAGAGTTTATATTGGCAATTTGTCTTCCCGTGTTACCGACCGAGAGCTTGAACATTTCTTTAGAGGATTTGGAAAAATACGTGATGTAATGTTAAAAAACGGATTTGGATTTGTGGTTTATTTTTAATTTTTTGAGCATTTTTTAAATTTAATTTGAAGGAATTTGACGACTACCGTGATGCTGAAGACGCTGTGTATGAACTAAATGGACGTGAACTTTGTGGACATAGAGTTGTTGTGGAAATTTCTCATCGTTAGTTTCCATTTTTTGAATTATTTTTAAGGGGGTATAGAATTTGTTGAGGTCTTTGTGGTGTAAGTTTTGTTAACGGTCCTAATTGTTTGGCTTCCATCTAAGCGATTTTAAATGAAAGAAGAATGTTTTCTGTAGTTTGTTGGTAGTGTTCCTCAGTGCAATACCTTTTGATGGAGGAGGTTCGAGTCCTCTGGTCTCCAACATTTTATTTTTCCCATTTTTAGTATTTATTTTCATCAAGTTAAACTTTTGTGCAAATTTATTAGGATTCTCTTTAGAAATAAAAAAGCAAGACATTAACAAGGTTAAGAATGTTTCTTTTTATGAAAGCCCAAACGAATAGGACCGGTTTCATTTTTTGGACACAACTTGCCTTGCAAATAGACTATTGGGCACTATATGAAACGAGGTCGGTAATCGTTTTTTAGTTACTTTTTTCATTAACTTTTTTCCTTCCTTAATTATAAATAATGGTCAGTTTTTTTTCCTCGTTCAATTCAACTCTTTTTACCTGTGGCATATTCAAATGAGGACAGACAAAAACACACACACGGACAGACAAAACACGAGTGTTTTCTGTTCGTGTTTGTCTGGTGTTTTGTCTGTCTGTTTCGTCCGTCTTTTGCACATCCATATTTGTCTGTCTGTGTCCGTCCGTGTTTTGTCTATCCGTGTTCGTCTGTCCGTGTTTGTCCGTTATGACTGTAACTTGTCAGACCATGACTTGTTACTCCTGTGTCGGCACAAAAAGAAAACAGGAGATGCCAGAATCATCCTTTTCTTTATCATTACTCCTATGATTATGCCACAGGGAATATAATGGAATAGAACAAGGAGGAAAATGCTGACCATTCTGTCATATCAAGGAAGGAAAAAAGTTAATGAAAAAAGTAATGAAAAAAACGATTACCGACTTCGTTTCATATAGTGCCGACTATTGTTTAACAAGCTTACCGTCTATAAATTTTCGAATTTTTTTCGTCTTTTCATTGTCCATATCAGGGATGGGCCCTGCCGCATGTTCTAAAGCGGAGGACTTGTCGCGGAAGATAGCCCACTCTGGTGTTGCATACATATATTAACATTTTCATAATTATTTTAGTTTGGCTTATTTTATATTTTTCAGGTTCTCAGCAACAACAACAATATCGAAGTGGAATGCGATCGTAAATTTTATTTTTTTATCCTCCGTGTAAAAATCTTTTTTTAGCCGTGATGGCCGTGTTAATGGACGTTTTCCTCCGCCAAGAGAGACACGTCATCGGATGCGTGTTACTAATTTGTCGACTCGATTTTCTTGGCAGGTTTGAAAAAAATTTTATTTTAAATTTATTTTTATGAGCTAGACTGGTCCAGTTTACCGTGAGTTCCTCCCGCATTATCATAGCTAACCCCAGAAAAGGACAAGGTTCGTACCGGGTCATCCAACGCGGCTTGTATGTCTCGGATGCCTACTAGAATTGTCCATGTTGACTTTCACGAGTAAAACCGTTCTTAATTTTAAGCCTCTTACCCGGTAGACTGGGCTGTAGTAGAGTAGAGTATCCGTTAAAATATTTTTTTGGTTATTTTGTTTAAATAAGGTGAAATTAGAATGGCGGCTCTTGAATCCGCAATCACTCTCTTTGGCCTTGGCACAAAAAATATGGCTGGCGGAGTTCACCGCCTTGCCATTCCTTCACTCAAATCTTTCTCATGAGAGGGCCGTTTTACTCTTTCTGTGTCCCTTTTGCTGGCCTACTCTGGCTTGCATATGCTTTTGGAAAAACACAAAATTAAAAACAATTTGGCCTTTGCTTGAAAAAATTTGGTGAAAAAAATTTCTAACTTTAAATTGGTGAAGGAGAGTGTAAAAAATTCTCAAAATATGGAGAAAAAATTGAGGAAAAAAGTTTTGATTTGAAGAAAAAATAACTGACAGGCCGTCGGTAATTGACAAAAGAGGCTAAAAAATTTAATTATAAAAATTGGTGGATCTGCAAGGTTGGAATTGCTTCAAACTTACAAGTTTATTTTTAATCGCGGCCTGTCTATTTTTTTAATTTTTAAAAAATCGTTCTATTAAATAATTTTTTCCTTTTTAGGACCTAAAAGACATGATGCGAGATGCAGGGGAAGGTTTTTCTTTTTTCATTCAAAAAAAAAATCTAAAAAAACTTTTAGTTACTTATGCTGATGCCCACAAAAGAGTTCGAAATGAAGCGCTAGTTTGTTTTGCTACACACGATGATTTGCGCCGAGCAATGGACAGATTTCAAGGTTAAATATGTTTATTTTCAAGTTTGGAATTGGGTTTCTCAAGCCAAAACTTAAAACTTTTACCCATTGAGACGGGAATGTCTTATATTGTTCCCCTTTTTTGTTAGTATTTGAGATTCTTCTTCTCTAAAATTTTTACAATCTTGGATTTTTTATTGCCTAGTCGTGCTCCAATATTTCAATAGGTTCAAATAACTTGGAAATTTATTTTTGCAATCAATTTCTTTGCCTCTTTTCGATTTTTTAATCTGCTTGTTACTTCCCGTTCCTGTGGGTAACCTTTTTGGTTTTTGGACAGATTGCGATTTCCATACTTATTGTTAGGTATTAACCCGTTATTATTTTTTAAAGGCAAAGAAATCAATGGACGTCGTATAAAGCTTATTGATGATTCCTATAATGGTGGAGGACGTCGTTCATATAGCCGTTCGCGTTCTCGATCGCCTCGTAGCCGTTCACGCAGTCGTTCATACTCGAATGACCGCCGTTCTAATTCTGCGCGTTCACGTTCACCACCTCCAGAACCATCTCGTTCGCGAAGCACTTCACAAGTTCCTGGTATATTTTTTAATTTTATAAGGTGGAGAAATTCTAGGAAAGAATTAGGGATATTCACTAATGGTTATTAAGAGTAGGAGGAGGGATTTTGTTTCGGGCATGTTTTTATTGAGTCGGCTAACAATTCGAAGTGGAGTTCCTTTCTCTGTTGTTCGGAACGGGGACATTCCGTAGGACCAAACGCCGAAATTCCAAACTCCTTAAAATATTTCAAAATAAAACTGTTTAGACTTCAAATATTTTTTAGCTAAAAATGCTGACGATGCTGAGAGTATCGAGAAACGTAGCCGCTCTCGTTCTGCTTCGGTTGGAACTGAAAAGAATTGAAGAAGATTGTGAATAAAATGAAAATGGATGAATAATGATTTATAATCAATTTATGCTATTCTTATTTTTGTTTAATTAGTAACAAATTAAAATTTCCTTTAATATTCATTTGTGTAAAATCTGTTTATCGACGTAAAATCCGTTTAACGACGACCTTTTGGTGAAAATATTCAAAGTTATCGGTCTCTTAACACCCTTTTTGGCCGTTCCGGTCTTATATTGCACTTGTCTTTTAATTAATCTCTTTTTTAACCTCTTTTGGCCGTTACGGTCTTTTATTGCACCGGTCTTTTATATCGGTCTTTTGACTTCCTACTGCCGTTCCGGTCTTTTATTGAGACGGTCTTTTAATTTATCGATCTTTTAACAACCTTAATCTGTTCCGGTCTTTTATTGCAACGGTCTTTTAATTAATCGATCTTTTAACAACCTTAATCTGTTCCGGTCTTTTATTGCGACGGTCTTTTAATTAATCGATCTTTTAACAACCTTAATCTGTTCCGGTCTTTTATTGCAACGGTCTTTTAATTAATCGATCTTTTAACAACCTTCGGCTGTTCGGCTCCCCTACAAAAGATAGACTCGCCAAAATATAGATGCACTAAAATATAGACTAGGCCAAAATCGATTAAAAGATAGACGCAACAAAATATAGATGCACTAAAAGATAGATAAGGTCAAAATCGATTAAAATATAGACTGCAAATAAGCCGGTTGAGTCTGGACAAAAAATTTAACCACCTGAATCTCTTGCTGGAATAACTTTTTGTGCTGCTACGGAGTGTAGGCCGGGCACGGTCTTCGCGGTCGAGCTCGCGGCGACCGTCGTTCCGCGCGACATGCCCGGCTTCCTCCGCAGCGGCAAAAACTATTTTCCGCGAATATACTAAAGTACGAATGAAATAAAAATCAGAACAGAAACATGAAATCAGAACAAAGATAAAAAAACAAACAAAGATCAGGCACTCAACAGTTGGTACTCAACTGGCCTGCAAACTTTATCTATGTTTTACCTAAATTTAGACGTGTCTATATTTTAATAGATTTTGCCCCTATCTATCTTTTTGTGCATCTATCTTTTAGTGCATCTATCTTTTTATCGATTTTTGCCTTATATATCTTTTAGCTGCTTTTGGCCGCGTCTATCTATTAATCGATTTTAGCCGTATCTATATTTTAGTGCGTCTATCTTTTGAGGGGACACGGGCTGTTCCGGTCTTTTATGCACCGGTCTTTTTACTAACCAGTATTTTGTATAGGCGATTGGGTGCTGAATGTTGAGAGTGCAATAGCTACTGTATAAACCAATTATAGCACCTGTAGACCGGGAAATTCTATCTTTCCTTGATTAACTTTGACTATTGGACATGTTTAAATGAAGCTGTTGCAGGCCTAAAATGTATAAAATGATCTTCGATTTTTTGATCTTCAATTTTTTACAATAAATTTTTAAAATTTTTCCGATTTCATACAGCAATGGACTTTTTTAACAACGAGGGACTTTATCCCGACAGTATCAGAACAAGTCCAAGTTAATTGAGTAAATCCTTATCGAACCAATTAAGACGTTTTTATTCGAATACAGTAGCTTTTGTTTCAAAAAATCAAATCAAAAAACAAATCAAAAATCAAAAAAAGTTTTCAAAAAATCGATTCTGATGAATAACTTATATTTTAAAAAATTTATTCTTTCCAAAAAGATCGATAACATCAATACTAATTGAAAATTTATTTACAAGAAATCTTAATTTTCACAAAAATAGGTTTTAATTTTTGCCACTTCGCTCTCAAAATAAGCACCGAACTGGCCATAAATACTTATTTATTTTTTTCTCTAACTACACTATTTCTTTTTAATAATTTCTCTAAACAGGACATCATTTCTCAAGTTTAAGGAACGTCCCAGTTAAGTCACGCCGGCTGTCGTGTCTAAGTTTCTACAAAACACAACAAAAACAAGGCCAAAACATTTTATACAACAAAAATAAAAACTCAAAAATTAAAAACAAAAAATAACAAAAAAAATTTTAAAAATAAAAGATTAACACTAAAAAATTCAAATAAAATTATTGTAGAAGCACCACTTTGCTTGTAATCCATTGATGTCCGTCTTGTTATTGCTGTTCCTGTTGATGTTGTTGCTGGGAATTGTTCAAGTCTGAAAGAAAAAAGGAATTTTGCGTGATTTTAGACCCCATTTCAAGCTTAATATCTCCGTAAATTTGTGATAAAAGGGGTAGATTGGAGGAGGATTACACAAAATTTTCCTCCTTATACACAAAATTTTCCTCCTAAAGTACAAAGTTTAAAGAAAACAGCCTGTTACAAACATAAAACAAAAGGTCAACTGTTCTTGGAGGAATACGAGTTGTCCCCGAAGAGCTTAGACGATGCTGGGACAACGGAAAAATACAGATACATTCAATTGTATCAGTAATTTGAGAACCCCAACCCATTCAGAAATTCACTCAAAAAACCCCCTCAACTAAAATAAATAAATTACCATTGTCTCAATCACGCCTTCCTCCCCTTGCAAAAATCCACAACCAAAGGATGCCCAATTCTTGTTTGTCTCAGCCAGGATCGTCCAACCAGCGAGTGTGTCCATCCATAGTTGAACATGTTAAAAAAATTTTTTAAAAAGAATTCTTAAACTTATTAAATAACCTTTCACTCCTAGTTTTCAGGATTGTTGTAGAAGCACCACTTCGCTTGTAATGCCCATCTTGTTGTTGCTTTTTCTGTTGATGTTGTTGCTGGGAATTGTTCAAGTCTGAAAGAAAAAAAGGATTTAGTGTACTCTTGGATCTCATTTCAAGATAATATTTGCGTAAATTTATTGATAAAAGGGGTAGATTGGAGGGGGATTACACAAAATTTTCCTCCTTATCCTACCTAAAGTAAATATATAGAGGTGCCCTACAAAGTTCAAAGAAATCAGTCTGTTATAAATAGAACAAAGGGTCAAGTGTTCTTTGAGGAATACAAGTATGTCCTCGGAGTTTAGACGATGTTGGGACAAGGAAAAAAAAACAGATACATTCAATTGTATCAAAAATTTATCCCAAAACCATTCAGAAATCCTTCGAAAAACCCCTCAACTAAAAAAATAAATAAACTACCATTGTCTCAATCACGCTTTCCTTCCTTTCCAAAAATTCACAACCATAAGCCGCCAATTCTTGCTTCTCTCCGCCAGGAACGCCCAACCAAGAAGTATGTTCTTCCGTAGTTGGACATGTTAAAAAAAATTTTTTTAAGAATTCTTAAACTTATTAAATAACCTTCCAATCCTAATTTTCAGGAGTATGTTGTTGTAGGCCAGAGCAACATCAAAAAATTGTCCAACGGGTCGTCGTCACTCAAATCTAAAAGAAAATAATTATTTAATGAAAAATTAAAAAGGAAAACCCTCAAAGAGTATTGAACCCGTGACCTATTCTCATATAATCAACAACGCTACCAACTGTCATTACGAAAGGCCTTCAAATTTTTTCCCCATATACAAATGTGAATTTTGAATTTAGGGATCCAATTCTAGTCATTAAATTCAAAAGACCCGAAAAAAGATTAATAACCTTTCAAACTTCATAAATGCTCATCTACAAGCCAAACACACGCAAAATTGCAATTGTCGTCTTGTTGAAGCGAATGCTTGCCAGTTGTCCTCTGTGTTGTAGAATGTTGTGGTTCAACCGTTTAGCCATTTCCTAAAAAAACAAATTTTATTTCATCCAGACAAAAAAGAAAAACCTGAACGAACTCTGCCGCCTCTCTTCTATATTTAAGTTTAGCAGCAGAATCCATTGACATTCTTGATGGAAGCCTAGCAAGCTCATCGTCCGCGAAATACCATTTTGGTTTCTTTCCAAGTTTCAGTCATCTTTCAAGATCCATGCTGAAAGCTCTAAAAATGTTTAAAACCCCTTCCCTTTACCAGACAATTGCTAAACACGGTACTAATTTAGTTTCCCCCCCCCCCCCAGCCAGTTTTTTCGAAAATTATGTAAAAATGGTCAGTCTGAACAACAATTGTAGAACCCATCGAGCTGTGTCGAATGACACCAAAATCAACAAAATCCGACTTGATTTGACCGAAATACAGACCCCTGAAAATTGAACAACAATGGGGTGATTTTTCGAAATAAAAAAAAGTTTACCCAAATGAAGCTCATTCGAAAGCACTCGTCGAGCTGAGTCGAATGACACCAAAATCAACGAAATCGGACAAGATTTGACAAAGTTATGACATTATTTAGACCTACCGGAGTCGACGACTTATGTCATAACTTTGTCAAATCAAGTCGGATTTCGTTGATTTTGGTCTCATTCGACTCAGCTCGACGAGCTCTTTCGAATGAGCTATCATTTGTATAGATTTTCGTCTTTATGATTTTGTGCCCCTGTGGTTTAGGGGTCTGTATTTCGGTCAAATCAAGTCGGATTTTGTTGATTTTGGTGTCATTCGACACAGCTCGATGGGTTCTACAATTGTTGTTCAGACTGACCATTTTTACATAATTTTCGAAAAAACTGGCTGGGGGGGGGGGGAAACTAAATAAGTACCCTAAACACTTCATAATCAAATTTTGAAAAGAGGATTTACAACGGATTAACTCAGGGATTGTTTGCGGACAAAACTTGCTTGTGTAAAAAAAAGAGCAAAAAACAAACCTTTAAATTTTTAAAAAGATTCCATGGACGTCCAAAGTGCTCTGATGATTTTGCTTCTTCTTGTTTCTTGTTCTTCTTTTTGTTGATTTTTTTGTTCTTTTTCTGTTGAGTTTTGTTCTTCTTTTTGATTTTTCTTCTTTGTTCTTCTTTGTTTCTTGTTCTTCTTTTTGTTGATTTTTGAGTTTGTTCTTCTTTCTGTGTTGCTGCTGGACAATTCTTAGAGGCATGGCACTAAATAATTTAAATGAGATTGTTTAGGCACAGATATAAACTAACCATAAAGCTGAAGAGCAGTTATCAAAGTACCGTAGAAGCAACAAGTCCCATGAAGATGCCAGCCAGACGCCGCAAATGCCAGACAGAACCCCACACAGAAGGAAGAACTCCAAACAGATGCCAGGAGAATTCCATACAACAGCCGTTAGAACAACAACAAAGCCAAACTCCAAACAAATGCCAGAAGAACTCCTACAGATGCCGAAGCAAATGCTAGAACATTCCCCCGAACATCTGACGGAACGTTCGCACATTGTCGCAATTCTTTCGCACAGTTGCTGGGTTATTCCCCCGCACATTAGCCGGAACATTCCCCCACATAAACAGATGAAGAACTCCAAACACTGCCAGAAGAATATCATACATTGCCGTTAGAACTCCAACAAAGCCAGACTCCAAACAAATGCCAGAAGAACTCCTACAGATGCCGAAGCAAATGCTAGAACATTCCCCCGAACATCTGACGGAACGTTCGCACATTGTCGCAATTCTTTCGCACAGATGCATGGTATTCTCCCGCACATTGCCGGAACATTCCTCCACGAAACTAAAACCCACGCAACACGCCTAAAGGACGCACGCAAATGCCAAAGGGGACTTGTGCTTTTGATGTTGGAGAAGAGAGCTCCACATCCGCCTCTACTGCTAAAAATATGATTTCATTTCTAAAGTTAAAGAAAACCCAAACTAACGTTTTAAAACAAAACCAGATTGATGAAGTCCAGATGCAGCAGCTTCTTTAGTTGCAAAGCATACAAAGCACTGAATGAAAAAATAAAGTAATGTTGTTGTATTAAAACACAGCAAGTTTTGTCCACAAAATGGGAAGAGAGGGGGGGGGGCGGGAGTGAAGGGCAACTAAAATTGTGCCAAATACAAGCCAAGTGTCTGAAGACCACCATCACCATCGTTCATCTAAAAAAAAGAAAAATAAATAGAAGGTAAATAATTAGTTGAATAAAAATTTAGGGCAGTTTTCACCCGTGGCGTAACTGTTAGAGCGTTAGGCTCACTAGTTAAGAAAGGGAGTTCGAACTCCAACGGAAAACCAGTACAATAATCGAAAACTTTTCTCGTAAGCTGAAAACTCTGACATGAGCAGTCGATATACCAATCATAAAAATTTCAGTTAAGAGCGTGTCCCTGCTACCTTGACAGGACACACTCGAAGGTAAAAATAACCAATATAATCTAACCAAATTAAAAAAAACTAACTTGTTCAGCCTCAGTAACCAATCTCTTCTCTTTTAAAAGCATTAGCCAAATTGCAATAAGCCTCAGGAACATATTGTTGTAATCCATGTACAACTGCATGTTTGGGATTTAGAGCCAATGCACGAAGATAGCAGGAAACAGCTCTAAAAAAATAAGAAAATAAAAATGAAACTGGAGGAGGGGAAGGGGTAGAGCATTGTTTTAATGATAGAGAATCACTAATATCCCTCCCCTATAAGGAGCATAAAGATGCCTGACGAGCTTCAGATATCGACCCAGTTCCGATATTACGAGCGTGTCGGCAAAAGAACGTCAGTTAACAAAGGTTCTAGGGTTCACCCGTCGTTTCATGTGTGGCCAGTGCTCAATATTTACAGAAACCATCGGTTAACAAGGTTTAGCGGAGCTGAGGGAACACGGTCTAACACAAAAACGTTTACAAACCTGATGATCAACAGCACCAACATTATTTGAAGAGGCGACAATTATGTTTTGCGGGTTCAGGATTTGTCCTTGGGTTGTTCCTTGTTGTATTTGAAGTTGATGGATGATTTGATGAGAGCCTGATGTGTTGTTTTGAAGTACTCAAAGAAATTTGGTAAAGATTGAAGCATGGTACAAAAATCCAAACCTTATCGAATGTGCTGGTTGAAAAATGTAGTGCCTTGAATGTTGAGCATGGACAATCTAATAAAGTCCTTCGAATGAATTACATTTTTTGTCTAAAAATAAAAAAATATTGTTTTTTAGAATAAAATAAAAATGAAAGAAAAGTCGAAGAAAAACAATGAATGCTCACAAAAAGTATCCCTCTTCAATTATTGATCTTTGTTGTTGAACTTTGCTCACATGCAAAAAGTTAGAGAAAAAGAATCGATATTTTCCCTCACTCTCGCGTGGGAAAAATAAATTTGTTTTCTCTAACCAACACATGTTTTGTTTGTCAGAGCAAAGATTGACTACAAAAATCGATAAATGGAGAAAATGCGATAACAACAGACGATGGTAACAAGAGATAAAGAGACGAGAGAAGAGACGATGGATGATAAAGAAAAAGAAATAAGAGGCAAAGAGAGAAAAATAAACAAGAGAGATGCAAAATAAATAACATGATGGACAAAGCCCAAGTAAGCACCGGCGCGGATTCCGGAAAAAGTTTGCAGGATCCGGTATTATTTTTACCGGATTAAAACCGGATAAGGTTAATCCAGATGGCTGTGGTGTTAATAAAATCCCAGGAAAGCGTTGCCCAATTTTTTTATTGTCGTTAAAATAATGCTTACATCAAGAGCTCTGATATTATCTAAATTGATTAGAAATTGAAAATTTGATGGCAAAAATATGCTCAGGGATTCAACTGGAATGTTCCGACAAAAACTAGTTATAAACTTCAATCAGAAATATTTAAAATCGATAAACAATTTTCATCGCATTCATCATAAAATATTTGTTCTTCATCAACAACTTCATCGTCATCCTTCAAATTAGTATTTACTCTTCTTTCGTTTAAATGTTTTGATTGTTTGTCTTCAACATTTAACATTGAGCCGTCCTTCTTTAGTCCCAAGGCTTTTTTATAAGCTGGCTCTGTTGGTGGTTGTACAACTGATCTGGGAATATATTTCCAGTCAGAAAATTTTTCAGATATCTTGCTTAATTCCAGAGGATAAGTTCGATCAGAGTCAAATCCTGATAAGTCACCACAAGCCATGAATGGAACCAAAGCTCTATTTGTAGGAGATTTTAGAGAAGAAATACAGTCATCTGAAAATTAATTATAAAAGGATTGTGATGGCAGAGGGAATGGACGAGGTTTGGAAATCATGAAGCTTAAATGAAAAGGACCAGTCAATACTATAGTACTTTCTCAAATTATCCCTTTATAGGATTTTGCGGGAGAGCTAGCTACATATTAGTTCAAAATGTCCTCCCACTATTAGTCCCTAGAAGAAGATTACGTGAAAAAAGTATATACACCAGCAAAAAGAAAGTATGGATAGTTTTGGAAATTCCCCGTTCTCTAATAAAACGGCTATATTATACCCCGTAAATAAAAGATCCTGGGTCAAATAAAATATAAAAAATAAAACCGTACAATAACTTGCTGACAAAATAGGATTACACAAAGTTGGTTCATATCCTTCAGGCGGGGAATACTTTTGACAGATTATAAAAGCTTCACAACTTGACTGTCTACTGCTCTTTGGTTTACAACAATTTACTTCTTTGAAGAACTGGCTCATTTGGGCATAAATTATGTTGACGTTTTTTGCACGGAAAATCTTAAAATTTTAAAAATAAACAAGAGAATATTTAATTGAAAAATAACCTTAGAAATAAATGTTCCCCCTGGAGTTAATATGCAAGAAGTTATGTTGAAAGCCTTAAAATCCAAAAATTAATCAAAAATTTAAATTAAAATTCACAGAGAAAACCAACTGGCTTTGAAGATATTCATCGAAGGCATGCAAACCAGTTACTTAAAAATAAAAAGAATTTGTGAAGATAGAAGTATGAAGATAAGGGATCTAAAAACAATTGAAGGGGTAACTGAAAAATACTGACAACAGTTAAAGCAACCGAACCCATTTGACCCAGTCGAAACTCAAACTCGCTAACTCAACCGCAACTGCACATAACCCAAGTACTTAAAATAGTATATCCTATGTGGTGGAGTAAATAATCCAAAGTCACTCTTTGCGGTTAATAAGGAAAACACCCAATCGTAAACTCCTCTTTAACAGGAAAAATAATATCATAGCAAAAAAAAATAGAAACCGTCCGGAGCTCCATCACAAACAACCAATTGTGCTAGTTGGCCATCAAAATGAGAAATAATTTTTTCAGCTGTTGCATCCTTAAACGTTCTCATCTTTATTTGAATTCAGGCTATCAAACCTCTGTTATATCTCCTTGGATTTGAATAACTCCGGGAAGTGCTGACATTGGTTGCTTAAATTTTAAAAACGTGAAGTCACCAAAAGAATAAAAGTACCAAATCAACAGCAACAATTTTGACCTGTTTGCGCCCTTCTTCATCCTTGTTTAAGTAAAGTTTCGAGGAAAGAACCTAAGAAAAGGGAATAAAAAAATTTTTAATAAAAAATACTTGACTCCAGGATCCCGGAGCGGCACACAGATCAACAGCGCGAGTCACATCTGAATAGAGAAAATAGAATATTTAGTATCGGTAGGAAATCCTTAATGAAAATTAATTCGGCCGTATGAACGGGTTGAACGACGTATTAAAGTTAGTCAGGAAGCAGGGATGTGAGGGCACTTTCAAAAAATATGAAAAAAAATTCGGGGAAGAGCAAGTGACCAGCACAGCTGCTTGAGCCTGAACTACCCAGACAACCACAATTAAACATCCATCCCATTTAACAAATAAATTAACAAACCTTTAAAAACATTGAATGATTCATCTAGTTGTAAAAGTTTAAATGCTGAACGTGCTCGCCAACCCTTTTCTTTTGCTAAGCGATAATAAATATCTCTTTTGTCCTTTGAAGTTTTTCCCATCGAATTAGAATAATTTAACTCTAAAACAATGTAAATGTGTAAAAAAAGTAACCGAGGTTTGATAAATAAACAAAAAAAGAAAAAAACTAAACAAGAGATCGACTTTTATTAATAGAAAAATCAAAAAGAGCTTTCCAAAAAGGATAGCATAACGACAGCCATACCAGAAATGTCACGGGTTGAAAAAAGTCGGGTCGGGTCAAAAAATCCGGATTCGGGTCTTGTCAAAGTCTAGGGTCGGATCAGCTAGTAGGATTAAGAGGAAAAAAGTCGAGTCGAGTTTTCAAAGATTTTTCGAATCAGTTTCGCGTAACCCACGACATCCCTGAGCCATACGTCTCTAACAAATAAAAAAATAATTAAAAAATATCCAAATTAAATGCCGTCAAATGAATATGTCCACCAATTCTGCTTCGTGCAAACTTCTTCAAATGAGCCAGGAAAAGTATAAGTACAATCCAAAAATTTTGTGATGTTCCTTTTGAAGGTTGAAATACAGTTACACCACCATCAATAACAAATTCAAAGGTTGGGGGAGTTGTCTCATTCTAAAATATTATTTAACTATTATGTTTAATAAATTAAAAAATAAACCATTCGTATAAAAAATTCTCCATCATCCTCGATATTTTGACAGGAAGCATCTTCACCACGCAACAAATTTTGTTTCTGTTTTTTAGCAACAATTGCGGGAGGGAATAAATCAGTTAAATTTGAGGATGAAATTGTGACAGGCGTGGTTGAACTTGAAGGGCATTTTGCACAATACAAATTACTGAAAGGTTTGTTTCCAATATCAGATGAGAATGCAGAGAATGCGCTTGAACAGGGAGATAGGTGAAAGTCCATATAAGTACAAAAAAGATGCCAAATCAGTTCAACATCTGTCAGAAGCTTTTGTTGTTCATTCCATGGCAAAATTCGAGAGAAAGCTCAAAAGACGAATATATTAAAAATTCAAATAAAACAAGATAGAGCTTCCCCCTCCCTCCCGAGTAAGGTTGGCGGACGGTTGGAAATCTTCAGATAACCGGATCCGGACCATAAATTTCGGATATCCGGATCCACCAACTACTCTGGGGCTTCTAATCCAGAAAAGATTAAAATCCTTACCATCTTTTTCGTCTCTAGCAATAGTATCACCACCAGAATTCCTGAAATTAAAAGAATTACATTATGCAAAGAACTAGTAAATAAAAAATTTATCAGACTTTTCAACGAAACAATTCAAATTTGCTTCATCCCCATATTCCCTTATAAAGAATAAACTAAATTCACCATTTGTATTCCTGAAGCGCAATATTTTGCGAAAAAGAATGAATCCTATTGACAACATATTGTTGATTTTGATGAACTCTTATATAAGGTATAATAAATGGCAAAAACCTGTAAAAATAAATTTAAAAAAATTAATTGAGAAAAAAATCCAACGTGTTGCACAAATCTGTTCGATGCGCCATTGCAGTTTGAATTAAATCGATTGGCGTTTGCCCTAACGTAATGTTCATGTTTGCATGTTTTTCGGCCAATTCAGAATTCATTTCATTAATTTTTTCACTCAAAGGTTTTATAATTGTATTGCAAAGCCAAATTCTCAATTTAAGTTCGTAGAGTTCCAAATCAGCTTCATTTAATTCGTAAACATTGAGAATCTGAGAAATTAAAATTTCGGAAATTTATAAAGCAAAAAACCTCTTTAAGACGTGTCTCGACATAAACCTTTGGTACAGGATCAGTAGCAGAGAAGGAGCGGCGATAAGTCCTTCTTTCAGTTGCCAAAGGTCTACGCTGCTCTGTGGCATCCTCAGAGTCAGAAATAAATGATTTAATTGCTTAAAAGAAAATTTTATTAAATCACAAGAAAAAATAATTCAAATTTAACCATCAAGAGCCAAATTAGATTTCAAATCAGCAGAATTAGCGATACCAGGGTAATAGAAAAATTTGGAATCAAAATCCCGATTGAAAAATGCAGTACAATCAGATGGATCGATTACTGAATCACAACTAAAAAAATTTTTTTTAATTAAAAAAAATAAAAAAAAATTAAACGTTTCATTTTCAAGCAATTGTCGAAGTTGTGAAGTTGTGTGAACACTTGTAACGCTTGTGTTAAGTGGCGAATCGCGATAACCAACCAGTGATGAAAGTGAAGAGTTTCTCAAACTATCAGTAGCGGAAGTGGAAAATGTAAAACTAAAAAACTTTAATTTTAGAAACGAGCTTCAAAATACAAAAAAATATATAAAAACTATGCTAATAAATCTCGGGGGCGGTATTAAAAGAATGGGGTAGCTGGTTACCGACCTCAGTTGGAGTTTAGTTAACCAAGACCCCCTATTCAAAAATTCGGGTGTAGCGATAAACCATAGATGTGGATTAGCTACTCCGGAAATAAAACCTTATTAAGTTTTATGAATACCGCCCCAGAAAGCATATTAATATCTCAAAAATTTACTTCAAATCCTTTTGCGGTTGTTGAGGCAGGCTCGAAAGACGAAAGAATTCTGAAGTGAACGCAAACAAAGACTGGATACAGTCTGCCCGAACGGATTCATCTAAAGCTCGAGAGTCATCACTTTTAAGTTTTTGAGCGTCCAATCTAGACTCTACAAAAATTAAAATAATTAAATTAGAAGGTAAACAAACTGACTTTCTGACAAAATTTGAGCAATAAACAATTTGTAAATAAAAGCCAAATAAACAACAAAGCAGAAAACAGCATTAGCAACAGTAACAAAAAGAGCAGCATACTCAATCAAATAAATTAAAAAATCAGGAAAGAGTCGATAAGTTAATCTTCGAAGAAAATAACCCTCGATAATTTTCAACTACTCAAGGAAAAAATAAAAATAATTTTAAATAGTAAGGAAACCTCAAAAAGCAGAAACACACTAACACAAAACCAATAAAATGAATGCCTCAACTGGTGAATTCCATTTCCATTAAATTTTTTGGCAGTTGTAAATTTTTTTGGAATCATCTAAAAAAATAAATAACAAAATTTGCATGATTAAAATAAGAATTGATCAAATAATCATTAAAAATCAATCTAAAGAATTGAAAAAATTTATCAAAAAATCATGAGCTAAATTCAAAATTGTTTGGAATTGGTGTTATTTGATTTAAGGTCGATGGTTCTTCTTCTTCATCCATTCCAATTTTAAATATTTTCGCACGCCTTGCTCCTGCTTTAGTTGGAGTCTTTTCTTCCAATACGTTCTTTAGCGCAATAGACTCGCAATCTTCTTCCGTTAATTCCTACATAATAAAAGAATATAAAAAACTACGAAAAACATCGGTTACTGTGTACAAAAATTTAGTGTTGTCTTGATACCATTTGATAGATGACCACGAAAGTAGATAGATTGCGAAGGTAGATTTGAATGGCCATAACTTGGCCCAGAGTCATTTTGCAAGATAATAGATAACACTTGGCAATAGGAAGCCGTGGTCCTCTATCAAATGGTATCAAGAACAACACCAAATTTCTGTACACAATAACCGATCTTCCCTTAAAAACAAACAAAATATAAACCTTAAGATTAGTCAAATCTAATTTTGAAGAATCCACACATCCAAATTTTTTGTGCCCATTCTGTGGAGTATTTTTGGAACGTATATCGCTTATTGAAATTGATTCAATTTCATCGTCACAATTGTCAGTATTTGACTTTTCTGATGAAGTGGAATAATTGTTAAAAAATTTAGCTTTCTGTTGCTTCGTAACAATTCCACCATCTGAAGAAATATTATAGACAACAACACGATTTCTAAAGTTAAAAAGCAAAATTATTTAAAATATAACCAAAATATACCCATGCCTTGAAAATAATGAAATAGCTTTAGCTTCATCCAACTGACCACTGCTGCTAAGATCTGTCGATTGTTGCAAATAGGAAGATGGCGTTAACAAAGTAGAAATCGATTTGTCACTATTTGGCTTAAATTTTAACAAAATTTAAAATCAATCAAAAAGCGAAAAACCTCTTCATTTTGCTGAAATACTTGAGGAGACTTTAAATTTGGTTCCTTATTGTTATCAATCAATGGGGATGTTGCTTGATCAATTAATGGTATAGTAGCTTGCATAGAAACATTCTTCACACTTTCATAGGTATTAGTTTGAGTATAGACGTCTGAAGTCAACGGCAAACGTGGGGAGATTGAAACAGCTTCAATAGATTTGAATCCCAATTTGCAAGTCTTAATTTATTATTGCGTTCTCACAAAATAAAAATCAATAACCTTTATTGTCTGCGTTTGTACGTGGTTTTTATTTTCTAGATGTTTGGGTGCAATGCCATGCCTTTCTTCAGCTTTTGGCAAGAACTGAGAATCAGCACTTTCAGGTTCTTGAGATTTATTTGAGGACACTCTTCGTTCATGTGAAAGCCATGATGTCAATCTAGCAAGAGAATCTGAACCCAATAATTGTAAGAGATGTGAGTCAACTAGAATTGAAAATAATTCAAGGATAACTTAAAGATTTATGCGGACATTTCAATAAAAAGGATAAGAAAGCTAACGTAAAGGTACATTAAGTCGGTTAAATTTTTTATACCCAATTAACAACCCGGGAAGAATAAAAAGACTGGGCCTGTTCATGGACTCTGGAGTTTGATTTATTGCCCTGGGCCGGATCCTGGGCCCGTAGTCCAGGAAAAACCCAGGACGGACAAAAGAAAAACTCTGGGTACAGGAAAACCCCAGGCCTTGGTCCAAACGCAGCTCGATCTCTAATCTGCCCGAGCTTGAAAACTTGTTTAAATCTGAAACTTAAAATTAAAAACTAACCTTCGTTCTTTGAACAGTCGTTGTTTAATGCACTAATTTCACTCTAAAATTGTGATTCAATTAAATAAGGATCAAATAAAATATTAAATTACATTTAATTTTAAATACAAACGTTGAAACGCAATAATAACGCTCTTTGGGATAGGCAATTTCTCATCTTCGCTATTTAAATAAAATAGGTTATCTCCATCATCGAGCAAGTAAAAAATTTCAAATCATTTTTGAGAATACTAGAACAAATACAATCAACACATCTGATCAAATCTGCTCTAGATCTTGAAGAAATTTTCATTTTTTTGAAAAATTAAAAAAAATTTGACAAAAATTCAATGACAAAATAAAACATGCCAAAATGAAGTTACCAAAATGAAATTTTTCCAAAAAGAATAATTTTTCAAGAAAGTATCCGTTTCGTCAAATTTGAAGCATGTTAAAATGTAAAATTTACATTATGTATAAGATCATCTTTTATTTCTCAACACCAACCTTTCGAAATGCTAGTTAGACAATTAATCACACCACACAGTTGATTGCATTTGACCAACCACTTGCATTTGACTACTAGCTACATAATTTTGAACTTTCTCTAAAAATAAAAATTTTGTTTCAGGATATATGGATCCAACTGCCATATTTTGGTTTATTTATTCGTTTTATTTGGCTACTTTCATTTGGAATTTTTATTTAACTTTGCGACAATATAATGTTTATCGTAAAACTGAAACTAGGCCAGAGAAAGTTAGTGGAATTATTTCAAACGAGGATTTTGTAAAGGCTCGAAACTATAATTTAGACAAAATGCATTTTGGATTTTATGAAATTGCATTTGGAAAAGCCTTATCTACAGTTAGTTTTTTTCAATTAGAAATTTTTATAAAATTTTCTGAAAAACATCAAAAATCTCTTTATTTAAGATAATTCTTTTTTGTAATTTGATTCCCTGGCTATGGTCAATTTGTGGAAGATATGGACAAATTATATGGCCTAGGAGTGGAGAGGTTTCTTTTTAACACTTTTTATCAGATTTATAATTTTTGCAACAGATCTTTCAATCCGTTCTTTTCATTGTTTCTTCCTCCGTTTTCGAAACAGTTATAGAACTGCCTTTTTCATATTATGAAACGTTTTATGTTGAACAGAAGCATGGATTTAATAAAGAGGTTTGTTAGAGACTTTTAGAATGGACCCCCGATTTTCTAATCCCAATCAAATATTTTTAGACTGTGCCTTTCTTCTTCAAGGACCGAGCCAAAAAACTTTGTTTAAGTCTTTTAATTTCATCGCCTCTTGTGGCAGCAGTTGTGTGGATTGTACATTGGGGTGGACAATATTTTTATATTTATGTTTGGGCTTTTGTTTCTGTATTTATCTTTGTGAGAATTTTTATTTCTTAAATTTTTCGAGCTTACTTTAATTTTTAGTTGATGATGTTTATCTATCCAGAATTTATTGCCCCACTCTTTGATAAATACACTCCTCTTCCAGAAAGCGAATTGAAAACAAAAATTGAGGCTCTAGCTAATAAAGTTGAATTTCCTCTTAAGAAACTTTACGTTGTAGAAGGTTTTATTCTTAGATTATTAATTATAAATATTTTAAATTCAAAGGATCTAAACGTTCATCTCACAGCAATGCGTATATGTATGGATTTTGGAAAAATAAAAGAATTGTGCTTTATGATACGCTTCTTAGCGAGGAGATGAATAAAAGATTGAAACAGGTTTTTTAAATATTTTTGTTGACAATCTCAGAGAGACTGATGTTTAATTCAGGATGATCAGAAAAAACCCGAACTGGAAACTACACCTAAAAATGAGAAAGATACAATCATAACAAGTTCAGAGACAGCTGAAGGAGAAACAAATGCAGAAACACCTGATAAAACATTGGAGGGAGAACCAACTTCGAAGACAACAGAGGAGAAAGTTCAGAAAACCACTAGCGAGGAACAACCCAAACGCAGTTTAGGTATGGCAGATGATGAAATTGTAGCCGTTCTGGGGCACGAATTGGGGCACTGGCGTGAGTACCATTCGATGTGGCTGTTATTTTCTACTGAGGTTTGAGGATTCAACCGTTTCATTCTACCATTATTTTGTAGTTGAATATGCTTACTTTGCTTTTTGTCTTTGGTTTTTTATACCGCGAACCCAATCTATATTCGGCATTTGGTTTCCCCTTATCAGCACAACAACCTGCTCTAATTGGAATTCTTCTTGTCAGTCAATATGTTTTTGCACCTTACAATGAACTAATGTCTGTAATTATGAGTTTTATGACGCGACGTTTTGGTAAGGATTCTTAATTAAAATCCTTCAAAATATTTTCAGAATTTGGCGCGGATGCCTTCGCGGCTCGATTGGGATTCGTCTCGCAGCTGAGCACTGGACTTGTTAAACTGGTTTATTAGCTTCAGAATACTTTTTTAATTTTATTTTCAGGGCAAGGACAATCTGTCTCTTCCTATCAACGATTGGCTCTACTCTGCTTGCAATCATTCACATCCTCCGATTCTTGAAAGATTAGAAGCGCTTAAGAAATTTAAATGATTTGAATGGTGACTGTTTGTATTTTATTTTTGCTTTTATATTTCAGGCATTACCTCCCCTGAGTCGTAGTTATAATTTTTCCTTTATATTCCTAATTGTTTCCCTTATATCTTGCGTTTGACAAAAAATAAATCATAATTAGCTGTTTCAATAAATTTTATATCACTCAAAAGATAATTAGGCACAATAAATGGTTAAGAAAATAGTATGAAAGAAGACTAAATTAAAAATGGCAAAGAAATGTTTTTAAATACTAAAGATTTGATTGGAAAAGGGCCAAAATTAGATCGCCTCAAAAACTAAGTGAAACCCGCCATGTCACGAGGTGATACAGTGCTGGAAAAAACTATAGCCGCACTTTTGAAAACTTTGTAACTTAAGAAGGAGTTACCCAAACAACATCAAATTTTGTTGAAAAATGTAAAAAATATATAGGAAAATAATGGTATTTAGATATTCTCAAAATTTTAAAAACAAAACACAAAAATTTTAAAAATTCAAAAATACGCGTAATTTTTACTGGAAAAAACTATAGCCGCACTAGTAGTTAACCCAACGGGACCTTCGCCCTAAACAAACAAACCTTAATCCTTTCAACATGTTTTTCGGCAACATCAAAGGATAAATTGTTCGAAATCCCCTAATCCTTTTAATATGTTTTGCGGTAACATAAAAAGATAAATTGTTCGGAAACCCCTAACCATTAAAGCAAACAAACTTAAATGTTTAAATATTATTTTTCATAAACAAATTTTCGCAAATTATTTTCTCCCTTTTTTTTTAAAATTTTGGGTCATTTTTCCCTTCGTTTGTTTTTCTTTTCTTTTGCTGCAAACTTTAAAAGTGCGCTATTTTTTTTTGTTTACTGGGTATTGTTAGTTATTTTTCTTTATTTTTCACACATGTTTCTTACTTTCATTTTAAGCGGTAATCAGGCAATGCAAAAGGAATATGGAAATATATGATTTAATAAAAGATAAAAAATGGACAACGTTTGGTATGTTTACAAAAACTTTTTTCACATTCCTAGGACCAGATCATTCATTATTATTACTTACTAATTTTTGAAAAATGACAAATATTTCCTTAATTTCTGAAAATTTACCTACTAATCTGTCTTGGGTAAAGGTGGATAACTGTATCTGTCCTCTTCCAAAAAATTCTTGCTATAGGCCATACTTGTATACAAAGCCTATACAATGTGTGCATGAGAACATTCAGGATATAGGGGAGTTTCTCCAAAATCCAAAATCTGATAATATTTTTCCTATTATTTTAATCTTTCTGGGGTTAATTTTGACAATCCAGGTATAACATTAAGATTCCTTTTTAACAATTTTTAATTAAGTTTTTGACTTGTCTTTTACAATGTTGTGGTAAATTATCTAAGAAAGGGACGCGGGGACGTTACAGAGTTTCAAAAGGCACTGGAACTGTGGCAGGTGATTTGTGGATAAAATAACAATAATTCATTTCATTTTTAGTAAAGCCTGGGAAACCCCGAAATCGTCAACCAACAATGCCTAAACCATTGAAGGTTGTTTGCCATCCAAATAAAGTGGAGGTGACAGAGATTGAGGTAAGAACTTAAAAATAATTCAAAATAATTTCAAATAATTTACAGTTAGAGGAAGTCAAAATCGAGGAGACCCGCCTTTAATGTGAATTTTTATGAATAAGAATTAAAATGAATATTAAATAATTAATAATTTCTTCAAAATTTAGTATTTTTATTTTTATGAAGAAAATTAATTGCAATAAATTGTTTATTTGAAATTTAATCGTTTAATACAAATAAAAGAGGGAATAGAAAAATATAAGAATGGTAGATGAGAATTCGTTAAGCTAGGATGTTGAATAAGAATAGGGTTTAGAGAATTAAGGGAAATTAAAATAATATTTAAATTGAGGGAAAAATAAATTAAATAAAAATTGAGTTTATTAAGAAATTATTTTCAAAATTTAAATCAAATATAATACATTGGCACATCAGGGCTTGGAGCCGGACTTGCTGGTGTCTCGTCGTTGGTCCAGTTGTGTATTGGTGATGAAGCACCAGAGTCAATAATAGTCTCATTGACCACTTCTTCCTCTTCCTCCTCTTTCTTCATATCCTCAATTTTCGAAAAAATTTTGACCTGTTCCCCAGTCATACAAATCCAAAAAGTCTTAATATAAAAAATAAATTAAAATTCATAAAAATTAAATTCACTTTTGGTATTCGATCTATACCAGGAAGTAGAATTTCGCCGGTACATTGGTTGCGGAAAAGCCCATTTTTGATATCAGTAGAGCCTTGCTTCGCATGAAAAAAATACCATGGACAAATATCAGTTAAGATATCATCCGTTTGACTATTTTTGTCAATCTTAATTTAAAAATTCAAAAAATTTATCTCAATAAAACCCACATTTTTTTGCTTATCCTTAGACCAACACTCTTCAAGTGTGAGTTGTTTTTGCTTGGACATTTTAATTAAATCAGGAATAATTTAAACTAATTTCTAAAATTTATAATTAGCAAAAAATAAAACAAATTATTATGATCGCAAAATATATCTTAACTCAAAGGAGAATTAATTCTCGATGAAAAAAGGAGAAAATAATTGCGTAATAATAAGTGAGTGAGAGATGGCGGTTATTCATAAAATACATAAACTAAAAATTAAAGTAAATATTAAAAGGAAAATTGTATGCTGATATCCTCAATGAAATAAAATAAAGATGAAAAATGAATATAAAAGTCAACCGAGATTCTTTTATACTTCCAATTAACTCTCGAGGGCGTGGTCAGTCAAGATCAGATTTTTTTAAGATGGGCGTTCATTTAAATTCACTTAAAAATTAGTAATATAAATAAAAAGGCGGGGTTAAATTAATTTAAGCATTAAAAATAAAATTTAGATTTCTAACAAAATCTTCAAATCATTTAGATATATCTTAAAAATAATGGCTATTAATATAAACGATAAAAAATCTCTTATCCAACAAATCCTCCCTGAAGTAGATTTTAATGTAACCAATAAAGGTTTAACTATTTCTGCTTCTCAACGCCTCTCCACACCTCGATTTATACCTTTTGACAATGTTGGTCGATGTCGTGAATGTAAGGCAACAGAAGCTGAACTTGATTTCGTTGTGGCAAAAGAGGGTGTAACATTTTATTGCTCGAGAATCAAAAGTCCTATCTTTATTCCTTTTGATACAATCTATGATCTTCCGGGGCATTGCTTTTTCAAAGTAAATTTAATTAAAAATTTTAAATAATTTTATATTTAAAATTCAGATTCGAAACAAGGCTCGTGTTTTCAATGTCATGCATGGCGAAACACCTCAATGCTTTCCTGTGCAAACACAAACCAATTTCAAGGCACAGCAAAAATTTTTAAAGGAGGATAATAGAAAGGAAAAGGATGAGAGTAGTGAGAAAAATAATGAAAAGGAAGAAAATATTGAGAAAAACAATGAAATTAAGAAAGAAGATATTGTTGATGAAGAAATGGAAGATGTTTTAAAAGAATTTTTTGATAATATTGGAGAAGCTATAACTAGTACTCCTATTCCGGGGGAAAAGCTTCAGGAGTTGCAGGCACAGGCTATTGCAATGGATGATGAGATGAACAATCTTCTTAAGAACATCCCAATCGATCATACCCCTTTAACTCACACTTTGTAATTTAATTTTTCAACTACTAATAATTTTTTTCATTTTAATTATTTTCCTTGTAATGGAATCTCTTAATTTTTCAAGTAAAGATTTAAAATTAAAATTACCTTTTGGCTTAATTATTTCTGGCCCTAGTTCAAGTGGTAAGAGTACTTTTCTTCTCAAATTCATTTCCCAAGCCGCTGATCTTATACACCCTCCACCAAAAAGTACTCTCTACTGTTTTGGTGAAATGAGCAGCATTGTTCCCAAACTTCAAAGATCGGGCGTTAGTGTTTATGCCGGTGTACCAACAGAAGATGTCATTAATCGACTTTTAAAACCCTCACTAATTATATTAGATGATTTATTGCTATCTATAGAGGAGAAATATTTATCTGAACTTTTCACCAAAAAATCCCATCATCAAAATTTTGGTATCGTTTTCGTCACACAAAATCTTTTTGAGAAAAAAATTAAAGTAGCAAGACAAAATGCACAATATATAGTGATTATGAGATCTCCCAATTCAGTCTTAGCTGTTAGAAATATAGGTGTTCAACTTTTTCCTCGACAGCTGGAATATTTCCTTGATGCTTATCGACAAGCAACAAAAATTCCCTATGGATATATGTTAATAGATATGCATGCATCATCAGATTCCAATCTTCGTCTTCGTACGAATATATTTAAGGACGACGAGGAAAAAATTATCTTCATTTCTAAAAATGGAAAATAAATTTGAGTTTAGTCAGTTAATAAAAGAAAATGTAAAATTTTTAAACACTCTTGCAAAAACAAAATCTTCACGTAAACAGCGTCGAATCCTTAAACAAGCGCAATCTAATCAACTCCTTGCCCTAGCAGAAATTTGTTTAAACATTGTAAAATTAAGATATCAGCTTACGACTAGGCAGAAAAAACGTCTCATGCCTTATGCTCAATTTGTCCGCCGCTTGAGTCGTTCTAGAAGTGAAGGAGGTGCGAGAAAGTTATTAAGGAAAACTGTTTTGCAGAGAGGAAGTGGCATTGGCGGAGTGTTTGCAGCACTTCTTACACCGATCCTCATTGAAATAGGAAAAAAGATTATAAAAGGTGATAGTGTGACCGAATAATTTATTATTTCACTCATTCATATTTCATTAATTATATTATTTTAAATAATGGCGAATAAATTTATTTTAGTACCAGAGGAGATTTATCGAGGTCTTACATCAAATGATGTAGGTGAACCTAATCTAGATTTTACCAGAAGAAATTTAGAAAAATCAAAATTAAAGCGGGAAAGTGAGTCTGCTAAAAATGTTCACTATAACCAAGAGTTAAGACGTTATTTACATATGAGAAATGAACGTGAAAATAAACCAGTAAAGGTTGAGATGGTAGCTAATAAAAAAGGTGTAGTAGTACCAAAAACACGTTCTCGACCATCTTCATATATTCCAAATAACGATGAAAACGATGATATATGGCTTAGTGATGATTTCTCATATTCAGCTTATCCTAGAGAACCCCCTAATTTTGCTTACAATATTGTACCTCCACTTCATGAATCACCTTCTCTTGCTTCCTTGCCCAGCAATAGACAAAATTTATTAAACGAAGGTTTGTCTCTATCACCCACAATAATTCGTCATAGTCTCAAAAGGCGTGAACAAAATAATGGAGAAATTTCAAAAAAGTTAAAATTAAACAAAGTAACCAAGTCCAAAATTCCTATTTTTAAAAGGAATAAACAAAAGAAAAGAGTGACTGTAACACCTACAGTACAACAAGAAATAAATGAACCAGCAGCAGTTTCTGCACCCTTAAGAAATTCTCCCCCTATTACACTCACTGTTTCAAAGAGAGAGAATGATTCAGATGATTTTAATGTTGTAAAAAGAATAAAAAAACATGATAAAGCGAGGGATAAAGAATTATTAGAAAATGACCGAGAATTAAGACGCAAGGAAGCCCTTCGAATCGATAAAAAAAGAAAATTTATACAAAGAAAAAATGAAATTATAAAACAAAAAGTCCCTCTTGATTATTACGAAATACAACGATTAAACCAACTAAGTAAACCTCCCGGTAAGAATATCAAAAGAAATGGTATCTCGCCTCCTAGACCTATATCTCGTGGTGTTTTTAAAAGAAAAATTGAGGATAATGAAGGCGATGATCAGATTGCTTTAAAAAGATATAGAAAACCAGTTTCTAAAAAGGCTTCAGAACAGGCTGCTAAATTGTGGATGCAAAGAATAAAGATTAGAAATTTAAAAAATAAATGGGCAAATAAAAAACCGACACAGTCGGATATAAATAAATTTAAACCAAAGCTTTGGTAGAATAAATGGCAGATTATATAAAATTACTTGATGATTTATACAATAATCCGAAATCACCTGCTGCTTATTCAGGAATTGATAGCCTATGGTATGAGGCTAGGAAAACATTCAAACATATTCCAAGAAATGTTATTAAAGATTATTTGGAGGGTCATCGCACATATACACTTATGCGACCTAAACGTGTGCGATTTCCGAGAAGTAGAACTATTGCTGCAGGTTTTATGACAGATGTTCAGGTGGATTTAGCTGATCTACAAGCATTATCCAGGCATAACAAAGGATATCGTTATCTATTAGTAGGAATTGATGTTTTATCCAAGAGAATTTTTACTGTTAATTTAAAATCTAAGAAATCAGATGATATGGTTGAATCTTTTCGTCAATTAATTTCACAAATGCCTATGAAACCGCACAGAATTTTCTCTGATAAAGGAACTGAATTTAAGAATCGCCAACTTAAGGAATACTTTGAAAAAGAGGAAATAGATAAGCATGAAGCTACTCATTCATCTGTTAAAGCATCACTTGCTGAAAGGGCTATTAGAAATTTGAAACAGCGTTTATATCGTTACTTTTCGCAAAATAAAACTTTGAAATGGATTGACATTGTACAAAAAATTGTTTACGGAATTAATAAATCACGTTGCAGAGTGCATGGGATGCGGCCAATTGACATTAGTTTTGAGAATGCTCAAGAAATCTGGCAAAAAATGTATGGTGGAATTTTCTCAAATAAAAACAAAAATTCTATATCAAAATTAAACAAAGGAGATTTTGTCCGAATGAGTGTTGGAAAAGGAACGTTTGATAAGGGATATTTACCGAATTGGGGCGACGAAATACTAGAAGTGGATAAGGTTAAAGATCAATCTACTCCACTAATATACAAACTTAAGGACGATAAAGGAGAGAAATTTAAAGGGTCTTTTTACAGTCATGAACTATCTAAAGTGCGCAGAGACAAGGAGACAGAGTATAGAATAGAAAAAGTGTACAGAAAAAGAAAAAGAGCAGATGGAACAAAAGAACTACTTGTTAAGTTTATAGGATATCCAGATAGGGAATGGATTTCTGAGTCGCAGCTAGTATAAATATTTACCCTATTTGTTATTTGTATCATTTTAATTTTATTAATAAAAATGTCAAACAATTTCTTTGTGTTTTTACCAAGTAATGTATCTGATTACCCAGATAATCAACCCAATAAATTTCGAGTTCATCTACCTAAACCAATATATTTTAACGGAGATTGGGTTTGTGGTTTGCACAGTATTAGCTATCCTTATTCGTGGCCTTCCACTATCGGCACATTAGACGATCAATGGATAAAAATAAATTTTTTTGATGAATTAAATAAACAACAGGTGCTTCGTGTGCCGATACCAAAAGCATCTCATATTAAAGTAGAAAAATTGCGAGATTTCCTTAATTCCACGCTTGAACATCAAAGTAATGCATTAGATTCAATTTTCACTTCCAAAGGCTTAGTGGATAAACCAACCGTTTTGTCTCCGCCGAAATTAGATAGAAAGAAAAGGGCCGCTGAAAATATTAGACCTATCTCACCACCTCTACAATTAAAAGTAAATAAAAAGGAAGAAAAACCTCAAAAGATTAATTCACCTCCAAGGACCCAAGAAAATATAAATAAAGGAAAGGAGTTGCGCAGTGAAGGAAAAACAAAAGAGAATGAAAATATAGATAAACAAATAAAATCTGGCTCGCTGTCAGCTTTAAAGTCGCCATCTGTGCAACTAAATAAAAAGGATGAGGCTCCTCAAAAGACCAATTCATCCCCAAAACCTGAAGCGAAAGAGTTACGTAATGAAAAAGAAAGAGAAAATGCAAATAAAATAAAAATCATCTCACAGGATGAAGTGCCAAAAAAATCGCTTTCCCCCTCACTCCCGCCTTTAAAGAGTGATGAATTACAAACAATAAGAGAGAAAAAAACACCGGCCTCAAATAATGTGCTTACTATACTAGGATTAGCTGAAAGTGAATCGGAGGATGATGCAGAAATAGAAAATAATCAAACTATAACCGTTGAAGAAGAGAATTTCTTGAATAAATCAACCAGGTTTTCAATAAGTAAATATGGAAAGAAGTATAAAGGGGGAATAAAACTTCTTAAAAATATTATTGATTCTATTGAATTTCAATATAATGTAGATTTTGGACGTTTTCGTTTGATTTTTGGTCATCCTAATATTATACATATATCATTTTCATCACAACTTGGTTATGTACTTGGATTTGAAAATCCTCATAAGGTTAAACACAATGAAATTGCAAAATATGGATGCGATCTTCGAGGAGGATTTTCTAGTTTCGCGGTGTATGTAAAAGGCTTGACGGAAAATATGATTATCGGAAATTCATTAAGCTCTCTTTTAAGAGTAGTTTCTGTTGCAGGTTCTAATCCTGGTGAATATAATGAAAAGATTTACGATACCCCTATTTATGCGCGTGTACTACCTAGAGAAATAAACGAAATTGAAATTGAGCTGCGAACAATGGATAATGGAAGACTTGTCCCTTTCTCCTATGGAACAGTTCTTGTGGTATTAATATTCAAAAAAGTGATTAATTTTTAAGCAGACATTCTCGTTGCTATATAAGTGCTTTGACTTTATATATTTTTCTCATTATTTTATTCATTTAACTTTAATCAATAAAATTTTTAAAAATGGTTCATGTTGTTTTTGATACTTCTTTAATAGGTTATAATGATTTTTTCTCGCCGAAAAATTCTCAAAAATTTTTTGATCAAAATGGAAGAGGATTAGAAAATATTGGTGGTGAAAACAATTATTCATATTTTAGAGGATCTTCCCCATTTCAAAGAGGTTATGGATTACAAGGAGGAGCGGGGATAGGCAATGTTTTCAGAGGACTTTGGCGTTTTTTCCTTCCAATTGTCAAGCGTGTAGGAACTAATGTTACTGCAGAAGCCCTTAACACAGGTCAGCGCGTTCTTGAACGTGTTAATCAAGGAGAACCAATAAAAACTGCAATAACTAGCGAGGGAAAAAAAGGAATAGATAATGTGTTAGAAAAAGGAGGATTACCTCGGCAATTCGGAACGGGATTTTCAAAATCTCACACGGCTAAAAAGAGTATAAAAGGAAAACGAAAACGAGAAATTTCAAATCATAAAATAGTTATTAGAAAAAAACGAATTAGATCGGACGCATTTGGATTATATTAAATATTTTTTAAAATGGCATATCATAAAATCGACAATGATAGTATTAACTCAGTTACAAACGCTCTTGATTTTTTTGAAATTCCTCCTACAAATGTAAGTATATCTTCAGCTAAAGTTTTTGAAATTTTGACAAGCAATCCACTCACTGATACACCTTATCATTTCAAAATTCATTCCAGTCAAAATTATATTGACCTATCAAAATGCTATTTATTTACTGAATTTCGTATTCGGAAAGCGAATGAAAATGGATCATGGGTTAATTTGGAAGCAGGAGATAATGTTGCACCAATTCAGCTTATTGGGCATACTTTTATAAACAATATGAGGATTAGTATAAATGGTAGAGAAGTATTTAACTCGAATTCCCTTATGGCTTACAAATCCTATCTTTCTCACGAGCTTAGTTTCTCCCTAGCAGCTAAAAGTTCTCATCTCAATGCAGCAGGATATTATGGAGATGTTGGATTAAGTCTAGAATCAGGAGGAGGGTTTAATTCAAGAAAGGTACGGTTTGGATCAAGTAACACAGCACAATTTATTGCAAAAATAGATGCTGATCTTTTTAATCAACCCCTATATCTTATTAATCACTGTGAAGTGGACATAGAAATTTTGCCAAATGACAGCAGATTTGTTTTGATTGCTCCTCCAGTCGGGGTAGTCTCACAAGCCAACCGTTACCAGTTTGAAATTTTAAATTGTAAACTTTACGTTAAAAAAGTCGATTTAATGGATGGACTAGCATTGGATATTGCGAAAAAATTAGAAATAAGCCCTGCTCGATATGCTATTCGCAAAACTATGATGAAGCCGCTTTTTATAAGTCAGGGCCGCTATGAGTTCAATGCAAATTTGTTTATGGACCAAATCCCAAGAAGAGTAATACTAGGTCTTGTTGCAAATAGTGATTATGTAGGCAATATATCACGAAGTCCTTTTAATTTTCAACATTTTAATGTCAGAGAGATAAATATAATTGCTAATGGACGAAGCTACCCTCAAGCACCATATGATTTTGATTATAGTAACGGAAAATTTGTTAGGGCATTCAATGATATGAATGAAGCTATTGGATTTGGTAATTCTATGGAAAGTAATGGTATTACTTTCGAACAGTATGGATATACTCATGCAATATACGTTTTTAATTTAACAAACAGTGGGGAGGATCAAGGGGGGCTTTTCGATCTAATTAGAAACGGGACAACAGCGGTCAATATTAAATTCAGCAAGCCAGTTCCCGATGGTGGTGTGATGCTAATTGTAATGGGAGAAGCAGACTCACTTATAATGTTGGATAAGAATCGAACAATAACCAGTGATACAACCATTTAATAAACTCATAATTGTAAATTATAAATCATTTTTATTTCTTGATAAATATTTTCATTATTATTATTATTAGAAAATAAAAGTAATTAAGTCTTGTAATTTTTCTCAAAAAATATTTTTATTAATTTAAATACTTTAGAAAATGTATTCCAAAACAATTATTCAAAATATATTATTTATTCATATAATCCTTCCAACATCTGCCTTAGTACTTAGTGAAGATTCAAATCTCAAAAGTCTTCCTGAATATTCGGAATATTTAAGAAGGATAGGTTATAACAAAACTAGAGATATAATAGGGAAAGATATAAAGACAACAAAGGAGCCTAAGGTTAAAAAGATGGAATCACCTATTGCTCATTTTGCTAATTTCCCTTCGATTCAATTATGTAAGGATGCACCCACCTCAAGTCAAGGTTACTACACTAATATATATTGCTGGGTGATGCTTGCTCTTTACGCTTTACTCATTCTAAGTCTTATTATATATCAGTTACGTTCAATTATTTGGCTAAAATCTACAATACCTAATAATAAAAATAATGTTCAAAGAGTAAATTTATGCTCTATATCAATTGATGATGATCAGCTTGCAGATAGAAAGAATTTTGAACTCAAATCTCCAGACAAAATCCAATTTTCTGGGATGTCTGCCATGCGATAGTCTACCTAGCCCATCAACACTCAACTACCCAGTATCTTTTATAATGAATTTTGATCCAAGAAGAATGGATGGATCACACTGGGTTGCCATTTTTGCTGAAGGAATCGATAAAGAAGTTCTTTATTACGATAGTCTAGCCCTATTTTCCTTCGAAAATCTTAATAAAAAATGTCAGATTTCAAATTTTCTAAAACAATTTCCAGCAATTGTAAGAAATAGAAGAGCTTATCAATCCTATTCTTCGAACACATGTGGTCATCATGCTATCTGCTTTATCTATTTTTTATCGTTAGGTCAGAAATATGAACACTTTTTAAATATATTAGAAAATAATCACAACCCAGATTTATTTGTCAAAACATTTGTAAATAAAATGATAAAAAAATTTTAATAGTGAAATGTAGCGTATTTAATGATCTGAGCACACTCAGAGCAGACAAAAAATTTAAAAGAATAAGTGTTCCCTTCTAAAAGTTTAATTATTTCATCTTGATCCATATCAAAGACTGTTTCACGACATTGGCAGCACCAAGTAGAAACTTCGTAATTATGATCCAAAAAGATCCAGAACGTAGACAAATCTAATTTCTCTCCATTTTTTATAACTTGATTTATTTCTTTGATTGATGGGTGCCATGGGCAATCCCAAAATTCAGCCGTTCCCTAAAAATAAATTTAGTAAATAAAATTAGATAACAATAAAATTTTAAAAATTGACCTCTACAGTTTTTTGCTCAACATCTTTAATGTTCAAAGACGAAAAAGTTTCTTCCATTAAAATTCGAAAATATTTTTATTTTTAAAAGACTTAAGTATAAAAAATATAAGTAACAAAAAATATAAGTAATAAAAATAAGTGATAAATAAGAGTTTTTATATGCTGCAAATGTTTACTTAATATGTTAAATAAAAAGAATATTATTCTATATTTGAATTCGCCGAGATTTTTATTCATCCGTATTAGTCCTGGCCGCAGTCTTTTAAAGGAATTTCAAACGAGATTTAGTTATTTTTTAATATAATGGAAGACAAATAAAGAGAAAAGTTCGTTTTAAATGCCGCTAAAAACACCTGTTGTTAAAATTTTTGTATTTGCTCAAATTGAGCTGGTGTTTGCTTTATAAAAAGATGAGTTCAAATATTTTCATTTATGTGAAAAGATATATATAGGATAGAAAAGCTATATTGGAAATCATTCTTGAATATTTATAAAAAAATGAGCTCATCTCGGTCATCATCGCCGAAAACAAAACGATCAAAATATTCCAATCAATTTTATATTGAAAATATATTAAATCCATTTTTCCCTAATTCTCAAGAAATACCTCAATTTTCGCCTAATTTTGGTATTACTCAACATGGTACAGGTATCCCTAACCCTGAAAAATATGTTGAACAGTTAGAAAATATTTCTCTCCACAATCCAAAGTTCCAACTCTTCAAGAAACGTATAAAATTTCAAATTAAAGACTTGCCTGCTGATCCTGAAGGTTTACTAGCTGGTATATTTATATAGAATTATAATAATATTACTAATATTACTAATATTTAAGGTATTTTTCAATATTGTATTGATGAAGCGGTAGACCAAAGTGATCGTGAGGGTGTAAATACGCTTAAACTTGGATGTATAATTAGTAGTGAATTGCTTGATCCAGATGTTTGGATTCCTGTGCGTGAGATGAACGACAATACTGTTGACGCAATACTTAATCGTTTCCTACAAGTGGGCCAGAGTAAAAAACAACAGGATATCACACTTTGGGGTAAACCATTTACTGTAACATTGACAACGGTAGATCGCAGTGCTCTTCCAGAAAAGAGAAAAATTACTGGTGGATCTTCTAGAAACCGAAAACTTGCTCCAGTTCATCATCGAATCGATAGTCAGTGTTTGATTAAGGTAATTTTAATTTTTAATTTTTAATAATTTAAAAAATTTAGATAAATAACTCGAGTAATTATTGTCTCTTCTATGCCCTTCAGGCCTCACTTATGGATAAAATAAAAAAATGGCCACGGTGGAAGTATTTTGATTATATTCACAACCGTAAAGGTCAAAAAGGTGAACTACAGAAAAATACAGAGATATTAATGCGAAAAGTTGGGGCTCCAACTCGTTTAAAGGAGTACGATGCAGAAATATGGGTGCCAAAAATCGTTGAGTACTGGAATAATTTTCTCTTCACAGGGCAGTTTATTTTTAAAGTCTACATTTTTGGATCTTCAGGACATTATAAACCTTTGTTTAAGTTTGGTCCAGAGGAATTTAATATCCCTATCGTTCTCTATTATAACAACAAACATTTTGATGGGGTACAGAAAATTGGTGGATTATTTGGTCAACCATACTGCCTTTCTTGTGAAAAAATTTATAATAGATCGCAAAATCACTCAATTAAATGTCGTTCCCGGTGTTCAAAGTGCTCTCAAGTAGGGATTGGTTTTCCTTGCAAATCTAAGGATAATTATAATAAAAAATGCTTTGGATGCAACAAAATATTTGACAACTACAATTGTTATAATCATCATTTGGTTAGTAGATTTTGTAACAATTCCAAGCAGTGTGATAAATGTGGTGAGATATGGAATGTATATGATAACAAAAGAAATGGGCGTAGTGGTCATATATGTCTGGAAAAATACTGTGGTAGATGTGGGGACTTCCATGATCCCAAAAGAGGATGTTTTATCAGAATACTCAATCCAAAGAGACAACTCCCTTATCGACTTATCTCTTTTGATCTGGAAACAACTCAATATAAGAAAGTTAATTCAGTCTCACCCGATAAAAGGATTCATGAACCTAATTTTATTGCTGCAAAGGTAGCTTGTCCTGATTGTATAATTAATGGAGAATGGCGAAAAAGCTTGAAAAAATACAATTGTAAAGTTTGTGGTCAAAACCGTCTTATCACATTCTCCCAACAACCTTTTAATAAGACAAGAGTTGATAAACAAGTTATAGATAAAGATCCATTAAAAGCCTTTGTTCATTGGCTTCTTTATAAATTACCAAAAGATTATGATACAGTTGCATATTCACATTTTGGAGGTCGATTCGACATGGTAATAGTAGCAAGCCAATTATACTCTGAAGGTATCAATCCACAAGTACTCATGAAAGGAAACAAGCTATATGAAATGAAAATAATGAAAAGGCCAAATTACAATTCGAATATTATATTTCGTGATTCATTCAATCTAATGCCAATGGCATTAGCTGCACTTGTTCCTACTTTTGGTCTTGATATTGATGACAAACCTTTCTTTCCCCATCTTGCCAATCGTCCGGAAAATTATGGGAAAAAGATATACTTGTCTAAGGAAGATTATATGGCCTCTGGTATGATGCCCACAAAAAGAAAGGAATTTGATGCATGGTTTGAGAAGAATAAAGATAATCCCTTTCTATTAGATGAAGCTCTCGCTAGTTATTGCACTAACGATGTTGAGATTTTGATGTGTGCTCTTGTGGCATTTAGGAACGAATTTTTTGAAACAACTAAACGATCTAATCACGAAGGTATCGATGTTTTGAAAGAATGCATGACTATAGCTAGTGCGTGCATGAAGCATTATCGCACTAACCATTTAAAAGAAAAACATCTTTCTATTGTTCCAGAGCGCGGTTATGAAAATGTCGATAACCAGAGTCTATTGGCACTTAAATTCTTAAAATGGTATTCTGAAAAAAATAATATAAAAATCCAGACAGCACATTCAGTTGGTGGAGAGAAAAAAGTTGGAAATTTTAAGTTAGATGGATGGGTTGAGGAACGAAATCTTGGTATTGAAGTAAATGGGTGTGCATGGCATGGATGCCCAAAAAAGAGTTGCTATCCTGATGATAATATGATGTTACCTAATGGAATGACAGCTGGAAAAAGAAGACTTAAAGACTACGAAAGAAAAAAATTTATTTTGGAACAAGGAATAGATTTAAAAATTTTTTGGGAGTGCGAGATTAGGGAAATGCTTGAAAATGACCGTGATATGAAGGAAAAATTCAACAATTATCTTGATGAAGGACCTTTGGAAATAAGAGCTTGCTTTTTTGGTGGAAGGACGGGACCATTAAAATTAATACATGAAGCAAGGCCCGGCGAGAAAATCTCTTACTTTGACGTGACTTCGCTTTATCCCTTTACAAATTTTAACACCAATTACCCAATCGGTCACCCTATTGTACATACTTTAAATGAAGAAGTCCATTGGACTTGCGCAGCAGACAATCCTTACAAACTAGCATTACTGAAAGTATTCGTTATTCCTCCGAAGAAGATTGACATTCCAGTTCTGCCAGCTAAATTTGATGAAGAAAGGTTGCTTTTTCCCCTATGCGCCGAATGTTCAAAATTAAACCCAAAAGGAAATATAATTAAGAATTACAGTTGTACTCATACAGAAAGACAACGAGGGTGGGTGAGCAGTTGTACATCTATAGAATTAAATGCTGCTTTGGAAGAAGGATATAAAGTTAAAAAAGTTTATCGCGTTCTGGAATATACAAAGTCAGATAATGAGCTTTTTCGTCCATATATGAGAGAATTTTTAGCTCAAAAAATCCATGCCACAGGATTTGATGATAAAATTAAAGGAAATGCCATTGAAGAAGAAAAGTTTGTTAAAGAATGTTGGGAAAAATTTGGAATGAAGATCGAGAGAGAAAAGATGATTCCGAATAAGGGAAAAAGGGCAATAGCTAAATTAGCTGTTAATAATTTATGGGGACGTTTTTCACTTAGAAACCAAGGATTAACACAAACTTATATAACTGATGATCCATCTGAGTTAGCTGATTTCCTAGATAATCGTTCTATAGAGATGGTATCAATTGATGAATTAACAAAGGAAGCAATTATGCTGAGATATCTGAAGAAGAAGGAATGGATAGAGGAACACGAGTGTTCAAATGTAGTGATATCCTTATGGACTACTTCTGCTGCAAGACTCCATCTCCTTCGCCTTATGCAAAAAGTGGCACGAACTCCAGACTGCACCCTCCTTTATACTGATACAGATTCTTTGATTTTTTCACACCCTGAAGATAATAATCCTCTGGAACTTGGACCTCACCTTGGAGATCTTACAGATGAATACCCTAATCATGAAATACTTGAGTATTGTAGCGGTGGTGCAAAGCAGTATGGTCTGAAACTTAAACGAAAATTTGTACATAATGAAGAGCCAGAATATGTCTTAAAGGTACGGGGAATAACACTAAATTATGACGTCATAAATAATCAAGGACTAAGATATCAAACATTCAAAAATTCAATTTTACAATATGTTCAAACCTGTAATCCTATCTCAATACCTTTAATATATCCTAATTTTCTTCGTCCATCTGTCAAAAAAGGTTGTGTCATCTCTCAACCATTAACTAAAATTTATAAACCTTTTGTTGGAAAAGGAATAATTCGTCCTAGTGATTTTTCTGTTTTAGACTTTGGTTTTGTTAAGAGTTTATCTCTTTAATTATTTTTCAAATTGTTGTACCATTTCATAATATTTATTACAAATAAATTTATTTTAAAGAGTCAATTTATAAAATGTTAATGTTAGGAAGATAGTATTTTTAGGGGAAAAATAGCAAAATTAGTAATGAGAAGATACAATTTAGGAATAATTAACAAAATAGGTGTTTGAATTGTAATTTATTCTGAAATACATTACCATCCATTAACAAATTCTAGATAGGTTTCATCTTCATCCTCCTCTTCGATATCTGAAAGAGTCATTGATTTTTTCTTCTCTCGGATGAGAGTTTTGTTTAGATTCTCTGAAGTGTCACTTTTAAAAATATTCATAAATATTTTTGGATTTTCCTTTTCCTCAATAAGTTCAAGCAATTCCAGCGGATAAAAGCGGTTTTCTCCTCGATGAAAGGACTCAATGACGCAATGAAGAAAGGGATGAAATAATCTAATTCTGTGGCGTGCATAAAAATGTGCCGCTACGGTAACATTAAAGTGTTTAGAAAGACGGCCATATGCTTGAAGATTGTTTGCACCTTTATTGCTAAGATCGTCAAAGAAAATTGTTTTAGAAAATCCATTATTATCTTTATAAGTTGTTCTAAGCTTTTTTCCTTTTAATTTGTTCAAAATAAGTTCACGATTAGAGGGATGATTAAGCTCGTCTCTTAGAGATTTAACATTGCATTTTAATATTTTTGCAACCTCATCGATTAGAAGTACCATTTTAAAAAATTAGATTTTATGAATGAATGTTAGAAATGAATAGTTGGATATTAAAGATTTCTTTAAAATATTTAGAATGAATTGAAAATTCGATGAAAATGGTGGAAGGGTTGATATTTTTCATTCCCGTTCATTTTCTAAAATCATTTTTAAAAATTTTCAAAAAATGGACAATCTCGAAATCCCTGAATTCAATCCTCTCATTCCTCCTCCTGTCTTAGAACTAAATAAATCATTAGAAATGAAAGATTCTCCTAAAATTATCAAAGAATTGCCAAATAAATCTAATGAGAAAAAATTGTTTCCAAAATCTAGCAAAGAAACATCAAAAACCGCAACTCACCTCTGGAAGTTAACTAAGGGAAAAACAGTTTTACAATACCATCTATGTTATGGTAATTTTTTAAATTCGAAAAAACTTTTTAATATTTTTTATTACAGATTGTCAGAAACGTCTTTTTAACTCTCAAGATAAAATAATTCGTCAAGGGGATAAAATAATTCTTAAAATTGAATTTTGTGAAAAATGTGCATTAGATAACTGTGAAGCAACAGATTTACTATCAAATAAGACAAAAAGGAAGTATAGAAAAGTTGAAGATAAAACGGATATAATTAAAATTGATAATTAAAATTAATTTTTTGCTTTTTCTTTTCCAATTTTGTTTAATTTTACTATTTGGTAAATAAATATATAAATTTTGTTTACGCTATTTAAAAAAATCTCTAATCCTTTTCTTTCCTCTTAGATTAATTATTGCCGGTCTAGAAATTTATATTAGATCTTGACACTTATAAAAATTCTGTCCACTATTTTTACTCCTTTTATCCTAAAGAGAGATATTATTCAGTAAATGATTGCGCAATTGTAGAAAAGTCTTGGCAAATAAACAATTTACCGTTTGTTTTGAGAATTGAAAGTTATAGTTTTTTTGAGTAAATGCAGATCTTATATTATTTTTAGCAGATTAGCAACGCTTGGCAAATGGGTGGAGAATATATATAAAGAATGGTCAAAAACATTGAGATATTTATTTCTCGATGAATTTTAGTTGATATTTTTATTTAATATTTTATACTTTATTATTTTTAAATATATTTCATTTATGTTTTTAATTTTTTATTTTCTTTGAATTTTTAATTGTTTCTCATAAAATTTAATTGTTATTATTTTATTAATAAATTGTTATATTTTAGCTTTTGTCTCTCTAAAATCTTTTAATTAAAATGTCCGACTTTGTAACAATGAAGGATCTCGCAAGCGCTCTTGTTGAAATAAAGCTTTTGCGATCTGAAGTTCAGCTATTGCGCGAAGAAAAACAGGAGGATAAACGTTCTATCCAAATTTTGCGCATGGCTATGGTAAATAATGCAATACGTGTAGAAACGTTAGAAAAGTGGTCCGAAGGGGTTTATTTATTCTCTATTTCATTGTACTAATTTTTTCTATTTCGGGTACCCGCGTCTCGACGTTTCATAATGCCTTTTGCCCCTTCCGTTGGCCAGGTACAATTGGATCTATTTAGCTCGATGCGAAATTTTGAGCGAAATAATGTATTGGCACCTCATCGTTGCGGAGCATATCCTATTGCCGACCGAGGTATATTTCCTATCTTACCCTTTATTTGATTCTATTCAGTCGCAAATGATCTACTCCTTACTGTAGGGTTACAAGAAAATTTAAATGATGAAGAATGGGACCTTAATTCAAATGTTCAATCTACCTCAAATTGTGAGTATACATCTAGTTATTTCTTAATCAGTATAAACAATTTAAAAAATTTTTTTCCTTTAGTTGATCTACCTGCTGTAATGAATGGAAACAATTTCTCCACCAAGCTTCATAAAAAGAAGCTTGGTGGAGAAATCTGTATTGCTAAAAAGTGTAAAGATCCAGCTGATTTTGCCGGATTTTGTGGCCATGATGTATTTTGTTTAAAACATGCGAAAGAACGAGTTTCAATCGCATGGAAAAAAATTCAATGTCCTACATGTCCTTTGTGTGGACAAAATACACAGACGTTCAAGAATGCTAAGAAGCAGGACTGTTTGGATTTTTAGGTAACATAAGTTAATATGTGCTTTAATTAAATATTTGATTAAGTAATTTTTTGATAATGAAATTTTTGTGGGCTGTTAATTTTATTTAATGCTTATTTAATTATTTAGCCAATTTTGATTAAAATGTGCCCAAACCTTAGAGCTGTCCGGGACATTCGGCCTTGATTCTTGCCATATGACTTTTATTGGGGTTTTTCGGCCTTGGTTCTGGTGGTGAAGTGTTCCTTGTCCCGACTTTAAAGCATTTGAAAAATACATCACTAAAAGAAAGAGCGAAAAAATTTTAGACGGGAGAAAAGGGGAGAGAAAGTTAAAAACTGTAAAAAAGAGCCTTTCAAATTCTCAAAATTTTTCGAGTGGACACAAAAGGAATACATAGAATGGAGAAAAATTTTCCTTTAGAAAACGATATTTTAAGCGCCTTCGTTTCACAAGCCCTGTATTTAATTTAAGTTTTGATTTATTTCCTTTAAACTTTTGAAATTATATATCATATGCCAAAGTCACGAAAAATAAACCAAAAAGTCTTGTTAGTACTTTAGTCTCGGGTCATGCAAAATTTTCGCTCTTGGACAGCTCTAACCAACTTACTCATATAAATATTTTACCAATTTTTCATTTTTAAATAAAAATTTAAAAAATTTTTATTTTTAATAATTTATTTTTGAAGAATAATATTTAAAAAATTTAAATTTGTTTTTGTTGTTGTTTAAGTTCTTCTAATCTTCGCCTTTTCCTTTCATCGCCGCATACTCTCTGGAAGTATTTAAATTGGAAAAATTAATGTAAAAAAAATATGGATGAGACGGAGACTTATAAAAAATGGAATAAAAAATGGATGAGACGTAGATCCTCTCTCTCTAAATGGATGAGACCGAGACTTTCAAATTACGGCGGACTTTATATATAATATGTTCAGAATTTTGATCTACCTTTTATACGATAAGTTAACCGGACTTGGAGTGTCGTACGAGATATCTCGAGAAATCTCAAAAATACCCACTTATAAAGCCCACACCTACGGCGTGGGCCCACCACCTACGGCATGGACCTTGGTCCACAACCTACGGCGTGGGCCCACCACCTACGGTGTGGGCTTTATATATGACATTTATCAGAATTTAATCTACCTTTTATACGGAAAATTAACCGGACTTGGAGTGTCGTACGAGATATCTCGAGAAATCTCAAAAATACCCACTTATAAAGCCCACACCTACGGCGTGGGCCCACCACCTACGGCATGGACCTTGGTCCACAACCTACGGCGTGGGCCCACCACCTACGGTGTGGGCTTTATATATGACATTTATCAGAATTTAATCTACCTTTTATACGGAAAATTAACCGGACTGGGAGTGTCGTACGAGATATCTCGAGAAATCTCAAAAATACCCACTTATAAAGCCCACACCTACGGCGTGGGCCCACCACCTACGGCATGGACCTTGGTCCACAACCTACGGCGTGGGCCCACCACCTACGGTGTGGGCTTTATATATGACATTTATCAGAATTTAATCTACCTTTTATACGGAAAATTAACCGGACTGGGAGTGTCGTACGAGATATCTCGAGAAATCTCAAAAATACCCACTTATAAAGCCCACACCTACGGCGTGGGCCCACCACCTACGGCATGGACCTTGGTCCACAACCTACGGCGTGGGCCCACCACCTACGGTGTGGGCTTTATATATGACATTTATCAGAATTTAATCTACCTTTTATACGGAAAATTAACCGGACTGGGAGTGTCGTACGAGATATCTCGAGAAATCTCAAAAATACCCACTTATAAAGCCCACACCTACGGCGTGGGCCCACCACCTACGGCGTGGACCTTGGTCCACAACCTACGGCGTGGGCCCACCACCTACGGCGTGGGTTTTATATATGACATTTATCAGAATTTAATCTACCTTTTATACGGAAAATTAACCGGACTGGGAGTGTCGTACGAGATATCTCGAGAAATCTCAAAAATACAAGGTAGATTAACAAGGCAGATTTAAGTTATATATATATCTGTCCATATTTTTGTTTTTCGGCGCTTCATGAAAAATTTTTTGTAAAATATTGTCTTACTTTCGGAAAATATTGCAAACTTTAAAAATTTTTTAAATATTTTCGCGGAAAATTCGATCTCGATATCCGAGATTTTTTTCAAGGCCTCATCTCATCCATTTCTATTTATTTTAAACTTAGTTCCTAGAATAATTCTTAATTAATTTTATTTATTAAACTTGCGTTATTTCTAGTCCTCTTCTTCTTTACTTGTCCTTGAGGTAAATTTTCCTTTTCTTCATTATTAAGATTAACTAGAGATAATCGAGCACGTTCTTTTAAATTATTAGCTTGTTCTTCTATTTTTGACTTAAAACGAATATTTTTAAAAAAAAAATTTAAATAATTTTTTACTTCTCTTTCAGCAATTTCTTCCTCAAAAATTCCAAAATCTTTTAGGTTAATACATTTATTTTTCAATTCAACAAGGCCTGAATGAAATGGTCCTAATTCATTTTGTAAAGTCTTGAGCCAAGCAAGTAATGTTTGAGCACCACCATGACCTTCAGAGATAGCTCCTTCACGTGTTTCAATCTGTTTATTTTTCTCAGACAGCCAATTCTCAGCCTCAGATAATTCAAATAATAATTGTTCTCTTAAAATAAGTTTTTTTTGTCAAAATAATTAATTTTTTTAAATAACATGTGATCTAAAAGATTGGAATTTTAACTTTATTTGAGAGAATATTAGTGTCACCGAAACCGGTATTTTTACCAGAACCGGATCCAATTTGAGTTCCGGTTCCCGGAACTTTTCTTAGGAACCGGCCGGAACCAGAACCTTAACTTTAAAAATTTTTGCTAGAAAATTTAAAAAAAAAATTTTTAGGATAAGTAGGTTGTCGGTCTCGCCAAATTCTTCGGTTAACCGAACCGACTAACCATGGAAAGCCAACCCATATTTTTTAAAAAAAAATCAGTTTTTAGGGGTTATAGTTAATATACCTTGAATGGGCCTTATTCAACAAGTTTCGGCGATTTATTGATATTTCCATTAAATTTTTCCAAGAATTAGACAATTCCAAACATTTTGCATCGATCTCCTGATGACAAGAATGTTTATTTATTCCATCAGCATTTGCCAATTTTCTTCCTTTATTTAATAATTCGGTAACTAAAGGTTGATGACAATCTAGTTCAGCAATTAATTGTTCGTGTCGTTTTACTAATTGTTGAACTTCTGTTAATGAATGGCCAAGTTGTGGACATTCCACGATTAATTTTTTTTCCTTAAAATATAGATTATTTAGTAAAATATAATCTGATTTTGTTGGTAATTCCAAGGCTGGACCACCTTTTTTCTGTGACCATTTTGAGCTTGTTTGCTTGATATATAATTTACAATATATCATTCGAAAGAGCTGTTCGAGCTGAGTAGAATGATACTAAGATAGGTTCGATTTGGAGATTCTGAGCAGAATTATGAAGCTAAATCCTCAACGGACATGCTTTTTGTGATGTTGAAAGGGGTTAAAACAAATGGTCATAACTATGTTTATCTAAGTTGGATTTCGATGAATTTAGTACCGTTCGACTCAGCTTGAAGAGCTCTTTCGAACGATATATAATTTGCCATAAAAGCTTAAAAAATCGAAAAAAAATAGAAAGGAAAAAAGGGGTACCAGCCTTGGAATTACCATTTTGTTTTCCGGACACAAAAAAAATAAATTAATAACTAGGGGTGAGAAGTAGGGTTGTCGGGCTCACCAAATTCTTCGGTTGACCGAACCGACTAACCGAACTAAACTTTCGGTTAACCGAACCAGAACCGACTAACCGAAACGAAAAACCGAACCGAACTACTCAAATCCGCCCCCCCCCCTCACCCCTACCAATTACGTATAATTTTTAATATTTTTTAAAATAAAAAATATAATATTTACCCCAATCCACTGTAATTCAACATCAACATCAAAAGCTAATTGATGCCAACCCATTGATTCATCTAATTCTGCTCTCATTCTTTCCAATGGTTCATGTAACGAGTTAAAGCGAATAACAAGTTCCTCTACTTTTTCAATAAGTTCAGGCACAGCAAAATGTTTCTTTTCGTTCATTTTATTTACTTTTTTAGAAATTTCATTCAACCGATCTTCTAATAACTGAAAAAATTCAAAAATTAATTTATTCATTTTTCTTTGTTTTTTGCCTGAATTTCCTGTCCAGTTTGTACATTTTTATTAATTAATTGTTTAACACCACGTAAATCTTTCCCTTTCGTTTTATCTGACAAACGATTTTCAATTTCTTCAATTTTTCCATTAACTTCATTTATTGCCCCAAGTGATTTTTCAAAAAATTCTTCTTTTTCATTTATTTCATCTTGATCCACAAAATCTTCAAAAAATTTATTAGACTTATTTTGAAGATACTGTGGAAGCAAAAAATCGGCGTCCTAAGTAGAAAAAAATTTTTTAAATCAGTGAAAAATAAAAGACCAAATCATCACTGATGACCCAACTGTTTCTCCTATTAGAATATCCAGCCCATTTAATCAAATAATAAACATCACCATCCTCGACTTTATCGTCGAGGATGGCCTCGACAACATGCCTATTTGCCCTATTTGCCATTTCTAAATTATATATAAATTAATACAAAATAAATAAATCATTCAAAAAAAAATGATCAGTAAAAATAAAAATTCAAGGGAAATGGTCCAAAATGAACATTGAAAATATATATAGGGAATGGGAAAGGCGGTAGGATGGCAAAAACATAAAGAAAATGTATTTGATTAATAAAATTAAAATAAAGGTTGAAAGGCAACAATTTGAATAGGTTGGAATGAGAAAATTTGAAAAATGAAACGAGGGAGTTATTAAAATATTAAGAGCTGGGAAAAAAATAGATTAAACCATAAAATGGTAGAAAATATTTGCTCTGTTTGTATTGGGGATTAAGAGTTTCGAATACCTTTTGAACCTACCGTAAAAACATGTTGAAGGGATTAGAGGATTTCAAACAATTTATCCTTTGCTGTTGCCGAAAAACATGTTGAAAGGATTAAGGTTTGTTTGTTTAGGGCGAAGGTCCCGTTGGGTTAACTACTCGCACTTGTATTTTCGACCTTAGGAGTGGTCCGAAAAATCTACAAAAATTCCTGTAAACATATCTATTGATATCTATAGAAAATACAAAAGAAATGAAGTTCCTATATAATTCCTTCATTGAGATCTGAAAACCCGAAAATCAACGGAAAACCGTGGGTAGCCGTCTTTAAAAAATATTTTCGACCTTTTACAGGTGAAATAAAAATTTCATTTTGGGCTTATTTGAAAGCCCTTGAAATTTTCTACAAGATAGCATTAATTTTATTTTTCGAAAAAAATTCAACTATAATACATACTGTGATAAACTTTCAGGTCATAAAAATCACTCAAAAGCCCCCCAAAAAGTGATGAAAATGTAACTTATGAACTAGACTCATTATTTCTCAAAGATGGATTTTTTCTGGATTATGTGATGATAAATATCTTGTAGCAAATTTCAAGGGCTTTCAAATAAGCTCAAAATAAAATTTTTATCTTACCTGTAAGGGGTCGAAAATATTTTTTAAAGACGTCTACCCCCGGTTTTCCGTTGATTTTCGGGTTTTCAGATCTCAATGAAGGAATTATATAGGAACTTCATTTCATTTGTATTTTCTATAGATATCAATAGATATGTTTACAGGAATTTTTGTAGATTTTTCGGACCACTCCTAAGGTCGAAAATACAAGTGCGGCTATAGTTTTTTCCAGTAAAAATTACGCGTATTTTTGAATTTTTAAAATTTTTGTGTTTTGTTTTTAAAATTTTGAGAATATCTAAATACCATTATTTTCCTATATATTTTTTACATTTTTCAACAAAATTTGATGTTGTTCGGGTAACTCCTTCTTAAGTTACAAAGTTTTCAAAAGTGCGGCTATAGTTTTTTCCAGCACTGTATCATATCTAAGTAGAGACCTACCACCATCCATTGGAACAAAATCACAAAGGGAGCGGTGTTGAACTAACCACTCTGCAACTGTATCTTTGTAGAAATATTTGAGAAGTAAATCTTCAATCTTGGGCCGAATGGAAGAAATAAATTCGTGTTCAATTTCGTGTCGTTTTTTCTCTTTACTATTACTTTGCTTTTCTTCAGTAGTATTTCCACAACCGTTGTTTTCATTGAATAACACTCCCAATTTCCATATTAAGACTCTGACTTTTTCCATCTAAAATTTAGAGGACATATTTGATTTTTGGAAAAATTTTCAGTCTTTCAACTGTGTCCGAAAAATTCAAAACCTCTCAGGGATGTGACTACTTTTAGGATAGATATCGAATCAAAGTAGAATAGGGACCGGAAGCTTACGCATAAATATATATATCAGTTCTTCATGGAGAAAATGAATCCCATGAACAAATTAACCGAATGAAAATACCTGTTTGTAGAGATCAGCACCAGGAAACTGACATTTTACAATCTGCGAATCAAATGTTCGAGGAAACTTTTTTCCTTCAAATATTAAGTCGTCTACATTCGTTTGACAGCCAAGTAACTTCTTTAAATTATTGAAAATATTTATAAAAATTATTAAAAATAAACCTTTATAATTTCCAATTTTGTTTCTTTTTCTGTATTAGTCAAATCCTTTTTATCACTCCAAGTTATAAGAAATACAGATTGAGCCACCATTGTTGGCAAGCCAATTGATATAAGTTCACAAAGTGGTGTTACATGTGAATAACGTTGCCATCCAGTTAGGACCATCCCAGAGAGACGACCAGATAAACTCTATAGTAAAAAGTTTAAACAAATTATTTTAAAGAAACTATGATTTTCTATTCGCAGACAGACGCTTTCTCTCTAGTTTACTAGACTCCAGACAGGATTCTGACAAGGGAACCTTCCGAATTAAGTAAAAATTTTCAAATGAAACCTATACCAACGTGTAGAGCATGGTCGATAATCTATTGCCAATTTTTGGCCCCGACATTTTTGGCCTCTCTAGTTCAACGAGAGACCATATCAGGCAGATTTTAACAGACGCGGGTAAAAAATAAGAAGGCAAATATAAAGGAAATTTGTCTACGCAGTAGCTCAGTCGGTACAGCATTTGCAAAGGCTAAGAGAAGCCTTTAAAGAACTGCCATTTCCTAGAAGATCCAACCCTCTAACATGTTTAAAAATAACCTTTTCATGTTGATAATAAAGTTTCTTATAGGAAGCCAAATTGCTTGTATAATGCCCAACATCAGCAAATTGTTGAACAATTCCATTTGCTCCTTTAAATGCACTTGCAAACATAACTTCTTCAAAAACCTAAAATTTATTCAAAAATTTTAAAATTAAAAAATCGTTGAAAACCTGACTTAAACGCTCAAATAATCCATCAGGGAAATAACCAGGAAAAGTTACATCAGGAATATAACCCCAAACCATTGGAATTACTAATTCACCCATCTTGAATTCCTTCATCAATTGAACACTTATTTTGTCAAACTTAAAAATTAAGGTAATAGATTGTTGTTTGTGTGCGATATTTCCCACTATTCACCAAATCTCTTTTTTTTATTCAAATTTCTGTAGTCACGACATACTCATTGGCGATAAGTACTCATTTCTGTGTGTTAGAACTAGGCACATAGCCAGGAAAAATTTTCGAGGGAGAGGGCCAGGCGGGGAGAGGGGGACCACATGTATACGCCGCAGCCGAAATTTTTGAGAATTATGGAGGACCGAATGCCGAAAAATTTTTAAAAACAATACAGGACCGTGGATTCTAAAGATCTGATTGTGAGCTAGGCACTTATCGCAAAAAGTAACGTTCTTGACTTGTAGCAAATTGGTTCAATAAAAAAGAAATTGGGGAACCTAAAAAATGTGCACACAAACGACACTATTGTCAAAGTAAAATTAAAATAATTCAAACCATGTCATTCCAAGTATACACTCGTTCAAATGAAAACTCGTCTTTGGCAATTCTCGCTACTCTGAATTTAAAATTTCTTTATTTTTGGGTGTTTAAAATTAACTTTCAGACTTTGTTATATGATCCAGCTTCAACCTTTCTTTTGAATTTTCGAAAGTTTTAACTAGTTGCTTTTTACATAATTTCTCTTCAGCAATATGCCAGGCCTCATCGCATCCCAAATGAATAGAATTTATTGTTGGATGTAATTTTCTGATCTGAATAGGGATTTAAAATGTAAACCAAAAAGCTGTGTTTTTGAGAAGACGGGAATTTTGAATTTTGTATGTCTCTTTTATTTCCTCCCCGATCTTCCTTTATACTATATTTTCGGCAAGGTATATGAAGCAAAAAAGGATTGATTTTGGGAGGAACTAGTGAAAAAAGAGGGCATACAAAGGCCAAATTTCTGGGAAGCCTAGAAATTGTAGGAATTTTATTAAGAAAAATTCTGAGGAAAAGATTAAAAGGTTTTAGGGTAATTCCAAGGCTGGTCCCCCCCCCCCCCCTTTTTTTCTGTTCCCCTGACCATTTTGAGCTTTTTTGCTTGGCATATAATTTTCAATATATCATTCGAAAGAGCTGTTAGAGCTGAGTAGAATGATACTATGATAGGTTAGATTTGGCGAATCTGAACAGATTTATGAAGCTAAATCCTCGAAGGACGTGCTTTTTGTGATGCGGAAAGGGATTAAAACAAACGCTCATTTCTATGTTTATTTAAGTCGGATTTCGATGAATCTAGTACCGTTCGACTCAGCTCGAAGAGCTCTTTCGAATGATATGTAATTTGCCATAAAAAGTTTAAATAATAAAAAAAAATAGAAAGGAAAAAAAAGGGGGGGGGACCAGCCTTGGATATAATCCCAACATATTACAAAGTATTTTTCAACAAAATTCAAACCTGAGCCAGAAGTTCCCGTATCAACCAAATTGAGCGTTCATTAGAGGGACAAATAGTATTAAATTCAGACACATTTTCACTTAACGAAGCAAACTCTGAATGTTTCAAAACAAATTCCATGTGCCCAAATGTTTGCACTAAAGGGATCAATTCCAACCCATTTTCATTTAAATGCTGAAAATAAATTTTTGCAATAAAAAATAACCAAACCTTTTCTATTAGATGAATTGTTGTTGCGTTATAAGCAGAATGCCGAGCAAGTTTTGATAGCTTATCAGTGTAGGGAAACATATCTTCGTACTCCATAAGCACAGCATTAAAGCCAAGACGTGCAAAGAAGGGGAATAATTCAAATAAAAATTCTGGTCGAGGTGCTGCTCCTTTCAAGTCAAGATGAATTATACGCTTAAAAAGTTAATGATTGTACATATTTGTTAAAATTTGCAAATTTTATGGACCCAGAAGGTCTCCCCCAAAAGATCAACTTCTTAGTGATCAAATGACCCTAAATATCAATATTTGGAGTTGGCCTCAGGGTATTTGCTCTTTTGGAAGTTCTGGGTGTTGACCTTCCGGGTGACACAAATTTACAAATATTTTCAATTTTTTCCCACCTTTTTGAAGAAATTCGAAGAAGTTCCCTCCCCACTCATTATTCGTGTTACTTGCGAATTGTAATCAATATACAAATATCGATAAAATGTAAAAATAAGCAGAATAATTAGAATAACTATTAACGATGTTGATCGAAACGAATTTGGGGCCTAACTACAGTTTCCGTACCAGGCTCAGAATTGGACGATTTATATGTCATTCGAAAGAGCTCGTCGAGCTGAGTCGAACGACACCAAAATTATTCAGCGGAAAAAATTCTGAGCCGAGTTACAGGCCCCCGAAAATCGAAAAACCGTAGGGGGGACCAAGCTGATTTTTGGGGTGAAAAATTCGAATATGCAATTAATAGCTCATTTGAAAGAGCTCTTCAAGCCGAGTCGAATGACACCAAAATCGCCGTGATTGGTCATGTTTGTTCAAAGTTATGACAGAAAAAACAAACAACGTAAACCTATGGGGCGTCGGCGAGGCGCTTGTGCAAAACTCCGCGCTTCGCGCGGAGTTTTGCGGCACGCGCCTCGCGGGGAGTCTACGGGCTCTGGGTCTGGGCTCGTAACTTAATCCTATTCCAATTATCGCTGTGATGGGCATGCCCAGCTTCCTCCGCAGCAGCAAGAACATCCACGGAGAACAAAGGTAAGGAGCTAAAACAAACGAGCATAACTTTGTCAAATCAAGTCTGATTTCATTGATTTTGGTGTCATTCGACTCAGCTCGATGAGCTCTTTCGAATGAGGTATAATTTGCATATTCGAATTTTTCACCCCCAGAAAACAGCTTGGTCCCCCCTATGGTTTTTTGAACTTTAGTGGTCTGTAACTCGGCTCAGAATTTTTTCCGCTGAAAAATTTTGGTGTCATTCGACTCAGCTCGACGAGCTCTTTCGAATGACATATAAATCTTTCAATTCTGAGCCTGGTACGGAAACTGTAGTTTAGCCGAATTTGGTTTAATCAGTTGCCATCGAAAATTTTGTTGTAAGAATACACAAATATTTGTAATGGATTTGTTTAGACTTCTACATAATCTGTTTAATATATTTTTATTTTTATTGCCTTCATTGGGCTCATGAATTAACGTGTAATTTCCTTTAGGATCAAGCATTTACATTTTTTATAAAAAATGAAAAAGAAATTTTTAAGCTAACGAATCACGGCAGGCTAATTGGGACTCTAACTGTCCTGCAACGAGGAAAAATTTCCGTGTCTGTACAAAAGACCGGTGCAAAAAAAGACCGGAACGGGCAAAAATTGTTAAAAGACCGGAACGGGCAAAAATTGTTAAAAGACCGGAACGGGCAAAAAGGGTTAAAAGACCGTAACGGCCAAATATTGGTTAGAAGACCGGTGCAAAAAAGGCCGGAACGGATTACATTATATCAAAAATTAATTGTCATAAGGAACAAAAATTACATTTTGTCATAAAGGACAAAAAATAGATTTCGTCACTCAATAGCGAAAATGCTACAGTATCATTCTACCGTTTTTTCGATTAATTCCCCTAGGGAATTAATATTTCAATCAATCCGTTGGATGGGGCATTATTCGAGTTTTGACATCTGAACATGAGTAGAAACTTGGTGGAGGGGAATTATTGTTTCAACACATCCCTGGCATTAGGAATTATTCGAAGGGTGGGGAATTAATTAAAGAAATACATACGGTATTTCTACATTAACAATGTATTAATCAATTTTCTTTAATCGTCAGATCAGCTTTTGCTTTTCCTAAAAAATTTAATTTCAAAATTCTAAATTGATGGTTTGTAAGGCAGAAAAATGAATCACATCACCTCAATGTGTACTTTTCAGATAGAAAAAATTAATCATGGATTCTTAACTTTCATGATTTAAATAATTTTTTTCTCCAAAAAAAGTCTTTATTTTGAAAATTTTTAAAGGATAACAAAATTAAATTTCAAAACATCTTTAGCATACCCCTTCATATTCAACCTTTTTATTTAAAACAGGGCTCGGATTCGTACTTTATTTGAAAGTACAGTACTTTAAAATCGACCTCCGTACTTACGAAATTGAATTTGTACTTTATTGAAAGTATGTACTTTAAAATCAACATTTTTAAAAAAATGGAAGAAATCTGGCTTAAGGACCTCCAAATTTCTCAAAATTTTCGCCTGCGGCGCAAAAAATGAAGAAATCTGGCTTAAGGACCTCCAAATTTCTCAAAATTTTCGCCTGCGGCGCAAAAAATGAAGAAATCTGGCTTAAGGACCTCCAAAATTCTCAAAATTTTCGCCTGCGGCGCTGAAAATGGGAGAAATCTGGCTTAAGGACCTCCAAATTTGTCAAAATTTTCGCCTGCAGCGCAAAAAATGGATTTTCTGGCGCCATCGCCGCCACAAAAAGTGCATTGTAATGCACAAAATGCTAAGTTGAAACAAGAAATTATTAGAAAAGATTAATTTAAAAGAGAAATATAAAAGATTTGAGCACGAATATATTTTCTAATTTAATTTTGAGTGTACTTTAAATGTGGAAATTTTGCCCCTATGTACTTTAAAATCAAGATTTTTGTACTTTTTATTGGCATTTTGTCGATCCGAGCCCTGATTTAAAACATAATTGGACAACACGATTAACTGTCACATGGATATTGAAATAAGAGATTAGACGATTTAGGAAGATTAAATTATGTTATTATTCTAGGGAATTAGTAAGAAATTTTAATAGTGAAAGAGAACAAGTACATAAAAACAAGTCTGAAATCATAAAATATTATTTTCCAATCACTTCGTGATAACAATTCTTTTTTAAATTAGAAGAATAAAATAGCCAAAATAAATTTACAGAGATTTTCAGACACATAAAAGAAAAATGTATCGTGATCTACAGCCGTGCTTCAAGTACATTTTTGTAGCAATTGTTCTTGTTATAGTTGGATGGAATAAAGAGGCGAGGGTTAAAAAATCAGAATTTTACCTTTCACAATTTTAGGCTTATTCAATGTCTATGAATCAATTGGGATTCGCGATAAACGAAACACTTACAGATGACGCTATTCAGGTTCTGGCTAATAAAAGTGCGGAAGCAATTACCCCAGCCGTGTACACCACAATAAAAGATGCTTTTGCATGTTTGTAAAAAATTTAAAAAATAGAGAAACAAATCCTTTGTCTCATTTTAAGCTTTTGCTCCTGATACGTGGGTTAATGCATTGGAAAAGGTCAGTTGTAGAAACCTATTTCTAGAACAGAAAACAAGTTTTTTACCCACCGAACTCACCCTTTCTCTCATTTAGCTAAGCTATTAACATCATGAGGTAATCTATTAAAGTTTATCATAACAGATCAAAATATCAACTTTTCGCTGTGTTGTTCGTGAAAGTACGTTGATTGGCTTAAATATTTACAGCAAAATAGTTTTTATTTGTACACATTAAAGATATAATTTTACATAAATTTAGAACTCTACAGATTCCACTTTAGCTAATTCTACAAACGATCAGGTTATCAGATAAACTCTTTTCCCAATAAAATAATCCCTTAAGGTGAAGGCAATATTATCTTCCATGAATTACACTCAGGATCAGGTAAACATATTCCTCCGTTAAATCACCTTTAAAAAGGTACTATCATTACTGGCTAGCACATGTTCTGATGGCTGGGATGAAATACTCAATCTTTGCCATGCTGTGAATGCAACAATGAGTCAATTGCCTCCACACATTATCCAAATATTTTCAAAGGTCTCACATTTCTGACATTAACCCTTCCAAAATTTTCTCAGTTTAATTGTTTAAATTACAGTATAACGACTCAAGTATGGCGCCAGAAGATAGTGAAGTAGGCCTAATTCAGGTTCCTCTATAGTAGAAGAATAAAAAACCAAAAACTTAAAAGGATTTTAAAACCATTACACCTGACGAACTCGTTCAAATGGGGGATTTATTCCCCAAACTTAAGTGGCTATTCAGCCTTAACTTTTACAAACTAATGGATTTGTTAGCGCAAACTGTTCAAGGAAATGATGTAGCAAAAATGAAATTTGAACAATTGGGTATGAAGATGTATCAGAACAGAAATAAATGTTGAGGATAAATACTTATTAATTTTTTCGATTAAATAAATTAAATCTAAATACTTTATATTTGTTAACTGGAAATATAAAATCTCTTAGCTTTTTTAAATTTACTTATTCAATTCTACTCAATACACTTGTATAACAGACAAACACGGGCAGCTTACCCTTAACTTTGTAAAAAAAGCAGTAATGACGCGCTTAGGTTTGTCTCATTTTAACGCTTGATTTAATATTCAACAAAATTGGGCCGTTAAAACTGCCCCATTGAACAAAAAGAAAAAGCTTTTTTCTTCGAAACTCAAAGCACAAAAAAAGGTATACTAGAACGGCACGCGCATAACTAAAAACGCAAACATTGTTCTCTCACCCCCTATTAGCATTTAAATTTGTTTGCGTGAATATTTAAAAATGTCAAAGATTTTTTATTTACGTGCGTGGGATAAGTGAGTAATTGTTTTAACAATTAAATTTCAAACCAATGTAAACACTTTAATTTGAATATTTGTTTGTTTTTATTTTTTATTTTGTCGCTTTAATTGTTTAAATTAAATATTGTTTTTTGTCAACATCCGCGCGGCGTATATAAATTAAAGGAAAACTTTTAATTTTTGATTATTTTCCTTTTATGTAGGGGGTGCTCAAATAGAAAGGGCATCTATAAGAGATACCTCATTCATACCTACCAAGAATGGGCTGTCGCCTGCTTCTGCTTTCGCGAATTTCGCTTTTTTCGATTCTTTTGATTTCGCCTTTCATCTTTCGATTTTAAAATGCGCCAGGGCCTGGCCCTGATGCGCCAGGGCCTATTACTTACAAGATACCTCCACATTTAAATATTTTGAACATGAAGGGGAAAACTTAAATTTTGAGTTAAAAAGGCAGAAACAGCCAGTACAATTATGGCTTCCAGGGAAATGAATTTAAAACTAGAAAAAAATTAAGTGCTCAAGTTCACGTAAAAAACAAAGTGGAAATTCGCAAAAAACTCAAAAATCTTTCTTTTCTTGTAATAAATTATGTATTATCCCAAAAAAGGGTTCAAAATCCTATCTGTAATTTATTAACGAACGATTGAAGATAGACTAGGATAATAAATTATTTTAATACCAAGAAAAATAAATAGAATCTAATTATTTTTACGTCAATTATTAACTACAATATTCTTCTTTCCCCCTTTCTAAAACGGGATTTTAAATTTATTGTGCGCGTATTTATTAATTGTTCCCTTTTTTATTTTACATATTCTCCGAATATGGCATTCATTTATTCCCTGAATTGTTTTCCTAAAAGCCTTCAAGGTGTCTCTTTTTATACACAAATGTTTAAAATAGCGCATCGTTATAGCTTGCTCATTGATGCTTAGCACTGACAGACACTGGCAATTTTGCAATTCAATGTTCGCTGATGCTTGTAATAAAATGAAGATTTATGAGGCAACGGGGAAACATGCTTTTTAATTACTATATGCATGCCATAATGTCTTTAAAAATCATAACAAAAATATTTTTTATTCTGAATATTTACCCAAGGATCTGTTTATACTCTGTTTATACTAATTAACTTTCTTTTGGCACATTTAATTGTTTAGGAAAGTAGCTGCCCAGACTAGTTCCTTGCCCCCATCTTACACGAAATCCCTTCCTCCCCCACTTTCATTTCTTTTTTCTTAACCAATTTTGGAGCGGATAGAGGCTCTGACGCAACACAGTCTTTACCAGCCTCTCCTTTTGCTATAAAGCCTTTAAATATTTTGCATTCCTCTTGGGAGTAAAAGAAAGCTGCTGACGTTTTATTATAAGTAAATTAAGAAGTATCACGAAATGAGCGAAATGAGCTAACCCAAACTAAGTAAACAGAAATTGAAATCCTAAGTAAACAGAAATTGAAAGTACTACTTGTCTTTTAGTTTAATTAAAAATTTAAATCGAGGCTATTAAGTTAAATTGGTGGAGAGGAGGATATAGGGTGGATCCAGCATGTTTGGGACGGACATATTGGGATATTTCAGTGTACGAACAGTTCACCTTACAGATTTTGGGACCTATGGCCACCGGATTTTCGATAGTACATTGCCCTGTTGAAAAAATTTTTTGTTTTAGAACCAACGTAAACATGCAAGATGTTATTTTTGTCACCAAAATCCCGATATATCACCCTACCGTATAAGTTAGTCCTAATATTTAATAAATTTTGGGTTTCAACATTTTCTAGTTATTTTCGGCAATTTATTTTAAATTAAATTACTACCTAAAATACATAATAATAAAATGAAGGGCCAATAAAATGGGAGATAGAAATTAGATCCTTTTAAGACGATTTAGTTTAGTTTGCTCAAATTTCTATATCCCCTTTTCAAAATTGATTCTTTGGAGAAGCAATTTTTTCATCAAATTTCTTTTTTGGTAATTCGCCTAAAATTGCCTTTTTCTATTAACATTTTATTTAATTTTGAGCTATTTTAGTCTACCTAAATCCATTTTTTCCAAAATTTTTTAAAATTCTTTCATTCTTTAATTTAAATCCATTTGGCTGAATTAAAATTATTTTTATATATTTAATTTCCATTTTGGGTTTAAAATGGCAATTTACAAATTTTTGTTAGAAAAAAAACATTTTTCATTGTTTTAAAGAAAGGATTACGTCTTTTTTCTTAGAAAATCTTTGTTTAAATTACTTAATACTAATTATAGACATTTGAAGCCGAAAAAACAGATGCCAACCTTTTGTAAAAATTTTAATATTTTTTACGATTACCAAAACCAAATTATATTTACTTCAAATAATTTTTTACCTGAATTCATTAGACTATGTGTTAATTGTAAGAATAACATTTAGTTTCCTGGGGAACGGATTTAAAATTTTTGCTGTTGGAAAGGAAGGTTAGTGGGGGAGGAGATAGTAAAAATGAGTTGAAGTCTACTTCCTTCTATTTTTCCTATTTAGCTTCTAAAATTAGCCTTCTTGGATTATTTTCTTTCGAAAAGAGATTAATATAAGTTGGAATTTTCTTAACTAGAAAATCCGACTTTGTGAAAAACACCAAATACTTTTTAATGAGTGATCAGACTTGATCTATCCAATTAAAAAAAATACCGCTTATTGTGGGCTTTCAAATGATATAAGATTCAGTTGAATGGGATCGAGTCCAAAAAAGTTATAGCCGATCAAAGTCGGGCACTCAATTTATAATATAACGGATAATCAGAATCTGTTCATTTTCTCTGATTTATAAAATCAACTATTATCTTTAATTCATAGATCACTACCAAGTACTAATTTTTTATTTAATCTCCTTTGAACTCTTTTGAAATCTCCTTCTAATCTCCTCAATAAGCTACCTAAATTAATTCCACACACGAATTAAATGACGTAGTCGCCAAATTAAAGTTTAATTTGCTATAAAATCCTTTATCATTTGACACAATGTGCTTGTATTCTCCTCATGGCTAATGAATTTAAAAACAATCAAATGATGAATTATAGTATTAAAATAATTTTACAGAGGCGGGGAAAGAACTTTTTCATTCATAAAATACAAACAGCTGACATATCTTTAACCAGACTTTTTAGCAAAATTTTAGTCAAAACAAACATATGCTTTTGTTACCATCACAGGGTTTTTTGGTATTTTCACATTAAACCCAGCCAGATTGCATATGTATTTTCGCACCAAGTTTATTATTTTCTTAAGCTTTACCCTAAAGTTCATTTATAACTCCTTTCCAGATGGGCGATTGAGAAATCTTTAATAGATTTGTGCACAAACGAACGGAGAGAATTCTCTAATCCACTAAATCTACCATAATAAATTATATTTCAAAATTTATATTTTCGCTTAAAAGTTCTGAGAATTGCCTCAGAAAAATTTTAATTAGCTAGAATTCCACATACTACAAAACCTCCAACTATAGTATTTTTTGTTTAATACTTTTTCAGCTTTTTATAGCCTCATAATTTTAAATTTTCTATTTACTTCAAAATTAAAATTACCGGAAATGGGAAGTGAAGTATCCCGTGTTCAGTCAAACGGAGAAAACACCAAAAAACTTAGCAGCAGCGGCGGAAATGTTGCAGCGAAAAAGATGTCACGTAGAATGTCAATGGGAACTACGCCCATAAAAATGTCAGACCAGCAAACTACACCATCAATTAGAGTTGGTGGTTCAACAGGAATGCTCACAGTTCACGATAATGGTGATAAAATCTAAAACAAATTATTCTTAACCATTTTAAATCAGAATGCGAAATGCAATGTCTACAACAGCAAGTTTCACAATCCTCTCGTCTTTCCCTTTCGATTGATCCAATTGTTCCTCGATCTCGTTCTGGATCGTCTTCGAGCCAGTCACCGACTAAACCATCTAAAAATAAATGCTCATTATCGCTCAAAAATATTCAGCTCATACAGGTAAAATGGATTCAGAATCTCATTAAAATTTATATCTAGTCCAAAAGGACTACAAATTTAATTAATAATCAATCTTCGCTTTAGGGTTGCTTCAATAATCCACATGAAAATATTGGCTTCCGTATTCTAAAGCGTTCTGCCGAGCGTCGGAAAGACTTTGGCCGTTTCTATTCAGCAGTAAGCCTTGAACAACGTGAGCAAATTGCTGACACAATAAAAATTTTACTTAAAAACTCCGTCAATTGTCTGGACAGTCCAGACGAAAAAGTGAAGAGAAAATAATTTATTAAATAAAATTTTTTAATTTGTAGCTTCAATCAATGGCAATTGAGTTTGGTCAACGCTTTGTATGTTTCCGGGTTCAAGGATTCAAGGCTGATTACTTTGCCTCTTTGGCAGGTAACGATGATAGAAGATAAAAACAATTATTTTGGATTATTTTTAAAGATTCTACAATCACTGAGTGTGTTTTATTGGATGCAGCTGTACATCCAGCGGCTGTCACATTAAATGCCTTTTCACAATTCATCACGATGGTTGATACAGAAATTTATAAAAATTCCCATTAAAAAGCATTTTTAGCTATTCTCATCAGTACGCGATGGTTTTTACATGGAGATGCGACGACTTCGTCGTGTCAGTAACAGTTTCTCAACAGTCTCAAATGGGGCTGGGTCTTGTAAAAAATTAAGTGTAGAAGATGCAATAAAATCTGCAGCAAATTCCTCACTTGTAGCAATGGGGGCTGGTGTAAGGAGAAGCAGTACTACAAAGGATGGTGATGGCTCATACAGTCGTAGAGGTTCAGGAGGAAGTGTATACAGCGCGAATGCAACCAGTTCACGCTCAGTGAGTCCAGCAGATGAGGGAGCCTCCAAGAAACGTAGGAGTAAAATTTGATAAATTGGTAGGATTTTTATTTTAGGTGGCTCTTCTCCGTTTGATGGAAGCAGTCAAGAAGAAGATGACCACCTAACCAATAAAAATATTGTCAACGGGAGTAGACGTAGTCATAGTCGCAGTCCAAGCAGGAAGATTTCTGTTGCTACAAATTCTAGCGGGAAAGAATCTTATAGGGTAAAAAACAATTTTTAATCGAGGCAATTCTTAATTTTTTAGACTAAAAAAGAATCGAATACATTAATCCCTGTCGAGAATGGTTCAGAGGAGCAACAACCTAGGATGACTACAGCTGTTGCCCACTAGTTTAAAGGAAACTTATGAAAATCATTTATTTAAAATTTTTAAAGTAATAAAAATTTACAAATTTATTGCCAAATTAGTTGAAGGCACATTGAAACGCATCATCCTAAATCGCCAAAAATATAACATGTATCAAGGATGGGCCCTTCCAAATTAAAAAAACAGAAGATGGAAGGTAGTAGAAAAAACGGAAGGGCAAAGAAATACTGAAGCGCAAGAAATCCCATCCCTAAAATCCTATCCTATCTTGAAGAAAAAATTTCTCAAGCAAAACTAAAAAAATATTAAAAATTTATCATAGGCTATAAAATTGGATGAGCAATAAAATTTAATCTAAAATGATTAAAAACCTTTCACCAATTTTAATCAAACCTAAAAATTTTAATTCACTTATTGAGGTTTTCATTCAATTTTAAGATTGAGGAAAAAGCAAAGTTAAAATTATGCAGCAAAAAATTACAACATGAAAAAAATATTATTTTGAAGCGCATAAAATTATCAATTCCAGCATAAAAATCTCGTATATTTTCTCAACAGCTTACTTAAAGAAAATATGCGGAATGTTGTGACTTATATGTGGTTCGAATGAGAAACAAGTCATTATCTGTATGATCGAATTTTTGACCCCAAAATCGGCTTACTCCCCCCCCTGTTTTTCAATTTTCAAGGGCTTATAACTCGGTTCCTGGATGTCGGATTGACCTCCTCCCCACTCAGTAAAAGAGCTCTTCGAATGATAAATCATTAATCAAAATAGTCCAGCCAAAAAACCCCAACTATAAGTCACAATAACCCATATGCTGAAAGGGATGGTCAATTAAATCAAAAATGTTATATGTATAAATAAAAATAAAATATAAAAGAACCAAAAAAAGAAAGCATACTTTGAAATATCTGCTTGTTGAGTGAGTACCCAAATTTCTCGTCTTGTTATCGTCTGTCTGTTTGACTTCCAGTGTACTTACTAGTTATATGATTTGTTGATATTGTCGATGCATTGCTTGAAGATCGTTGGTGTTGTCGAAATTTTGAGTTGAAATTGACATTGTTTTCTTCACTTCCACTGCTAAAACCAGAACCAGTAACTCCATGCGCTTGAGCAACTTCCCTCAATGAGCTTATTGTTTTACGAAGCCAAGCCGGGCGATTATCATTAACTGAATAACTTAAAAGGAAAATTTTTTAGGTTCTTTTAACAGGAAAAAACCTTCCATTCTGCAACAATGAGCTTACTGACATCTGAAAATGAATTATAAAAAAACATGAAAAAGTCAAAGAAATTATACTTGATGTGCCAAATCCTGATTTTGACATTGTGATTCGACAAGCGCTAACTTTGTTTGAGCCAACTCTAATTCAACCTGTGATTCATGAATTGTGTGGTCAATAAAATAAAATTAACCTGACGTATATGTTGCTCGTACTGCTGTAACTTCTCTACCAATTCCATCATATGCATAGCCGATGTACTAATAAATTTATTTTTAATTAATTTGCATAAATACTAACTCGTTTGTTGCCGTGGTTGATCCTAATGAACTCCCCTCACCATCATAAGTTGATAATGAACTGCTAGGTCTTTGAGAGTTACTGGATATGTCAAGACAATCGGCAAGTTCATTTGAACAACGATCGCAGCCAGAAACTTTGGACTAAAAAAGATTAAATGCCACAAAATAGCAATATTAATCTCATACCGCTATGAAGCGTTTAAGTTTACGGAATTGTCGCTTATCCTCATCACTGGCAAGACCAAGTTCTGTACAAATCTTTTTGTATCTAAAATTATAGCTTAAAAAGTAATCAAATTAAAAAACATACTCAACAATAACACCTTCAGATCGACGATATTCTTCTTCTAACCTAGCAACCTCATCACGACATTTTTGTTTGATCTTTAAAAAACGGAAAGCAATTATATTTAAAAGTTGTTTGATAAAATTACAAATTCAGATTCTTCTCGTAGTTTTCGTTCCCGATCTGCCAGTTCTTCACAGTCGCGATTTTTTATTATCATTTGATTGAGTGTTGTCTCCAATTGATCTTCAGTCTGAAACTTTCAGAATTAAAAAAAAAGAAAAAAGTAAACCGTATCAAGACGCTCTTGTAAACAAATTTTTGAAGTAACTTTAAAGGAAAAATAAAACTCTTGAGGAATAAATTTAACCTAGTTCACGAGCCAAATAATCATTCTCACGTTCCAATCGCAGAATTTGTTCCTTTAATCCTTGTGACTCACGCTGAAAAAATTCGTATGAATCTGACCAATTAATAAAAAAAACTCACTTGTGCACGTTCCAATGGATCTTGTGACCTTACAATTAATAAAATTATTTTAAAGAAAATATAAAATGCTCACTCAATCTCTTGTCGTTTAAGCTCATGCCATTCTTTCTCATACTTGGACAATCGTTTGTGAGATATCTAATTTTCATTTGATAGTTAAATTTTACAAATCATACCTTTAATTTAACTGCTGCGTGTATGAGTTCTCTAGCAGCGACTTCTGTTCGATATTTTCTTGGCAAATTCACACGGAAAAATTTTAGAATCCCTTCAAAATCGGAGTGTAAAAGTTCCTTAAATCGAATTAAGCCAAAAACATTAATAAAATAACCTTATTTGAATCCTTCAATAAAGCCAACGAGATATGAAATATCGTATTCATTCCCTAAATTTAATTATACGAGTAAACAACCAAGAAGAAATACCTCCGCGAGAAACAAATCAACAATGAAAAAAACCATTTGTAAGGGAAATTTTGCTGTAAAGAGAGTAAGGAACCACTGGGAGGCATACCTGTATACAATTTAATTAAATTAAGTTTTAAGTAATTACATGTGTGTTTCTATGCCAATTTCGTGGAAATGGGAATACAATTCATGCGCGTAGTCCTTAAAGAAAAAATAAAAAAAAAATTTCCGAAAAATCGTGACAGACGCACCAACCAAAACCAAAAAAACGGAAAATTATTCCATAAAATGTACAAACCTTTATCAAACATTGAAGCTGGTAAAATCTTAAATGGAGTGCATCAAATCCAGTTTTGAATAATTCACGCATCCCGTAATCAAACATTATGTGGACTAGCACACAAAAGGCCTGCTCTTCTGGCATCTGCAATAACGTATATTTGAAAAAGTTATAAATAAAAATAAACATGCAAAAGAAGCGCAGCAGCAAGAAAGGAAAGTCCTTGACAGTAACCGACTTCATCGTCATATAGGGAATACTAAAAGCATGTTAAGTTTTATAAAATGTCGAAAATCATTACCGCTTTGCTAATCCTATAAAGCGCTTTTTGTCCTCCCTTATCATTTTCTTCTGTAAAATATTCATGTGCTGGGAATGTTCTATGGATATCACGAAGGATGATAGATTCTGATGGGCACTCCTAAAAAATATCTTATCTCGCATATATAAGATAGTAACAAACTTTTTCCAGCAACATTTGATAGGCTTGCACCAAATCTGCTTGAACTGGTCCTATGCGTGCAAGAAGAAGCCATACTTCGCCACGCAAAACATCTGGTATTCCGTCGTGAATCAGAGAATTGAGACCATACGGTCTTCTGCAAGAAAAAGTAAAGATCAAAATTTTTACAAAGAATACCCACTGTTCAGGCGTTTGCTTCCATAGATCTATCATATCATTCCAGGCAGCCAATCTGTCCTCAGAACATTCGCGACAAACATCACCCGAGCCAGAGAGCAAAGGCTCGTCACTATCTTAAAAAAGTTTTGATAAATTTGACTGATTTAACGGGAAATTTAATCAAGTTTTATTTAAAAATTTATAAAATATTTTTAACCTGAATCGGATCCATTTGCAGGGTGAATAAGTTGGGTTGGCATATGGCGTGTTGGGGATCTCTCCATGTCACCGTCAAATGCTGTAGAAGAAAGTTGACGTTCTCGTTCTGTTGTCGATTCAAAAATAACAACTTTCCTAAAGAAAAAAAGCTACAAACTGATTCAAAATTAAAATTGGATGAAAAAAATTTTTTCTCCGCTACAAATAAAAATGACAAATAATTGATTGCTTACAATTGGTCATCACGATTAGCATTGCATGGATCAGCTGAGAGTTCGTTCATCTAAATGCATGCAATTTTTATACAAAAAATGCTTTTTAAATGGAAATTTATAAAATAATTTGAAAATGTCACAAAATTTACTGAACGTAGTCACAATTTTCGTCGTTTTAACTTTGATATTTAGAATTTCGTTATTTCGTATTAGATATGTAATTCTAGTTAAAGTTAGACGACAAAACATTAGAGAGTATAAGACAGACAGCTAGAAAACATACCCACTAGAGTCTAGCAATTACTTTTCATTTGTTAAAGTTGGAAAAGGTTTAATAAAGTAAACACAAAATAGTTAATTAAAAGATTTTTAATTACTGTTTTTTGTGCCAACAGTCTGTAAGTTTCTGACACTGCCCTTCGTGGCGGAAACCAAAATCTAAATAAAAATTAAATTGTAAAATTAACTTAAAAATTCCGGACCGTTCATATTGTTGAAAAATTCTGGCCTTGCACTCGATAATAAATCGTAGTGATTCGTCAAGCCCGTCAAAAGTAACATCAACCTCCAAAAATTAACTCAGTTTATAATGAAAATTAAGACTTACAGCTACAGACATAAACACTCGTGTATCTAAATTTTTGAATGATTTTTAATTTTATTCCTTTCTACCTCTTGGAGTTTCTGTATTTAATACCTCAAAATTCCAGGCGCTCGGGTTCCAACGGGCTTCTATAACATATACTCGAGGATTATGCTGACCCTTAAGAAAATATTATTGCTTTCAAGCAAAACGCAATTCACTCTTACTTGCCCCGCACTTTTCATTTCGAGCAAATGCCTAAAATCAATTGGAAAAATAAATAGAATTGTTACGTTACATGTCTGATTGACGTAAGTTTCTGCCGGGTGCCAGCAACATTCCAAAGCAATTTTTGACCCGCAAATGTCTAGGTCCTGCAGTCTGCTTCAACATGACCAGTACAAGTTTATCACGATCGCGCCGCATCTAAAGAAAAATAGGATTATTGTGGACTCGATTGGTAATGCCAAACTCGCCTTAAAGCAATTCCTCTCCAAGGGACAAACAAAAAATCCTTGTTGTTCAGTATCAATGTAACTACCATCATTGTTGTTGTCAATGGTAGAAGGAGATAAACGTCTTGTCGCGGAAGGAGATAAACGCCTTGTCGTATTCGAGGTCGACCTGAAATTATTCGGTCTGCTTGCTATTCTCCTCTGACCATCTCTTTCGCGGATTTCTAATAATGCCTCAAATTCAAATAACTCTCCCGTCTCAGATTCATTTGGAATTGTCTGGTATTGAATTGTATTTGATGTTGAAGCTTCCATTGAATACGAAGAACTCAATCTTCCTGAATGTCTTTATGTCTGTGGTGGTTAATGCAGAGGAATGAAAGAGAAGGATAATGCAGTGAATAAAATTATAAACGGCATTAACTTCATAGCGAGATTGTAAAACTAACGAAATTTAAGAAATATACTCTAACGTTCAACTTTTTCATGCAAATAGAATTATTCCTTTCATTTTCAATTCTTTTACATTCCCATTCTAACTAACACTCGCTCACTGGCAGGCTTAATTTTTCAACCCCACATACTACTAGAGAAATGGATTGTAAGAATAAAATTTTTTTACGAAAAAATTACATTAAAATTCTTCGATTTTTTCATTAGGCGCGTTTCCATATTTTCTTAATATTTTATTTTTCAGTTCTAATTAATTTTGCTTAATTATTCGTTCTGTTTAAACATACAGCAACATGTCTTACATGCTTCCACATTTACATAATGGCTGGCAAGTTGACCAGGTTATCGGTTTTAAATTTATCAATTAAAGCTTTCACTAATCAAATATTAAAATATAGGCCATTTTGGCAGAGGAAGATCGCGTGGTTCTTATACGTTTTGGTCATGACTGGGATCCTTCGTGTATGCGTATGGACGAGGTTTATTTTTAAGACGCATTTTAATCGAATTCATATTTTCAGACGCTCTACAAAATTGCCAATAAAATCAAAAATTTTGCAGTTTGTTATCTCGTAGGCAAGTGACCAGGTTATCATTTCCTAATTTTTTTATCAATTAAAGATATCTCCGAGGTTCCTGACTTCAACAAAATGTATGAGCTTTATGACCCTGTTACTGTGATGTTTTTCTTCAGGTTTCTAAAAATCCTTTCAAAATCTAAAAATATTTTTTTGTTGTAGAAATAAGCACATCATGGTTGATTTGGGCACTGGAAATAACAATAAGGTGATCTATTTTAATAAAAAAACGAAGCCTCGAAAAAAAGAAACCTCTAAAAAGAACCTCGAAAAATTTCGGGGTTATCAGTTATTTTCGCCAAGTTATCAAAACGCTTAAAATTTAGATCAACTGGCCTATGCATGATGGTCAAGAACTCATTGATATTATCGAAACTGTTTACCGAGGTGCTCGAAAAGGAAGAGGTTTGGTGATTTCACCAAAGGACTATTCTACCAAGTATAAGTACTAAAGAGAAGATTGATTTATGAAGCAATTTTGGTGATTGTTCTGGTATTTCGATAAAATGTAACTTAAATTTTGATAACGATAAACTTTCTTTTGAATCTGTCTACACTTTTTTCAAAAATAAATTTTATTTTCATCTTACTTACAATTAAAAATCTAAAAATTTTACAAAATTCCTAATCACAACTTGCAAGTTTAAACAATTCATAAAATTTGTAAAATTGATTCTTGTTTGGTGAAATGTTGGCTCTCATCTTCATTAGTTCAAACCTGCTTATTTGAAAGGCAATTATTGATTTCAGCAAGTGCCAAAGTGAAAATTCTGGCCATAAAACGTTCTCCTCAAAGTGTAGATATGTAAATTCGCGTAACTAGAAAATAATTATAAATAAATTTGCCACTGTCCCTATGCTGGATTTTTCCCTATGCGGGCATTATAATCAAATTTCAAACAATATTCCGTATTTACGGCACTTACCCTCGTAAGCATGAAGTCGCTTAATCGTCTCTCACTTGTCCTGACTACCTGAGATTTTTTGTATAATTTTTTAGTACATAAATATAAACCATATCAAGTGGAAGACATTTATATGTGTCCATACATTCATCAACAATACAACCATACTCACTAGTTTTATCGTGCTGATCACACTGTATTTTTTGTTTTGCTCCTTCCACTGCCCGAAAAAGCTCATTACTTGAAGTATATGCCAAACATATATTTATAAAAGTGCTGTAACATTTTTATTGTAGAAAAATGTTTATTTTAAAATAAAAACCTTCCTTTGTTCCTTGTAATTGACTCAATTTGTGTGATCAGTGAGCGTATTTTCTCAGGCATCAACTGAAGATCTCCAAAGAAACGGATGCAAACTTTATGGCTGGCAGATTCCTCGCTATTTTTTATGAATTTGAGACTACCTTTTAAAATAACATGAAAACCTTTTTTGAAGCAAATCCAAAAGTCTAGTGAATTTGATTTCTGCCAGCTCCATAAGTCCTTTAACCTCTGATTCTGATCGTTTAAAGTTTTCTATACTAAATGCATAGAGAGTGACTTCTTGTATGCCCACATAATCACACCAATCCAGCACCTAATTTAACAAAGGCTTAATTGAAAACTTCAAAACCCCAAAAAACCTTTGTAAGCTGCTTAAATCCAAGCTCATGGCCCTCCAATACGTCAGAACAATTATGCGCGCGAGCATATCTTCGATTACCATCCATAATAAATGCAACATGACGAGGGATAGGGCCCAACTTTAAAAATTTTAAATCAGAGGTTGCGCAAAGGAAAAACTAGAGAAACCTTTATAATCCAAATTGCCAACCGGAACCACCATGCAAGCTTCTGACGTTGAAACCAACCGCATTCACCGACGGCAAATGGTTCATCATTAAATGTATCATTGTTTATTTCCATCGGCAAAGCTTCAATTAATAACTGCAGAAAATAAAAATCGAATAAAAAATCATAAACAGGAGATTAAAACATAAAAATAATTCAATATTATAATACACTACATGGTCTAAACTCGTAAATTTTTTGCAAAAGTTAATCGCGTAAACCGCAAATACGGCCAGCCCAACGTACCACCGAGCTATAACATTGGGCTCGCGGTACGTTGGCCTGCTCCCGAATTATACGTTTTAAACCACCGATAAAAATTAGAACAATTCAAACTTTGTCAAAAAATTTAAACTTATTTAAAAGTTCATTGTAAAATATTATGATACACAAATTGTTTAAAATAATTTTTTAGTATTCAACAAATACATATGTGTGGTGTCTTTGTAATTTTATATTTTAATAATGGTCGAAAATGCTCCACAAAATTTCTATTGGACAATTAATGAACAAAAATTTTAGAATTACAAAGGGAATTGCTGAAAAAATACTATTTTAATGTTACTACAGTTAAAATTGTCCAAAAAACTTTGAGGAATATAGAGATAATCAAAAAACATTAAAAATCACTGCCAATCGAATTAGTGAGGAACAGAAGCAAATGGCGCAAGTTTATACGCATCACTATTCTTTCTTCATTAAAAGCCAAATTAATTGCCTCCAGTCTCGCCGGTCTCACCAGCACCCTCTTGCTCGTCGGCAGCAGTGTCGCTAGTCTAAAAAAAGAAAACTTTGCAAAATATTTTAATCAAATGACAACGACATTTACGGAACGATACTTGTGAAACCTCACTAACTGATGTCAATAAAATGTCTGGGTCACAGTACAAAAACTCAACAGGTTATCTATTTTACGTAAATGCCGGTCAGAAGAAATTGCCGATATAAACTAAAAACTAACCCATAATGTGAGGTTGTCGCGTAAAAGTTGCATAATAAGAGTCGAATCTTTATACGAGTCTTCGTTTAAGGTATCCAACTCAGCAATTGCATCGTCAAAAGCCTTTAAAATTTTTTATAGTTTTGATTTATATGGGACTTAAATGTTATATGGACCTAATGAGCCAACTGACTCATAATCAACTTGTTTAAGAGCGGAAAAGCTAGTCCCAAGTTTTTAACTCTAGTTTAAAGAGAAGAAATGACTCAAACGTAAATTATAATTAAACCTGTTTGGCAAGCTGGCAAGCCTTATCAGGCGAGTTCAAGATCTCATAGTAGAAAACAGAAAAGTTGAGTGCCAAACCGAGACGAATTGGATGAGTTGGTTGCATCTTATCCTTGGCAATATCTATAACGATATTTTTTCTTTAGTTTTACAATCTACAACAAACCAAAAGCTTCCTGATAACTTTGTTGCGATTTCTCGACAACACCTTAATAAAGACAATATTGAAAATTAAGATTAAATTAAGCTAACTGTTCCGGTCATCACCAGTAGCGACCTAAAAAATTTCGATTTTAGATTCAAACTTGGAAAAATAAGCTTACAACCTCAGCAAGATAACGATAATAGTCACCCTTCATCTTAAGATAGAACACCTTGGATTCGGGATTTCCAGCCTTTGGGATAAGATATTTGTCTAAGAGATCCTGAAAAAAATAAAAATAGTTGACGACCAATTCTTTTAAAGAACTACCAAAACATCGTGGCAAATATCGCGCAATTCGCGCTCAACTTTCTCGCGGTATTCCTTAGCCATTTGTTGCTTCTTTTCAGAACCTTCAGTCTTTTGCTCAATCGATGAAATAACACGCCACGAAGAGCGGCGAGCCCCAACAACGTTTTTGTAAGCAACCTTAAAAATAACAAAGATTAAAGAAAGCCAGGAAAAAATCAAGTACAGATAACAAATTGCGTTCTTCATTGGACAACTCGGCACCAAGTTCGGTAACCTTTTTCATGGATTGAGCCATGTCATCATAACGTTCGGCTTGTTCAGCCAATTTGGCGCGTTGAACGAGTTCTTCCTTATTCTCTGCCATTTTTTAGGTCGAAGTAATAAAGTTTAAAAGTTATGAATATGATCTATAAATAAATAGAGATTGTAACATTTTTCGAGAAGATTACAGGATTATCCGACTCTAATAACCCAAGGAAAAATATCTGAAGCTAAGTTCAGTGTGAGACCACCCAAGACTAAAAATAGAAAATAGTCACGTAAAATGAATGTCTTCACCGGACAGAATCTCAAAACAAGAAAGGATATTTCCTAAAATAATATTTAGGTTGGGAGAACTTTTTAAACGTCAGGAATACTAATAGTGTTTATAATCAAAAGGAACCTGGAGTCGGATGAACCTAAGGAGTGAAAGAAGAATAATTGTGAGGGAATGGGAGGAGCAAGGACCACTTCTGCCACACCGCTTTTGTTGAGGGACCACGCGCGCCACTATAGAGACTTAGCCAATATGTTTTCTTCTTTACTAGTAGGGGCCGTTACTCATTAAATAACTATGTGAAGAGAGAAACAAAGAATAAGGCGTTTATAAAGCAGTGTATGAATTCCAGGGACTATCACAAAGCGTCAACAACAACTTAAATAAATAAGGGGCCGTCTCTAAGAGGACAGCAATGGATGGAAGCCTTAGTTGTTTATGACTAAAAGCGTGCGTATGAATTCCAGGGACTGTTTTAAAAATATCAGCAAATGCGAGCATGCAACAAAAATAGAATAGGGGCTATCTCTCATTGAACAACACGACTAACATTGAGGAATTTGAGCAGTCAAGCAGCTTTTTATGTATGAATTCTGAGGGAAAAAAAGGAAATGCTTTTGTGAGTATCCCTCAAAATGTGCATATGCCGGAATTTCTGCCTTGATAATACATACTAATGTCGAAATAAAACAAGTAAGCATCACAGTTCCATAAAAGTTTATTGGATATTTTTCAATGAACTTTTATGCCACATGCTACCAAGATTCTAAAATTTAAATATAAAATCAGAGTACTTACTACATGTGTGTAGAGGTATTTAACAGAAAATTGATGAGCGTGAGTCATCGTTCGAAGATACTAAATCCACACATCTTTCCAGTCGAAGTAGAAAAAAACGAAGGATATACATAATTTGCGCTTAGTTTAAAAACGATACTACGAGTCAAAAACATACTAATGAAAAAAGTCATAATTTATCGATATCAAAAAATAAAAGCTTGTGAACGCCAAATATATAATTGAAAGAAATTCATTGAATTTATATACGGATTATCCTGCTTTTAATATCTCATGAGATTATACAGTAAGGATATAATCAGCAGATACAAAATACTTGAGGTAGCGTTTAGTTTAAAAACAGGATAACAATGAATCATCGTCATTTAATGTGTTGAGCACGTAACTTTGCGGAAACTATTACGCTAAGGGAAATAAAACAAAATTTCACTACTTGAGATATCCAACAAAATTCTCAACTTTTCAAAGTTACGCGCCCTCGATTGCTTTAAAATTTACACGTTCGTTGTGTTAAATGTCATCTTTAAAAAATTTAAACAGTCTCCTTTCCATTCATTTCTTTGTTCTTCTAGACAGAATTATATCCTTGACGTTTGGCACGAACACGTCCGATCAGATAAGCCACCAACACAATAATGACCAACCCACCAAGACAAGCACCAACAATTATCTAGGGGAAAATAATTAGATCTTATTTAAAATATAAAAATCTTACAGGCACAAGATCAGAAGTACGAGCATCCGCGGCACAATACTGATACGCTAAATTTAATAAGGGTTTCTTAGGCTTATAACAATGGTAATCTTACATTGCGTATTGTTGAAGGATGGCGAAGTCTGGTTCGCGAACGCGACAATCTGAGATTAAATAATGACTAAATGAAAATAAAAAAGCTAACCTTTAATTGGTTGAAATGAAGAACCGAATCCGTTGAATTCAAAGGGAGGTCATTTTGTGAACAAAGAAAACTAAAAGTAAGACATTTGACTCAAAAAAGAATTAGCTGAAACGTTAATTCTTACCCAGTCGGTCCATAAGAAGAATTGACAGATGCAGTCCAGTCTACTCGCGATTTTTTGGGTTGACCATAATAATGCGGAATTGTAACGTCTAAAATTAAAGACTATCAGCGATACCATTCGATAGAGGACCCCCGACTCCCTATTGTGAGTGGATATGTTTCCTTGCAATATGACTTTGGACAAAGTGATGACTTTATTGTGACTCGTTAAAGCTGAACCGGGTAATAGTCTCGTTTCCCAGCCCCATTTTTTCCTCCCAATTTTCTACCCTATGTTTGTACGGAATGGTCAAATTTTCCCCTTTCTTTCATCAAATTTGCCTTTCCATATTTTGCCTAAAAACAATCAAAAAGATTAATTTTTAATTCATTTCTTTCACAAGGATAAAAAAGTGAGACATGATGCCAAAAATTATAAAAAACATTTTCAATATTGCCAAATCGTTTTCGCCACAGAAATTCCGGGAGATAACTTTTATAGGTTCAGTGTTGTTGCTAGCTTGATGTCAAACGTAATTTTTCATATAAATCAATAGGTTTGAAATTCTTTAGTTCTTCCATTTTTATTAATTGGGAAAATGATTCTTCTCATTACTCTAATACTTATTTAAATATCACAAATTAATCTTTTTGATTGTTTTTAGGCAAAATATAGAAAGGCAAATTTGATGAAAGAAAGGGGAAAATTTGACCATTCCGTACAAACATAGGGTAGAAAATTGGGAGGAAAAAATGGGGCTGGGAAACGAGACTATTACCCTGAACCGCTAGTCTGGAGTCATAAGGTAATGAACCTATCAAATCCCCTATCTAATAGTACCAGGAATAATATAAAATTCGCGGTCCCTTTTTAGAGATAATATAAAAGATATTATCAAACTTTGTTCTGTAGAGTTCATGTTGCTGTAGAAAAAGACAGTCAGAAGGTACTCCTTGAGCATATAGCTGTGACCGTCATCAGATTTGTTAAATTCCAACGAAATACGCCTTAAAACAAAAATAATAAATTAAAAAAATATTTTCAAAACCATGGATAATTTGCCTCGGTCTCAGGAACAGTTGGTGTCATTATAGGAACAAAGTTGAAGGTCAAACGTTGAAGTTTTTCTCCACAAGTGCTAGCGTCCTTGTCCAAAGTTGTCTCTCCGGCATTCTCAGGAACAGCGAACTGACGTGTAAGAGTGGAGTTGTGCTTAAATATTTAGCGTTAAATAATTTCATTTCATTAAAAAACTTCGTCTTTGTATTGAAGAGTTCCAGTGATTCCAGCTTCAAATATCAGGCAAAAAGTTTTCTTGCTTGGTTTATTTGGAACTGACAAGTGAATACCGAAAGAACGTTCAGCAACCATAAAAAGTATTGCGGTGTAAAAAATTAAAAGTTTCATTTTTTAATTGCAAATATATTAAAATCTGAAAAAAACAGTAGAGACATAATGAAAAATTCTTGATTTAATTTGAAGACCTAGACCATATTCTTGCTTGAGTTAATAAAAACCGAGGAATCTTAAAACAAAGCAAATGGAGAATAAAGCCTAAATACTTATCCACGCTATGAATCAAAATTCAAAATTTTCCTTGGTAGCGTAAAACAATAATTAATATGTACAAATATTTATATGTTTGTTGACACCAAAATATAATCAGTGGGATTATTTACCTTTTCTAATGAAAAACGTTATCAAATTGTTGATTTATTTTTTTGTCAGACTCAAAATTAGAAGGAGACGATAGATAAGGTTAGCCAGGATACAAACAAAATTTTTGGGTAAGGGACGTTTCAAATTCGTTATTTAAGTCAATTATTTTTGGCCTCAACTTTTTTTTTGATTCTTGACCAATTTAGATAATTATTATATTAATCGAAAGCTCTGGATGTGCCGATTATTTTTCTAGCAAAGAAAAGCCGCTTATTTTTCTTTCAAAAAATAAGCTACTTCGGAAAAATCTGCCATGGTTGCGCACCAAACCGTCTTGTATTCCACATAAAATTCGAGTTTTCGTCCAAGTATAATTCGCCATGGTTACCTTTTGTTAACACTTTTTTTCATTTGCTTTTACTTTAATTTTTATTGTTAGTATATAATGGAAATGATAAGCGCCGGTGATGCCTTGATTGTGCTAGGATCTCAGACAGTATTTTTCATACTTGGTTGGCTATTTTTTATGAAGCAACTTTTTCGTGATTATGAGGTTAATTACTTGTGAGAATTTTTAACGTGAATCTTCGGGTATTTTTATAAAAGAAAATTTAAATTTATTCACAATTTTAAAAATTGATAAATTTTAAAATTCAGGTAGATCAGAAGGCAGTACAAATATTTTTTTCTGTAACATTTGCTATCTCGTGTACACTTTTTGAGCTTGTTATCTTCGAAATTCTAAATGTTTTGAGTAATAGGTTTGAACTATTAAAAAATAAAAATTTTTTTTGAATAATATTAATCTGGTTATCTCCCTCCAATAGATTAATAAATTTTCAAAATTTTTAGTTCGCGTCTTTTCACTTGGCGGACCTGTTTATATACGATATTGGTTCTTCTCATTTGTTTAATGCCTCTTTATTTTTATTACTCGCTCATTAGAATGCAAAGATTCGGTTTTTATTTGATTTTGGTGAATACTTCGAATGTGGCAATTTTTGAATATTTTTTTAATTTTCGATTTAAAAGGCCATATTCGAATGATTTAAATTTTATATAAATTTTAAAATTTAGTTCCACTTAGTTGGGTGATGCCGCTTACACTTATTTGTTGGCTAATAACTATCTATGCATTTTGGCGACTTGGTGATAATTTTCCAATACTTAGCGCTAAGCACGGCATTTTTTCAATGCAACAAGCTGTATCTAGAGTTGGTGTCGTTGGAGTAACAGGTTCGATATTTATAGTTAGTGGTTAAAAATTTATTGTCTTAGTAATGGCTAACCTTTCCGGCTTTGGTGCTGTCAATGGTTTGTGATTTTCTTTTTTATATAAATCCCAAAATAAATTATTTCACAGCACCTTATACTTGCATGAGCATCTTTATGGTTATAATTCTTATTTCATTCAATAAAATTTGGTGAAATAACATTTTAAGCGCCCGGTAACGGAGGATGACATCGCACAGCTCGAACGAAAATTGCGTCAGAATTTTGATATGATAGTTGCTAAAAAGCGTAAATTAGCATTGAAGGAGCTTGAACTCAGCAGAAGTAATTTAATTTCAAAACTATTTTATGGTTTTTAGCAAATGTTGAATCGGTTAGTCTATTCAAACGCGTAGTTGGAACATTCAAAGCCGCACCGACTGGAACATTGCGTGATCAAATAAGGTTTTATTTGTAATAATATTAGCAAAATATCTCATATAGATTGTTAAATAGTGAAATTTTGCCGTTAGAAGAATTTGGAAAGCATCTATTTTTGGAGCTAGTTGAAGCACATAATGCAAAGGTTTTTGGTTTACTCTTGCGTGCTTTTATTTTTAATATTACAGAATCGCGTAGAATACAGCAAAACTTGGCAGGGGATATATTTCAACATCGTGGGACATTTTTTCTCTATCTATTGTATATGGAAAATTATCATATGCACGGTAAATTTTTGTGAAATAACATGCGGTCGGCCTGACGTGAATCCGGGTCCCGGATCAACGTTGACTGGAATTTGGGTTTTGTGCCTTTTTCCTATTGTTTCAAATAGCTACAGATGTTTTTAGACTAATACCCATCTTTTATAGATTAATATTGTTTTTGATCGTGTTGGCAAGGTGGATCCAATTACAAAAGGAATGGCTATTGTCGTGCACCACATGGGCTATCAAATAGATGTTATTTTTAAATGTATTTACAATATTATTTTTAATAATTTAGGTCAGGTTCTGGTCTCAACAAATTTCTTTTCTCGTCATTGGTATAATTGCTGTTACATCGATTCGTGGATTATTGATAACCATTGCGAAGTTCTTCAATGCTATTTCAAATAGACAATCCTCTAATCTTGTAGTGCTTGGATTGGCTCAGTTGATGGTAAACTTATATTAGTTTTAAGAGGGGTAATCATGCTACAAATTAAGCCCAGTAGGTCGGAAAATCAATGGGGTTAACATAAAGCATATCTACATATTTGGCTTCTCCAATTTTTAAAAATCTTATTAAAATTTATAGGGAATGTATTTTGTATCAAGCGTACTATTAATCCGCATGAATATGCCCTCTAAATACAGGTAATATTGTGAAAATCGAAATAAGCTCTATCATTAACAGGGTAATAATAACTCAAGTGCTAGGCGAACTTCAATTCAATTTTTATCATCGTTGGTTCGATGTTATCTTTTTGTTATCTGCCTTATGCAGCATACTATTCCTCTATTTAGCACATAAAAGAACACCAATTAGATGATATAGAAAATGTCTAGAGCTAATATTCATGTATATTTCTATATTTATTCCGTACATTCCGACTGTTGTATTTTCGAAAAATTCCTAATTGTTTAAATTCTTGATAAAAATTATAAATGAAACGATTTATCAAGTCCATATATCTTGAAATTATTATGGACTAAAAATTTTAACTAAAAAATAAACAATAAATAAGAAAAATTTACGAATCCATAACTAATTCAATATCTTCTGGATCACGGATGCAGTTTGCCGTAAGAATTTCCGCACCTGTTTCCGTCAAAAGGACATCATCTTCTATCCGGAATCCAATTCCTTAAAAAGAGCTATTTTGAGTTATTTAATTCAAGTACCTCTGAACTCATTCCGAACGGCTGTATTCTCCGGCCTGATATAAATGCCAGGTTCAACGGTAATAATCACACCTGGAGGGCATTCAATATTTTTGGCGATTGAAGGGGTGTCGTGCACGTCCATGCCAAGGTAATGGGATACGTGATGAGGACACTCGAAAAATTAAACAATTTGAAATAAATTTGATGAAAAAATTACGAGTCTGTCGCATTCCTAAATAAGTTAAATAAAATTGAAACAAAACGGAAAACTAACTTTGATCAATTCCTTCTGTGACAAATCTTTTCGAAAGAAAACAATTGAAGATAAAGAATCTGCCATGCGCTCGACCATGTGTTTGTAAAGCTAAAATTATAATTGACATTTAAAGTTTAACTAATAAAAATTTAACTACTCTAAAAAATACTCTTGATTTTTGTCTTAAAAAATAGAAAACGCATAACTAAATTTCTAAGGTTCCGAGGTATGTTTTAAGGAATAGGTCTTGGAAATGGATAATTAAATACTAGGATACTCAAACACTAAATTCTATAAGTATTAAACAGAAACCTCATTTAAACGAAGCGGCCTCACAGTTTGAACATAATGCAGAAGTTGAGATTGTATATCATTGAGAACATCATAAAGTGTTCTTTGCACAGCAGAGAATCTTCCTGATGTTGGAAAGCATCTTGTAATGTCAGAAACATATCCATGGAGATCACAACCAGCATCTACTAGTACACAATCGGTTTTTCGAATAGGCTAAAAAAGGTTGATTGGAAAACTTATTTTTAGAAAAGGGTTATGAGTTATCCCAAACTTGTGGAATAAAACTTGTAAGTTATCACAACCAGTTTTTGCGAATATACTATTTCTGCGACTCATTTATGTGCATAGAACCTCCATGAATAATCCACAAGCAAATAAATTAACCATTCTATACATTCCACAGAAATGTTCCGCAAAAACTGGGTTGGGATAACTCACAAGTATCCGATATTCTTTTCCTTTCAAAAAAACGGACTAAATGTGCGAGCACAAGAAACACGGACCAAAGAAAATATAAAAATACTTTATTAGAAGAGATGTAATGGATTGTGTTTGCATTGTTCCCAGCAGCTACAACAGGGGGATATGCTAATCTATCTGCACCTCTACGTCGACATTGGTGGTCCAAAAAGCCAACAATCTTATTGAAAAATTATAATAATAAAGGTAAAAATTGCAAACATTGGATTCATTCCTCTCTTCACAGCATTCCCTAAGAAAATTTCTTATAATTTTATATAATACTAGTATTGAATTAACCTTAAAAGTGCATTTATCGACTCAGACCCAATCCTGCAAGTCTCACGCATCAAATCCTGCTCATGTTTAGATTTCCTCCAACGAAGTTGATCAATTTTATCATTCAGCGGTTGATGAGTTAAACCACCATTATATAACATTTGATGGATTGATCTTAAGTCAGGTTCATAAACAACTGCGTCCATTAAAGCATCAACGTCAACAGAAAGTGCCGCTCCATTTTTTAATACACTTGACATATATTTATGAAATTCGCTAATCGGAAGAACCTTGATTATAAAATTAAAAATGTATAAATGATGCTTTGGTGTTTAGCTAAAGAATTGAAAAATTAATCCAAAAATCTGTAAGCAAATCTCAGAATAAACTAAAAATTTGCCCTTAAAAATGTACAAAACTGAAACTTACTTGATCTACACCAGAAATAGCACGAACTTCGTCAAAATTCTGAGAAGCACCATCCCAAAGCACTTGGTGTTTAGTTTGAGGCTCCATGAAAATTACTTTAAATTAATTAAAATAAATGTAAAAATACCACTTTCTGAATGACCAATCAAAATACGAACACGAGGTTCGTCTATGCCGCAAAGATATCGAAAATGTGAGCACTGCCTGTATGAATGAGGCACGTCAGGAGCGCTAAAAGTTTTTGGCCGAGAGATCAACAGAGCAAAGACTGCAGGTTTGTCGACGGAATTCTCATCTAAATTTTTCAAAAACATAGACAATTATGAAATAGAACAAACATTTTTTGCCAAGAATTTCAATTAATTGCTGGCGGCGCTCCACATATTCAACAATTGGAAATGAATGTCGGGAATAAGTAGAACAATAGCGTGAGAAAAAATTATAGGCTTGTCTTACAAGCATTTGCAGCAGAAATCTGATAAAATTATGATTAAATGTAAAATTCTATGAAAAAAATTCTTATGGCAAAGTAGACTTTTGACAAAAGTCTTACAGAGTGAGCAGGCCACTCACAATTAGAGAGGGACACGCCCAAAACGGCGCGAGTCATAACGTAGTGACGAAATGGCGAGATCGAAGCGACACAAACCGAAACGGCGCAAAGCTAAAACGGCGTGTGAAAAGTTTTTTTCGACAGTTTGCGCCGGGACACGCCCGAGTAGGCGCGGCCAAGTAGGCGCGACGGATAGGCGCACTTTTTCCAAAACTGCCCTTTCATAGGGAAAAAAATTTATTAAGTGAAGCTCGATGATGTTTTTATTTTTTGAACTCTAAAAGATTTGCGCCTACTTGGCCCGCGCCTTCTTGGGCTGTCCCTTCGCCGTTTAGTCGTGCGCCGTTTCGGTCGCGACGTTTGCCCTGTGCCACTTTAGGCTGTACTACTTTCTCAGAATGTTTGCGCGTTGCTTGGGTTACGTTGATCGAAATAATATCCCAAGAGAATTTTGTCCATACTTTTCTGTCACCGTGCTGACCTATTATACTTTTTTTAATTTAAGGTTTTAACTTTAGTTTTCAAAGGAATTTGCCTACATCAACTACTATTACGAGGTGATGGGTTCAACTAATGACAATGATGGGAATGCAGATATGGGTTTAATTTTATATTTAAAAATTTATTTAGAGATACTTAGATATTTGCCGAGTCTGCCGCTTGACGGGAAATGATGCTCTTTACCATCCTTGTCTCTGCACTGGTAGCATCAAATACATTCATCAGGATTGTTTGTTACAATGGCTAAAGTACAGCAAAAAGGATGTTTGTGAACTTTGCAATCATAAATTTTCCTTTCGTCCCCTCTACCGAGCTGACATGCCTGAACGTTTACCATTGAGGGATTTACTGCGAGGTTTATTTTAAATATTTTTCGATTCAAAATTTTTTTTTGTATTTTAGGAATATTTCTGATTGTTGCTCGATTCTTGCGACTCGGATTTACTTACACTCTGGTCTTTACTTGTTGGCTAGGTTATTTATCTTCAATTATTGATCTTTATTTATAATTTAGGCCTAGTTCCCTTAATGGCGGCTCGGACTCATCGACTGGTTAATTTTTTTTATTAAAAATAACGATTTTAGACTCCACTATGAAATTCGGAAAATTTAATTTTTTAAGGTATTCTCCGGATTTATTTCATCAATATTTTCTTCTCGGTTTCTTCTTTTATTTTCTGCTGAAAATATTGCTATGGATATTATACGTGGTTCTCTTGTTGTTACTTTGTTTCTATGTACATTTATTTCATTAGTTTGGCTTCGTGAACAAATAATGGTTAGTTTTTTTGTCTTCTATTAATGCATTTAACAATTGATGGCTCATCTATATCTTTATTTTTCGTAGGTTGGTGGTCCTCCAGATGTCCTATATCTACCCGATGATCAGCAAGTATCAGATCCAATAACGCCTCGTCCACAACAAGATCAACAGTATTTACCAGTCAGTGATGAAGGTTTCGATAAATTTATCTTGTCTTAAATTTTTTTAATTCAGAAAATAATCCAAGTACTTCTGCTTCACTTAATAATACAGAGAGTGATAATGCCAATAAACTAAGCGACGAAGGAACCTCAAAAACCAACAACATTCCAAATAAATCACTTCCATTACAACATTTTCAGCCAGTTCAACACGCGTTAATCCACGAGGAATCTAATTCGCAGAATCAACATCTCCCTACAGAAGCTGAAAATTTTGAAGAACAAAATATACAACAACAACAAGATAATGGTGATCAGGATGCAGCCATTCCTCCTGTTGCAGCCGAAGTGGTTGAACAGCAACGATTTGCTGATGAATTGACCTGGCAACGACTTCTTGGTCTTGATGGTTCATTTGCGTTTATTGAACATGTTTTTTGGACTATATCGTTGAATGCAGTTTTCAATATAGTTTTTCGTTAGTTTAGATTAGACTTTTAAATCTAAATTTCAATTTTAAGTATATTTTCCTTCACAAATTGGCGCCAGTATGCTTTCTCTTGTTGGGCTTGGCTATGGCAAAAAATTGATATACTTTGAAGTTCCAATTTCGATTGTAAGTCTGGCATTTTATAATGAAATTAACTTGTTCAGCTCATTGGATTACTGGTTATTCTTCTACATGGGATTGTCATACATCAACTTGCCAAAATTTTCCGCTTAAAAAGGTTTTTTAAATTGACAATAAAAACCATATGCATTTTTTTAAATTTAACTTTTTAGTATATACACAATATCTGGGATGATTTGTCTTATGCTCAAAGTTTTTCTTTTGGTTATTACTGAATTAATAATTTTCCCAATACTCTGCGGTTGGTGGCTTGACATCTGTTCTGTTTGTGACTTTTATTACAATTCGATAAAGTTATAAGATTACAGCTTCCTCTGACTGGTGTAACTCTGGATGATCGTATTCGAAGCTTCCGACACTACCCTACTAGTTCATTCTTTCTTCATTGGCTTGCCGGAATGGTTTTTCTTACAATTTATTGTTAATTTTGTTTAAACCTTAGGTTTACGTGTTTTATTCGGCGTCTTTTATGTTAATTCTTCGTGAACTTCTTCGACCTGGTGTTCTTTGGTTCATTCGCAATTTGCACGATCCCGATTTTAACCCAATTCAAGTGAGAGCTTAAAATATAGAAACTGGAAACTATTCTTTGATATATTATTATATAGGAGATGATCGAGCAACCAATAACGCATCATCTTCGCCGTTTAGTGGCGTCAATGACGCTTTTCTTTTCAATAATCCTTATTGTTGTTTATCTACCATTGCGTCTAATAAATTGGGGTCATCCATCGACTCTCCCATATGTATTTTCTGGGTAATTATTTTACTAAAATAATTATATTTCTTGCTGTGTTCAAACAAATCATTTCAGATCAGCAGACACTCCACTGGTAGAATATTCGTTTGAGCTCGTCCTTCTGCAGGTTTTTTCCTTTCATTTACTTAATCTTGAACATTTTATACTCATTTAAGGTAATTATGCCAACCATTCTTGAGTATTCGAAGGCCTTCTCGCTACTTAAACGAGCTGTCCGGTTTTGGTGTAGAATTATTGGTGGATGGCTTCAGCTAGATTCATATTTGTTACCAAGCGAAAAGGACAAAAACAATGTTGATCAACGAGAGCAGCAAAGACAAAGAGCTCGCCAACGTCTTATGCGTGGTGACCAGAATGAACAGCTTGGACTTTTGGAAGTTCTCGAGGCTATTGAAGATGACACAACAGATGACGAACCTGCTGACGAAAATGAAAATGATCACGTTGAAAATGACACTACTAATGCACAAACGAACGATAAAGGTTTTTAGTTATAATATAAATTGAATAAAACAAGTTTAATTTTATTAAGAAGCTTCTGAGAACTCTAGTCAAGTGGCTGATTCTTCTAAACCCGGTGAATCGAGCAGCGCAACACCTTTTAATACTGATATAGAAATCAATGCAGAACACGCAGAACCACAACAACACAATCCCAATAATGTAATGTTGAATGATGATATGCCAGTGCAACAACAGAACGAACAAGTAGAGCATCGCCAAGCTCGACAACGTGTTCAAGAGCAGCGTGAACAACGAAATTTGGGTGCACAGCATCATGCACTTTTGCATTTTCGTGATACCGCTTTAACTGTAGAATATGTTCGTCCTAATCTTTTTCCACTAAGGATTGTGTTATTATTAATTTGTTTTGCCGTAACAGCAATATTATTGGCGCTTGCAGCCTTTCTTATACCAGGTTTTTACTATTTTAATAAATAAGGGGAATTCTTGAGCTTATGTCATTTTCTATAATATCGAGCTGTTTTTTTGGCTATAGAAAACGGGCACAAAATTATTTTGTATCCCCTATCTTTTTAATGCTTTTTTACTGCGAATGTGGCATATATACAATATTTTAGTTACAATCGGGCGGACATTATTTAAGAAGTTCGCATTAACAAGCCAGTCTTCTCAAATCCGTAAGTGATATTTATAGTAATTTTCGTTAGTTTCAATTGATGCCAGTCAGTTTTTTATATGTATATAAAATGAAATTTAATACGAAACCCTAACACAAAATTGTGTCACTAATATTAAAAATTACAGATGATCTTTATAGTATTGCGACTGGAGTATACATATGTTGGATTTTAACGCGGCTTGTTTCTATGACCAAAGAATGGTTGCACAAAGGATGGAGCTATATGAAAAAGGTCTGTATTTTAAATTTTTGTTTCTGCTGAATCCAACAATTGTTTGCTTTGGCATAATTATTTTTTCAGGTGTTCAACACTGCTGTTTGGTTAGGTTTTCGAGTTATTGCTGCAGCTGTTCCTTTGCTTGTTGTTATTCCTTTCATGCTTGGATTCTATTTTCAAATGCTAGTTATCAGTCCACTTAGGGTGGTACGTATAAAATATAATTTTTTAGGATGTAATGTTTTAGTATCTTTATATTTTTCACCTCTTTATCCTTTCAGTACAAAATAAAGCTAAATAAAAAATTTTTTAGGCTATTTTTCAATCACCGTTATTTTTCCCATGGAAGGAATGGGCGATGGGTGTTGTCCATTTTAAAATAATTTGTGCATCTGTATTAATGGGACCAGACTGGTGGTTAAAAACTGCTTTCGAACAGGTTTTGTTTTTAATAGAAACTCATAATTCGCAATACAGATTTATGCTGATGGAATTTGGAACTTTCAACTAAAGGATTTATATATTAATATGGTTATACCAATCGGGAATGCACTTTCGTTTTTAATCGCATTCCCTTATGTGGCCAGCAAATTTATAATGCTTTTTGTTGGTGAGTAAAAATTGAATTGCGTTTAATTTTAAATATCCAATTTTAACAGAGGCAGATCGTGAAAATCAAGTGATTATAATACGCTATTCATATCCATTTTTTCTTGGTTCTATTTGTATAGTAGCTTTTCTTATCTGGCAATGGAAAAAATTGAAGATGTTGGCACAGAAAATTAGAAACGATAAGGTTAGTTTATTTTAAGAAATTTAATAAATACAAACATATGTATGAGAACTTGGTAATTAATTGTATTTAAATGATCAAAAAATTAAGTATCTGATTGGAACTCAACTAGTGAATTTTTATCGAGATAATACAGCGATAAAAACAACAAACCTTCAGGCTTCTAATATAATTGACGAAACAAAGAAAGATGAAATGATAAATCGGATTTAGTTTTAAATGTTATACGTAACAGCCAAATTTCCAGAATGAACTTATAACTTTTTTGTCTTTTTTTATAATTTTTGGATAAATATATCGTTTATGTATATATTTGTTGTGTGTATCTGATTTTAAATTCAGTTTATTTATTATATTTTTTCTCAATAATATTATCTTTATCTTTTTAGATTGCCAACGTGTTTGAACTGGCATTAACTGCTGGTGTATTATGTATTACTGGCATTAACTGCTGGTGTAGTATGTATTACTGGCATTAATTGCTGGTGTAGTATGTATTACTGACATTAATTGCTGGTGTACATATATATTACTGGTATTAACTGCTGGTGTACATGTATTACTGGTATTAACTGCTGGTGTACATATGTATTACTGTCATTAATTCTGTTCGTATGTATTACTGGTATTAACTGCTGGTGTACATATGTATTACTGGCATTTATTGTTGGTGTACATATGTATTACTGGCATTAACTGCTGGTGTACATACTTCTTACAGCATTAATTGTTGGTGTACTTATGTATTACTGACATTAATTGTTGGTGTACATGTATTACTGGCATTAATTGCTGGTGTAGTATGTATTACTGGCATTAATTGCTGGTGTACATATATATTACTGGCATTAATTGCTGGTGTACATATATATTACTGACATTAATTGCTGGTGTACATATATATTACTGACATTAATTGCTAGTTTAAACAGGCAAAATAACTTTTAATGGCAATGATGAGAATTTTAAATAATTTCTATGATTAAAAGCTTTCTCTGAGCCATTCTTAATTATTATTTTGAAATTAGAAATTTGGGCTACCTTAAACGGGTGGGGACGCCTCTAACCCTTTATTTTTACATCGTCACGAGAATGCTACTTGTTTAGACGAGAGTTCGGATGAAATGGAGGGGTTTGTTTAGTCTCAAAAATTTTTAGAAATATTTTTTATCGTTAGGAAAATGCGTATGGAATTGATCACGATGACATTGATGATGATGACGATGAAGTTATTCCTCCTGTTTTGAATTTTATTATAATGATTGCGATTCCTCTTTTTATTTTCCGCAATTTTTTTCGAAGTGGTGGCAGGTTTGGGACATACAAAATTAAATTATTTTTCAAAGTAAAGGCAAAAAGGGACGAGGAGGTATGCCTGGATCGATGGGAAATCTCTTCGGCTTCTCACAATCGACTGCCAGAGTTATTAACAAGGAAGATATAAAAACAACTTTTAAAGACGTGGCTGGTTGCGAAGAAGCAAAAATTAAAATTATGGAATTTGTAAATTTTTTGAAGAATCCTCAACAATATCGGGCGCTTGGTGCAAAAATTCTAAAGGTTAGATTTTTGATAACTTTTATCAGTTATTATGGAAAATTTTCAAATTTAGGGTGCACTTCTCACTGGTCCACAAGGAATTGGAAAAACTTTGCTTGCCAAGGCAACTGCCGGAGAGGCGAATGTACCTTTCTTCACTGTTTCTGGCTCAGAATTCCTTGAGATGTTTGTTGGTGTTGGCCCCGGACGTGTGAGAGATATGTTCGAAATGGCCCGAAAGAAATCGCCTTGCATTCTTTATATTGATGAGATTGATGCTATTGGGAAAAAACGAGGCGGTCGCTCTTCTATTGGAGGACATTTTGAACAGCAAAATACGCTCAACCAGTTACTTGTGGAAATGGATGGTATAATTTGCATTATTTTTTGAATTAAAAGTCGGAAATTTTAGGCTTCTCTACTGAGGAGGCCAATGTTGTAGTAATCGCAGCAACAAATCGATCAGATGTGTTAGATCCGGCACTTATGCGACCTGGACGCTTTGACAGACAAATTTTTATACCTGTCCCGGATATCAAGGGGCGAGCGTCTATTTTCCGTGTTCATTTAAAACCGATAAAGACTAGTCTGGATAAAGTGGAATTATCAAGAAAATTAGCTGCTCATACACCCGGATTCTCAGGTTTATTTTTTAAAAAAGCTTTACCAATTAATTTTGATTAGGAGCTGATGTAGCAAACGTTTGTAATGAGGCTGCATTAATCGCTGCTCGTGATGCTCATGATGAAGTGACTGCAAAGGATTTTGAAAAGGCTATTGAAAGAGTTGTTGCTGGGATGGAAAAGAAAAGTCAAGTACTGCAACCTGATGAAAAAAGACAGTCGCCTACCACGAAGGTATTTTTTTCTAGTTAAATATTTCCCACGTGTATTTTTCAAAAATAATTTTCATAGCCGGACATGCAGTTGCTGGATGGTTTTTGGAATTTGCTGATCCGTTTTAAAAGTCTCAATAATGCCGCACGGCAAAGGACTTGGATATGCTCAATATATGCCAAAAGATCAATATCTTTATTCTAAAGAGCAACTGCTAGACCGCATTTGTATGACATTGGGAGGGCGCGTATCCGAAAAAACTTTTTTGGAAGAATAACTACTGGTGCACAGGATGATTGTCAAAAAGTCACTCAAATCGCATATCCGCAGGTTCATTCTCCAAATAATTTTCGCTTTATTAAAGTAATTCCATTCTTTACGTAGTTAAATTTAGTTTTGTAGATTGTCAAATTCGGAATGAGCGAGAAGGTTGGCCCCATTTCCTTTGACACGCCTCAACCTGGAGAGGTTTAAAACTTTATTTTTAGACTTAAAAAACATCTCCAACCGCTTATTTGACTGCTGGGAGAAATGTGAATGTAAAGCGTTGGTCACTGGTAATAATGCAAAGAGGGAACAATCGCTTTCTGGTTTTTTTAAATTTTCTTTAGATTATTATCTAAATTTAATAGGAATGTTACAATGTCCAGCATTGATTGATGGTCTTAATTCTAAAGGAGAACACATTTTACTTTTTTTTTGGCTCGCACCGTTGTTCGTCAGGTTTTTAATAAATTTTTGTTTATTTAAAATGCTTAATTTATGAATAGCTAATTGAACAAGAAGGCTATACAAAACGGTGTAAGCGCCCTGGACTTACTACCACAACTACAGCATATGGCGTTCCCATTCCTGAACATGATCTTGAACCACCGAAATTTGCAAGAAAAGGTTTTTTGATGAAATTTAATATGTTCAAATTTTATTTTAATTTTTAGCACTCGATTTGGCAATAGGAAATTGGGATGTTGTAAAGAGTTTGCTTGATGTTGGTATTAAAAAGCCTAATACTGAAGATGATCAACCAATTTTAGAAAATGTTTTTCATTTGCTCGAACATAATGGTTCAACACATTTGGACAAATTTGTTTTAACTTTACTTGGCTGGTGTGAAGAATCGAGCCTTGACACTCTTCTTAATTTACTTGTACGCCAAGCCAACAAACAATAAAAGAAATGGGATGAAGAAGTCCATTTTTTAATTTAAAGATTTGTCCGTTCAGTTATTCGTCTTTTTGTTATGGTGATTTTGCTTTCACCAGAGGCTAATGGAACTTTACTCGGTTTGAAGAAATTTTCTTTTTTTTTATATTTTAACACACTTTCAGCAACAATTTTTGATGATATTAACAAAGCAATCCCAGCACCCGATGATCCCAGCGATTCTTTAAACAATTACCGAGCTGCTGCTATTTCTGGTGTATTTTCATTAGTTCGTGCTAGTCTACCTGCCGCTCTTTCTTTCAATTCATCACTCGAGAAAAAGGATCAAAAGAAGCATAAAGTTATTGCCTGTGTAGCAAAATGTCGACGAGTATTTCAGGTTATTTTACACTTTTTTTAACAGAAATTTTTAGGCATTAATTAGTTATTCGTTGCTGGAATTGATTGGAATTACGGATGCGTTAATTTCTCCGATTCGTCTTGGAATTGTTAAACCTTCAGCCAGCATTGTCTCAAATGAAGATGTTTTGGAAGTTTTACAGCAACACTTGTCCAACGAGCAAGATTTGTCTTCATTAATTCGTATCTCAATGCAAATGGTGATCGAAATGAAACGTCTGCTGGTGTAGTCAACAATGCAAGTATTATACAGTTGGCTGATTTACGACGAGGTGACACGTCAAGCGACAGACATGGCATTGGAGCGTGCTAGCGATGATGATATGTCAAGTATATTTATCTTTATCAGTAAATCTTTTAATTGTTTTCTCACACTAGATGAAGATGATGACGATAAAGAAGATTTGGATGCGCCAGCAACAATTTCTAGAACTCGTGAGAATAGCAATACTTCATTTAATGCTCGTGAAAGAACAATCTCTGAGCAAAGTCGACGTCGTCAAGAAAATGCTACTGGTTTAGATGAGAGTTTGGATGAACATGAAGGGGTTTGTTTAGTCGCGAAATTTTGTTAAAAATATTTTTTATCGTTAGGAAGATGGATCTGGAAATGATCACAATGTCATGACGATGGCGAAGTTGAGCCATATTTGGGCATCCACGACGATGACGACAATGATGCTGGCGAAAGTGATGTGCACAGTATATGGTGGAACTGTTGCGGATGGACTGAAAGTCAACTGCGAATAGACTAAAATGATCAAAATATGTAAGATGATGAATTGTTAAAGATGAGAGAAGCTAAAAAATGTGGCAAAGATGCTGCAGCCGCATTTAAAGGTCTAATTTTTTTAATAACAAGTACATATGTTTTTTGAGTGCTTTTCCGTTTACACGGCAAATTTTATTTCTGTTTCAATTATTATTAATTTCCAAAATTACAAAGACAAAGCTTTTAAAGAATTAAGCAAAACACGAAAAATTTAAAGTGTAAGTGAAAAACGGAAAAGTACAAATCTGTAACACTTGTAAAAAAGGGTTGAGCGGTTTTTATTGTAGGAAGTTCGAAAACCGGCTTTTCTTTACAAGGGGTATATTTTTTCATTTTTTGTTTATTGTTAGTAATTTTTTTGGGTTCCCTTTCCCTTCCTCCCTGGGCTTACCTCAGTTGCAACTAATCCAAGCTAGAAGAGCTTAAGAAACGTACTGAACTGACCACCCCCTATTTTCAAAATACTATTTCAATAGGATCGGGCTTTCATACCTCCCAGTAACATATACCAAGGTACGGGACCATCTTCCATAGGTACAGACAGTAGGGCACATAGACCTTTGATTAGACGTAGACCCCCTTCTATACCGAAACGCCCCCGATCAATTGTCCATGACCCAAATGTCCAACGATCAATTGTCCAACGATCAATCGTCCATGACCCAAATGTCCAACGATCAATTGTCCAACGATCAATCGTCCATGACCCAAATGTCCAACGATCAATTGTCCAACGATCAATTTTCCATGACCCAAATGTCCAACGATCAATTGTCCAACGATCAATTGTCCAGTGATCGATTGTACACTGACCAAATGTCCAGTGATCAATTGTCCAGTGATCAATTGTCCAATGACCAATTGTCCCACACTGAAAATTCTGCACTGAACTGACCACCCCCTATTTTCAAAATACTATTTCAATAGGATCGGGCTTTCATACCTCCCAGTAACATATACCAAGGTACGGGACCATCTTCCATAGGTACAGACAGTAGGGCACATAGACCTTTGATTAGACGTAGACCCCCTTCTATACCGAAACGCCCCCGATCAATTGTCCATGACCCAAATGTCCAACGATCAATTGTCCAACGATCAATCGTCCATGACCCAAATGTCCAACGATCAATTGTCCAACGATCAATCGTCCATGACCCAAATGTCCAACGATCAATTGTCCAACGATCAATTTTCCATGACCCAAATGTCCAACGATCAATTGTCCAACGATCAATTGTCCAGTGATCGATTGTACACTGACCAAATGTCCAGTGATCAATTGTCCAGTGATCAATTGTCCAATGACCAATTGTCCCACACTGAAAATTCTGCACTGAACTGACCACCCCCTATTTTCAAAATACTATTTCAATAGGATCGGGCTTTCATACCTCCCAGTAACATATACCAAGGTACGGGACCATCTTCCATAGGTACAGACAGTAGGGCACATAGACCTTTGATTAGACGTAGACCCCCTTCTATACCGAAACGCCCCCGATCAATTGTCCATGACCCAAATGTCCAACGATCAATTGTCCAACGATCAATCGTCCATGACCCAAATGTCCAACGATCAATTGTCCAACGATCAATCGTCCATGACCCAAATGTCCAACGATCAATTGTCCAACGATCAATTTTCCATGACCCAAATGTCCAACGATCAATTGTCCAACGATCAATTGTCCAGTGATCGATTGTACACTGACCAAATGTCCAGTGATCAATTGTCCAGTGATCAATTGTCCAATGACCAATTGTCCCACACTGAAAATTCTGCACTGAACTGACCACCCCCTATTTTCAAAATACTATTTCAATAGGATCGGGCTTTCATACCTCCCAGTAACATATACCAAGGTACGGGACCATCTTCCATAGGTACAGACAGTAGGGCACATAGACCTTTGATTAGACGTAGACCCCCTTCTATACCGAAACGCCCCCGATCAATTGTCCATGACCCAAATGTCCAACGATCAATTGTCCAACGATCAATCGTCCATGACCCAAATGTCCAACGATCAATTGTCCAACGATCAATCGTCCATGACCCAAATGTCCAACGATCAATTGTCCAACGATCAATTTTCCATGACCCAAATGTCCAACGATCAATTGTCCAACGATCAATTGTCCAGTGATCGATTGTACACTGACCAAATGTCCAGTGATCAATTGTCCAGTGATCAATTGTCCAATGACCAATTGTCCCACACTGAAAATTCTGCACTGAACTGACCACCCCCTATTTTCAAAATACTATTTCAATAGGATCGGGCTTTCATACCTCCCAGTAACATATACCAAGGTACGGGACCATCTTCCATAGGTACAGACAGTAGGGCACATAGACCTTTGATTAGACGTAGACCCCCTTCTATACCGAAACGCCCCCGATCAATTGTCCATGACCCAAATGTCCAACGATCAATTGTCCAACGATCAATCGTCCATGACCCAAATGTCCAACGATCAATTGTCCAACGATCAATCGTCCATGACCCAAATGTCCAACGATCAATTGTCCAACGATCAATTTTCCATGACCCAAATGTCCAACGATCAATTGTCCAACGATCAATTGTCCAGTGATCGATTGTACACTGACCAAATGTCCAGTGATCAATTGTCCAGTGATCAATTGTCCAATGACCAATTGTCCCACACTGAAAATTCTGCACTGAACTGACCACCCCCTATTTTCAAAATACTATTTCAATAGGATCGGGCTTTCATACCTCCCAGTAACATATACCAAGGTACGGGACCATCTTCCATAGGTACAGACAGTAGGGCACATAGACCTTTGATTAGACGTAGACCCCCTTCTATACCGAAACGCCCCCGATCAATTGTCCATGACCCAAATGTCCAACGATCAATTGTCCAACGATCAATCGTCCATGACCCAAATGTCCAACGATCAATTGTCCAACGATCAATCGTCCATGACCCAAATGTCCAACGATCAATTGTCCAACGATCAATTTTCCATGACCCAAATGTCCAACGATCAATTGTCCAACGATCAATTGTCCAGTGATCGATTGTACACTGACCAAATGTCCAGTGATCAATTGTCCAGTGATCAATTGTCCAATGACCAATTGTCCCACACTGAAAATTCTGCACTGAACTGACCACCCCCTATTTTCAAAATACTATTTCAATAGGATCGGGCTTTCATACCTCCCAGTAACATATACCAAGGTACGGGACCATCTTCCATAGGTACAGACAGTAGGGCACATAGACCTTTGATTAGACGTAGACCCCCTTCTATACCGAAACGCCCCCGATCAATTGTCCATGACCCAAATGTCCAACGATCAATTGTCCAACGATCAATCGTCCATGACCCAAATGTCCAACGATCAATTGTCCAACGATCAATCGTCCATGACCCAAATGTCCAACGATCAATTGTCCAACGATCAATTTTCCATGACCCAAATGTCCAACGATCAATTGTCCAACGATCAATTGTCCAGTGATCGATTGTACACTGACCAAATGTCCAGTGATCAATTGTCCAGTGATCAATTGTCCAATGACCAATTGTCCCACACTGAAAATTCTGCACTGAACTGACCACCCCCTATTTTCAAAATACTATTTCAATAGGATCGGGCTTTCATACCTCCCAGTAACATATACCAAGGTACGGGACCA